ATCTCCTGGAACCTTCAGAAAAGAGGCCCTGTGCGCGTGGCGGGGGAAAGAACCGGTGGCAATCGTAGGAGCACTGTGCTTTCTGGGCAGGCCTGCCCCCTGCAGAAGCTGCTTGCCCACAGCCTAACCTGCTGGAGTTTGCTCAGATCCCACTTGACTCAGGGAGGGCAAAAACCCAACCGCAGGCCTCTGGCCAACCTGTCTCGCCTAAGGAGGGGAAAAACCCAAGAAGCTCCTGGAAGCTCACGGTCAGAGGCACCAGCTCCCCAGACCAAGACCTAATCACAGCACTACAGCTGCTTCCCCTCCACCAGCCCCGGTGCCGCACCACTAGAGGCTTCTTTATGGGGGTTCCCTCCACCTGTGACATCACGTCCAACTATGAAGTAAACAGTACAGGGTGGGTGTTCGGCACAGTGGTTAAGACACCAAGTGGGACACTCCCATCCCACACTGGAGTAACCTGGGTTCGAGTCCTGGCTCTGTTCCTGTTTCTAGCTTCCTGCCAATGCAGCAGGTGATGGTTCAAGAATTCAGGACGCTGCCACCCATGGGGGAGACCTGGGTTGAGCTCCCAGCTCTTGGCTTGGCTTGGCCTTTTCTAGGCACTTGGGGGATGAACCAGCAGATGGGCGTTCTCTGTCTCTGTCTCTCTCTAATAAAAAAAGAACTATAAGGCATACTAAAAGGCAAAAAAATACAAATTGAGGAGAAAGAGCAAGCATCAGAATCCCTCGACTAATTAAAATTGTATATACAATGTCTGATTTCAGGCTATAATGGAATTAAACTAGAAATCAATATGATAGCTGGAAAACCCCCAAACACACAGAGATTAAACAATACACAATGCACAGGTGAAATCGGAAGAGAAATGTACAGATATTTTGAAGTTGACGAAAATGAAAACACAACATCAAAACTGTGGGGTCCAGCAGAAGAGGCAAGTGGAAGAAGGGTCTCCAGTGCACTGAAGGCACACGTTAGAAAAGGGAACACGGAAGCAATCATCTAAGCTCCTGCCTTAGGAAACCAGAAGAAGAGCAAATTACAGCCAAAGTAAGAAGAAAAGAGATCATAAAAATCAGAGCAAAAAAATCAATAAAGGGTAGGACATCCGGGCTCCTGCCTGACTCCAGTTAAGACACCTGCATCCCATGGGTACCCGAACTTTTATTTGACAGATAGAGTTAGTCAGAGAGAGAGACAGAGAGAAAGGTCTTCCTTCCATTGGTTCACCTCCCAAATGGCTGCTACCGCCGGTGCTGTGCCAATCTGAAGCCAGGAGCCAGGTGCTTCTTCCTGGTCTCCCATGCGGGTGCAGGGGCCCAAGCACTTGGGCCATCCTCCACTGCCTTCCCGGGCCACAGCAGAGAGCTGGACTGGAAGAGGAGCAAATAGGACTAGAACCCAGCACCCATATGGGATGCCAGCACTGCAGGTGGATGATTAACCAAATGAGCCATGGCGCCGGCCCTCTGGGTACCAGATCTTGATTCTTGACTTGGGCTTTTGAGTCCAGCTTGTTAATGCAGACCTTGGGAGACCTGGATTTCGGTACTGGTTCCCAGTGCTGGCCTAGACCTACCCTACCCCACCCTGGCAATTTCAGTACATGGGAGATGGGAGCATTTGTTATTCTTTCTCTCTCTCTGGTCTCTTTGTATTTCAAAACACTAAATAAACATTTTTAAGAACACACCAAAAAAATTAAATTGAAATAGGAGGTGAATAGAGAAAACCAACAGAAGCAAAAGTGGGTTCTTTGACAAAATCAATAAGCCTGTAGCCAGGCTAACAAAGAAAAAGAGAGAGGATATATTACTAACAGCAGGAATGAAAGGGACATAGTTACAGATCCTACTGACATTACAAGGCTCATCAAGGAATACAAAGAACAGCTCTGTACCCACAAATGGGACAGCCTAGGTGAACTGGGCCAACTTCTGAAAACACATCACTGGCCAGACTCACAGGACACAGACATCTGCTGAACTGAATCAATAATTACCTTTCAAGGCAGAAGGCGCCGGGCCCAGATGGGTGCACTGGGGAATTACATCAAACATGGAAGGATGAAATTAAACCAATTCTCTACAATCTGTTTCATAAGCTAGATGCAGAGAGAACACTTCCTAACTCATACTAGCATCACTCTAACAACAAAACCAGACAATGGGGGCCGGCGCTGTGGTACAGCAGGTTAACGCCCTGGCCTGAAGTGCCGGCATCCCATATGGGCGCCAATTCTAGTCCCGGCTGCTCCACTTCTGACCCAGCTCTCTGCTATGGCCTGGAAAAGCAGTAGAAGATGACCCAAGTCTTTGGGCCCCTGCACCCGCATGGGAGACCTGGAAGAAGCTCCTGGCTTTGGATTGGTGCAGCTCTGGCTGTTGTGGCCAACTGGGGAGTGAACCATCGGATGGAGGATCCCTCTCTCTCTCTGCCTCTCCTCTCTCTCTGTGTAACTCTGACTTTCAAATAAATAAATAAATCTTTAAAAAAACCCCAACAAACAAAAAACTGCAGACCAAAATTTCTCACAGATATAGATACAAAATCCTCAACATCATCTTTGCAAATCCAATCTAATCATAGATAAGAAGAAGAATATACTATGAGCAAGGGGGATTTATCCCAGGTATGCAAGGTGCTTCAACATTCAAGAATCAATTAATGTAACGCAGTACATCAATAGGATAAAAAGGAAAAAAATCACAGACCACAGCAACAGATGCAGAAAAAGCATTCAACAAAATTCAATACCCATTTAGGATAAAAACTCTAAGTATACCAGGAATACAGGGGAACTTCATCCAGTTGCTAAAGAATTCCCCAAAAATGCTTTTTAAAAGATGAGATAAAAACAAATAAGACAAGTTCCAGTACTTTCCTTCCCATACCCTAACGGCTCATCTTACCCCCACCCCCCAGGGACACTGTTCCACGTCCGAGATCACCGCCCCCAGGACTGGGGGGCTTTGGTGCCATTTCCCCAGCTCCTTTTCAGTGCACACGCGGATACGTATATTTCATTTGGTAAAAGAAATGAGAGGGCACTATAAAAAGCTGCTCTGTAACCAGCCATCTGTAGTAATCTCCCTGTTGCCCATCTTTCCCCTCGCAGAGGCCAAGCTCACCATCGCAATCTGTAGCAAAGCACGGAGCAGAAAGGCGGCGTCTGCCACTCAGTCTCCTTTGCCAGACACCCAGCGGGAGCCCAGCTTTTCACAAGGAGAAAGAACACTGCAGCCACTGCTTGTGCAGCTTCGCTTTTTTTTTTAACCCAACATGTAGCTGGAACTGCTTGGTTCCGGTCTTCTTGCATCCTGCACCCCACTCGGTTTGCCCAAATGCCCTGGCGAGGATGTGAGTGGTCACCACGTCCGCATTCTGCATTTGGGAAAAGGGACCGAAGCAGGGAGAGCCACCTCTCACTCCCGCAGCGGCGGGAATGAATCTTCCTGGGAGAGAGATATCATTATTATCATCCCCATTTTAGACTTCAGAAAACAGAGACCCTGAGAAACCCAATAACTTACTATTGGGCACCCGGCGTCGTAAGAGGCGGAGTGAGGCCTCCCTGTGAAGCCCGGGTGTATCATGCCTGCAGACTGCTCACCAGGGCTGAGGTGCACCCTGGGACAGCTGAGGTGCACCCAGCTGCACCCTGGGACGGCCTCCACACCTTCCCCAGAACCTCCTCGTGAGCTGGGGGTGCAACATCCTACCCACAGCTAAAAACCTACGTCAGGCGCTGAATTCAAGGTTACGGAAAAGCTCCCAATCCCTGAGGCTTGCTCGCTCTCTCCTCCCCTCAAAAGGCACCCGTCGGGTTTATGGTTTAGCCTCCCACCTTGCACACACCACTCACAAGGGATGTAGACGTGGGTGGCCCAGTTGCCACGCTCATGCGGGAAGCTGCGCACACGACCCCCGTGCTTTGCACTGTCGTCCTGGGGCCCCTCCTCCAGGCCTGGGAACATGTTCAGGACACTTTCGGGTACTGGGAATCTCTCACTGGGCCGGGGGCCGCTGTGGGAGGAAAAAGAAAGCACGATTATCCTAGCACTCTGGCCCTGGGTCCACAGAGCCCCTGAGATGTGGCGATGTCAGCAGCAGCTCCCAAGGAGCCACGAAGCTCCTTCCTCAGCGCTGTTTCGCTGGGCTCTTGCAACAGCTCCAGGTGGCCAAAGGGAGCAGGGCGCGTGGTCCCCACGGAAGACAACTAGGCAGGCAGCGACGTGTGTGGCTGGCGGTCACATGCGCTGGCTGGACTGGCCTGAGCCACAGCAGCTCTTCCCAGCTCTGTGACACTGGGCCTGAGTTTCCTCACCTGTAAAGTGCATTTCTGCCTGGCAGAATTATTCTAAGATCAACTGAGATAACTCGGGTGAAGCCCTCGCCCAGGATAAGCATCTACGGACCACGCGGGCAAAGACTGACGGATCTGTTCCTTGTTGGTTACTCGCTGAATATTGATGGCATGAATGAAAAAGCTCCCCAAACGCTTCAGCTGTGATTATTATTATTATAGGGTTCAAATGGTCCAGTAACGAGTGCCGGGAGCCAAAGCGGGCCAGCGGGGGAGCGGGGATCCGAACCCCTGGCCTGCCTCCCAACCTTGCCCTGGCCTGGCGGGTGGGGGGGGGCACTCGGGAGCCCTAGGTCTTCCTCTCCGGAAGCAGCCCCGCATCCTCCCCTTAGCCGCTTGGGGCCGGTGGGCTCTCAGAGTCCGCGCCCCACGTAAAGAAGACTTCCTCGTTCCTCACCCAGGGCGGCCCCCAGCCCCAGGGCTGGTCGTCGTCGCGGCCTCGGCCTCATCCTCCGAACCGCTGCTGCTGTAGCCCACCAGGGGCGCCGCACTCATGGGGCCGCGTCCGAGACCCGGGAACGGTCCGCCGGCAACCTCGGCGCTCTCCCGGAGTTCCGCCGCACCGGAAGTTCCCCCGGGGGCGGAGCCTGGGCGAGCTCCGCCTCGGGGCGGGGCCGCGAGGGCGGGACCCAGCCGTGAGGTGTCCCGGCTCCACGCTCGCCGTCCGCTGGCTGCCCGTGCAGGGCTACCTGGGGTCTCCAGGAGCACCCTCCCAAGCTTCGTGTGCCCATGTCACAGGTCCCGGAGTGCCCCCTTCAAACCCGCCCAAAGTCCGAGCCCCGGGGGCCCTCCCCCGAAAGGACAAGCTGAGTGGTTGGAGGCAGGTCAATTCCAGAGGCCAGAGAGTCCACAGAGACCCTTCGCTGCCCCGTGCAGGGGTCCTGCCAGGGGCGGACCCCCGGAGCGGAGTGGTCAGGAGCCGGTGCGCGACGGTCCTGGGCCTTCAGAGCCGCCCTGAACACTTGGAGTGTGCGACCCGGCCGGACCGCTGGGTCCCCGGCAGGGGGCGGCCTCGCTCCGCGCCGCCCGCTCCTCCCGCAGCCGCCGCCGCCCGGGCTGCAGCTCCTCCCCGGGCCCCGCCTCCTTGGCCCCCGCGCCGCCAGCCCGTCCGCCGGTCTCCGCAAGGCCATCCGTCCGTCCGCCCGCCCGCCCTCCTGGCGCTCCTCCGCCTCGGCCCCGCTACCCCGGCTGCACGGTCGCCTTTTCTGTTCGGGCCGCCGCAGGCCCGCCCCTCGCCCCCGGGCCGGCCGCCGCCGCTACGCGAGGCCGGGGATCGGTAGCGCGCGTAGGCCGCGCCACCGCTGATGGAGCCGGAATAAAGGGGCGGCCGAGAGAGCAGCTGGTCGCCGCTCGCCGCTCGCCCCGCGCCGGGCCCCGCCGGCGGCCTGGAGCAGGTGAGCGGTGCTGCGCCAGGGGCCGCGACGAGGGGCCACTCCCGCGCCCCCCACCCCCGCACCCCTTCCCCAGCCAGCCTCGGCGCCCCCCGCCCCGCCCCGGCGGCCTCCTGAGCGCCTGGGCCGCCCAGGCCGGGCCACGACGCGCAGCTGCTTCCCGGCCCGGTTTGCGGCCCTGGGGCCTTCCTCTAGCCTGGCTGCAAGCCGCTCTCGGGCCGCGGCGTCCGGGCCAGCGCGGGCCAGGGCTGACAGGAGGCCGCCCAGCTGGGCTGGCGGGCAGGGCCGCTCGGTGGGGCGGGGGTGGGGCTGGGGGGGTGATCGGCTCTCATTCGGTTTCCCAGGGAGGAAGAAGGAAGGGCTGTGGTGGGGGCGCAGGTGGGGGCCTCCCGCCCCTTGTCTCTGCTCCCCTCTGCAGAGTAGTCAGGAGGCTTCCTGGCTGCAACCTTCCCGGAGGAGGGCCTGGGTGGGCAGTAGGGCTGTGGGCACAGCCCTGGGAGCCCTGAAGCTGGCAGCCATGCGGCCCATCTGCCTCTCTGTGCCCTGGAAAGTCTTCAATGGCCGAGTGGTACCTGCTTGCTCCTGCAACCTGCTGCCTGCACCCAGAGCAGCGGCCCCGCTGCCTCCTTCCGGGAAGATGCTGAGGTTGGCAGCTCCGGGCTTGACTCATGTCTCGGTGGTGGAACAGTTAGAGGCCAGGCAGGCCAGGGAAGGCGGCCTCTCCCTCCTTGCTTCACTCGAGGAAAACCTTAAAAACTGTTCAATGCAAGAGGCAGAGGAGCTGGGATCCTGGAGGTGGGTTGCAGCCCATGCGGGGAGTTCCTCTCCCTGGCTGCCATTGCCTATGCTGCCACAAAGTGGTGAGTTAGAGGTTCTCCTGGGCTGGGGGCGTGGAAGGGGGCTCTCCCTTCCGCTGACTGCCCAGAAGGTTGCAGACTTGGAGCACGGGGGCAGGGCTGTCTCTGGAATGCAGCGCTCGGTGGTTAGCAAGCTGCATCCTGCGTCGCCGAGGCAGACCAGGGCTGTTTCTAACGTTTTCCTGCAAACCTTGACCCTGTCAGAGAGATGCAGAGGATTTAGGCCGCCTTTTGGGAGGAAGGAGGCTGTTGGTGCAGATGGTTGGTCTGAGGGGTTTCTGCCGGGTGGGTTTGCGGACCTGTCTTGTGATGGCTCAGGTCCTTCTAAGACCATCCCTCCGGTTATGCGGAGAGAGAACCAGGCGTGTGGCCAGGGCGGAGGGCCTGGGGGAGAGGGAGTGCAGGCCAGCCCCGCTCAGGAGAGCACCGTTGAGACAGTCCTGGGTTCCCTGGAGCTGACCTGACTCTCGAGCCTAGTGGCCATTTGGCCCAGGTAGGCAGACATGGGAGGTCGGCTTCTTGTGTCAGCAGGCTGTGCCTCTGGGCAGTGCTGTTCCCCGTGGAGACTGAGCGTGGCCGCAGGAAGGGAGCTGGCAGGCTCTGCACGGTGGGCAGCTCCCCCCTGACTCAGTGGCTCCCCCTGACTCGCAGCTGCAGGAGGCCGGCCTAGGGCTGCGGGGTTGCAGGTGAGCGCTGTGGCCACCCTGCTCTCCCGGAGGAGCCGAGCTGCCAGCAGGTTCTCTGGCCGTGTGTTCAGGGAGCAGCTGTCTTCCCAGGGTCAGCCTCCTGTGATGTGGGTGTATGTCCAGGTGCTGGGTGCAGAGAGGGCCCGGAGCCTGGCTGCTCGTTCCTGCCCCAAGCTCACAGTTTCTTTCTTCCCTACAGAACCGAACACTGGGGAAGGCAGAGCCTCCCTGGCGTTGCTGGGACCCCGTTCTGTAGACAGAGCTGTGCAGTCTGTCTTCTCAGTGAATGACTTGGGCTTCTGACCAGACCCCGTTCCGTGCCTTGCCTGGGGTTCCCGTCCACCTCTGAGGTCCTGCAGCTCCTCTCCCTGGGTTGGGTCACCTTACGCAGGACACTGAAGCCATTACTCTCCAAACCCTGTTTCATCTTCTCAAGCATGTCGGAGAGCTGGCAGCAGCCGCCGCAGACGCAGCCCCAGCAACCACAGCCCCCGCAGCCTCAGCACCACGCAGAGCCGCCGCCGGCCCTGGCCGAGCACACGCTGCCCCCGGGCACCGCTGAGAACCCGCTGGGCTGTGCTGTCTACGGCATCCTCCTGCAGCCCGACCCAGGCTTGCAGCCCTCCCAGCACGCACCCCTGCAGGCGGCAGGGGAGCCGGGCCCCAAATGCGGTGTGTGCGGGCACGACCTGGGACACCTGTCCAGCCCGCACGAGCACCAGTGCCTGGCAGGCCACGACCGCTCGTTCCAGTGCACGCAGTGTCTCAAGCTCTTCCACCAGGCCACTGACCTGCTGGAGCACCAGTGTGTGCAGGCCGAACAGAAGCCGTTCGTCTGTGGCGTGTGCAAGATGGGCTTCTCGCTGCTCACCTCCCTGGCCCAGCACCACAGCTCGCACACCGGCCTGGTGAAATGCTCCATCTGTGAGAAGACCTACAAGCATGCCGAGGCCTCCGAGCCGACCACCACCACGGCGCCGTCGCTTCCCGCGGCACACGCGCCAGCTGCGGAACAGGCTGAGAAGCCCTACAGCTGCCCCATCTGCCAGAAGCCCTTCAAGCACCTGTCGGAGCTGTCCCGGCACGAGCGGATCCACACGGGGGAGAAGCCGTACAAGTGCACGCTGTGCGACAAGAGCTTCAGCCAGTCCTCCCACCTGGTGCACCACAAGCGCACGCACAGCTCGGAGCGGCCCTACAAGTGCGCGGTCTGCGAGAAGACCTTCAAGCACCGCTCGCACCTGGTGCGCCACATGTATGCACACTCGGGCGAGCACCACCTCTTCCGCTGCAACGTGTGCGAGCTGCACTTCAAGGAGTCCTCGGAGCTGCTGCAGCACCCGTGCACGCCAAGCGGCGAGCGGCCCTTCCGCTGCGGCGAGTGCCAGAAGGCCTTCAAGCGGCCCTCGGACCTGCGGCAGCACGAGCGCACGCACAGCGCCGAGCGGCCCTTCAAGTGCGACCTGTGCCCCATGGGCTTCAAGCAGCAGTACGCGCTGATGCGGCACCGGCGCACGCACAAGACCGAGGAGCCCTTCAAGTGCGGCCTGTGCGAGAAGGGCTTCGGGCAGCCCAGCCACCTGCTCTACCACCAGCACGTGCACACGCTCGAGACTCTCTTCAAGTGCCCCGTGTGCCAGAAGGGCTTCGACCAGTCGGCCGAGCTGCTCCGGCACAAGTGCCTGCCGGGCGCGGCCGAGCGGCCCTTCAAGTGCCCCGTGTGCAACAAGGCCTACAAGCGGGCGTCGGCCCTGCAGAAGCACCAGCTGGCCCACTGCGCCGCCGCCGAGAAGCCCCTGCGCTGCACCCTGTGCGAGCGCCGCTTCTTCTCCTCCTCCGAGTTCGTGCAGCACCGCTGCGACCCGGCCCGCGAGAAGCCGCTCAAGTGCCCGGACTGCGAGAAGCGCTTCAAGTACGCGTCCGACCTGCAGCGGCACCGGCGCGTGCACACGGGCGAGAAGCCCTACAAGTGCCCCAACTGCGACAAGGCCTTCAAGCAGCGGGAGCACCTCAACAAGCACCAGGGCGTGCACGCCCGCGAGCAGCAGTTCAAGTGCGTGTGGTGTGGGGAGCGCTTCCTGGACGTGGCCCTGCTGCAGGAGCACAGCGCGCAGCACAGCGCCGCCGCCGCGGCCGCCGAGGGCGCCTACCAGGTCGCCGCGTGCCTGCCCTGAGCGCACACCGCGGCCCCCTTACAGCTGCCTTGCACCCTGCCCTGCCCCTCCCACCCCCCCACCCCTCCAGCTCAGGGTTCTGAGCCCCTGCGAGTGAAGACAAAAGGTGGAGGGCGCCGGTGCTCAGCACTCCTGGCGCCAGCCTGGCAGCGGGGGAGCTGCCATAGACCACAAACCTTCACCCGCCACAGGATTTGCTTTCCTGAGAGCCAGCAGCCGCTGCACGGCTCTGGGAGGCCACACGCAGACTGGATGTCACCTGGCCTCTCCCTGCTCAAGGATGGGGCAACGCCAGCCCAACCCTCCCAGATCTTGCAGCCTAATTTGCAACCGGAAAGGTTGGAAAGAGGCGGCTCATGGTAGGGCCTGGGAGACCTCTCCCCAGAGGTGGGCTGGGTGTAGGGCTTGCCCCCAAGTTGCTGTCTTGGGGAGAAGGCCCACTTTGTGACATGGCCTAGAGACAGGGGGCAGACCCTGGACTGCAGCTCCCCCCCCCCCCCGCTCCAGCCAGGTGTCTATCAGGTGACACGTGTGGGTGGGGGTCCTTGGCCAGGGTCTGCCTGGGGAAGTTCTTGTGGCACCCTCAGCCAGGGACAGTGCCACCCACGGGGAAAAGAGGACAGGCGACCTGTGGTGCCAAGGGCTGGCCCTGTGTCTGTGGAAGCCGCCCCCACTTTGCAGTGTGGTTTTGAGTTGTGCTGGGGAGGGTGCGCTTGCCAGGAAGATCTGGGAGGGAGGGAAGAAGCCGGGCCAAGCTCATGCTCTCCCCAGCACGCGCGGAGCAATGTCCTCCCCCGAACTCTGTGAACCAAAGCATCGGGCACTCGGGGCACAGCCCCAGTCAGCTCGCCCCAGCCCTGCCTCAGGGCCAAGACCAGGCCTGGGTACCCAGGATGGGAGAACGGCTTCTGACCCTACAGTGCCCTCCCAGACCACGGGCATACCACGTACGCCCGTGTGCCCGCTGGCCTGCACTACAGGGATCTTCTGTTGCCAAGATGCCCTGGACAACACCCGGCCACTTCAAGACCGGCGTGTTCTCCTTCGGGTCATTCAGGAGTGCCCCAGGGTCTCTGGCTGCCACAGGGCTCATGGAGCAGAGGGTGTCCAGGCAGGGGGAGGGGGAGAGGGGACAAGCAGGTTACAGGAAGCAGTAGGCAGCGTTTCTGGCAGGTGCATGGAGTCGCTGACCCTGCTGGACAGCCACAGCTGTCCTTGGGAGCCCAGAAGGACCTTGGTTAGCAACATTCTGAACCCAGCTCTGCCCCCTCCCCTCTGCCAGCCCCACCCTTCCCTGTTTGTGGCTCTTAAAAGAAGACTGAGCAGTGCACACATGAAGGGCCCAGGGGCAGGGGGCCGCCACCTTGCTTCTTCCTCCCCTCTCGGAGTCTGAACAGTCACAGCTGCCTCCTCTCTGGCCGGGTTCCCTGCAGCGCCCGAGAGGGGCTGGTCCTTCCCCTGGGCAGACTCTCTGACAAAATCCCAACAGACATGGAACCTGGACTTACAATGTCCCAACTGCTAGTTTTCCCCTTTCATTTTGCTTTCTGAAAGCAGTTTGTAATACTATTCATAACACTGTATAGTTTAATTTCATGTCATTTTCAATCTTCTATAAAAATGTGTGAACTTGGATTTTTAAAACGAATGACTCCATTTTAGGTAGCCACTTTTGATGTTAATATATAGTGAGTCCAATGTATGCTTTAGAAGTAAAGACATTGACCGTCAGAGACCCAGAGCACTGCTTGTTTGGTCCTTCTTCCACCGGGGCACGAGTGGCGGGATGTGTAGAGGCAGAGAGGCTGTGCAGGCGGAAGTGGCAGGATGAGCCCCCTGGGCTCATAGAGCTGGGTTTCAGTCCCATGCTTTGAACGTCCTGGCTGTGTGGCCTTAGGCAGGTCCTTGTCGGGACTCAGTCATGTCATCTGTGAAATGGAGAGGTTAATCCTCATCTTGCGTGGTTGTTGAGAATTAAATGGAGTCACACGGGAGGCCCTCGTGGGGAAGCTGTGAAGACGCTGACAGCATCAGCTGCAGGACACCTGGGGCTCTTGGGTATGGGCCTGCAGCCTCTTGACCTTCCCCGAGTTAACTGCAACCCTGAGGGAGCCGGGCCTCACGAGAGCCCCGCAGCTCATGGACCGGCAGCCCCAGAGGCCAGGGCCTGGGGCTGGTAAGCAGGAGAGCCTACTCAGCCCCAGTGGAAAACCAGTGGCTTACCCAGAGCAGCCAGGAATCCAGACAACCAAGCCCTCCCCCAGGGCTGGTCTGCTGTCACCCCACTGCCTCCTGTGTCCCACAGTGACCCTCTGAGTGCCCGCAGGCCACCTCCCACCTCAGCACCTTTTCTCCTGCACCCCTTGAAGGGGAGGAGTGGGGAGAGTACAGCCCCCCAGTCTGGCTCTGCAGGAGGCCCGGGAGAGGTGAGGGTAGTGAGGGAAAAGGACCAGGGGTGCCCACACCACAGACTGGGTGCGGAAGGCTTAGTGAAAAGCGGGGAGCCCCTGTAGGAACGAATGCCACACTCTAGGCTGCGTGTGGCCACAATGGAAGCCGCCCCATAGAAGCCTCATGGCCTCTTCCGGTAGGCTCTACCTCACACTACGGGGACACCCAGAGTCCCTGCATCTGGGCCAGGCCCACCCAGTCCTGGCTTCCTGTCTAACCGTGTGTGACCTTAGGCAAAACCCACCTAGCCCATAGCCTCCTGGGAAGTGCTGGCTTGTGTTTGGTGCTTTCCAAGTACGGCTTGGAGTTGCCCTTCCTGCACATGCCAGGGGCAGGAGCCCTGGCTGGGCATGGCCTTTGCTTCCTTGGCCCCCTCTCCCCTTCCTGATCTCAAAGTAGGGTTCCCTCAGCTCCTGTCTGGCCCTCAGCCTCTGGGCTGCAGCCTGGGCCACCACCAGGGTGTGAACGGACAGATGTCCTAGGAGCCCAGATGCTCGGGTTCAAGTCCTGGAGCTTTGGTGACAAGTGACCTGATGCTGCCCTCTGCCCTCTTGGGGCCTCAGTTCTTAAGCAGCCGCTCGCTGCACATGGCCGTTACAGCCCCTGGTGCTTCTCCCCCAAGCCCGCCTGGAACCCAACCTGTCTCCCACGCCCTGTATCCCAGGAGAGCCTCCCTCTCAGAGCACAAGGGAACTGCAGATGTGGTGGCAAGGGCTATGAGTTAGTGCTGGAGTCTTTAGTCTCTGGCTGAAAATATGGGATGAGGGTGTGCCTTGGGGTTCGGGGGACCCCTGGAGGGGAGGACCCAAAACTGCCTTGTGGGGGTCAGCAAGGTCAGGGAGGAGATCACTCTCCCAGGTCCTAGAAGTCAGTGTCCGGGTGGGCTGGGCCACCTAAGAGAATGTTCCTAAGGAGGAGGCCCAGCTTGGAGGCTGGGCTACGCAGGGGGATGGTATGGAGAGCCGTATGCCCCAGAGTCATGGTGGCAGTGGTCAGGCATCCAAGCTAAGGGGACCACATGCAGACCTTCCAGTCTTGCCTCCACCACCTGTTGGTTCCAAGGTTTTAGGGTGAGCCTCTCCTCGCCTGTGAAATGGAGTGGGTTATGCTCTCTGCAGAGGCATAGGGTGAGGGCACAGTGGAGGGACACACAGGGACATGCAGCGCTGGGAGGTCACAGGCCAGAGGGAGCCGGCCCCACCTCGCATTGGACCTCCGCACCCAGACTGAGCCTCGTGCTGTCCCTAGGAGGCGGGCAGGTGCGCCTGGATGTTCCCTCCGTGCAGACCCTGGGAAGGCCCAGGAGTATTTCAGAGCTTCTGCATTAGTAATGAAAGTGGCCTGCAGTTGTGGGTCTGGCTGGGTGACCCTGGTGCCTGCACGCAGGTGGACAGGCAGTAGGGCCAGCACAGCTATAGGCTCTGAGCCATGTAGGCCTGGGGTCCAGCCTCCAACCCACCCTTAGCTGGCTGGAAGCTGAAACGGTGACTGGGGCTGGCCCGGCCACCAGATCTGGACAGGGGAGCGGGAAAGCTCCCCACCAGCAGGCAGAGAGGTGGCCAGCCCCTCCGGCCCTCTCTGAGCCCCATGAGGGATGGCAGCTGCTGTATTCTGTCTAGAAGTCGAGGCCTCCCCAGGCACCATGGTGAGGGACTTTCTGCCAGCCTCCAGGCCTCTGTCCAGATGCTGGAAATCTGTCCAAGGCCTCCCTGCCTGGGCCAGGCTCTGCTCTGACAGGCTCTGTGTCCCAACTCGGCCCAGGTGGTTTCTTTGTCATTGATACCTAAGAGTTGTCCACATGGAGTGTGGCATGATGATTCAATCGATGATTACAGCTGATCAAATCGGGGTGCCTGGCTTTTCCGTCTTCTTTCTCAAGTGGGGAGCCTCCAGGGCCCCTGCCTTCTGGTTCTTGCTGAGCTGGGTTGTTGGGTCCCGAGCTCCGCCCCCTGGTCCTCCTGTCTGCCTGCGTCTTGGTACCCTCTAGCCAGCCTCTAGAGCCCTTCTTCTCCCTGGCCTTCAATGACCACTGCTCTGTTCTCTTCTTCGAGATCAACTCGTGCAGCTTGTCTGATTAACATAAAGTGCTGCCGGCCCGTCCATTTCTAGGCAGGTGGTCTCTTTGTTCCTTGAAGGTCATGTGTGCTCCGAGAGAAAGCCTTGGCCACTCTGGATTCTCTCAAATCCACAAAGATTCCGGCTGCAACACTCAGTCCTCAGGGCTCTGAAAAGGAGGTCAAGGAGAGGGGCGGGGTGGGAGGGGGCTGTGGGGATCTCCCTCTCCACTGTGTGCGTCTCCATCCCCAGCCTGGGTCTGCTTCCTGCCTTTGTTCCGCCACAAGCACTACTGAGCACCTGCTGTTTGCCAGGCACTGAGCCGGCGCTCCCTACAGGGCACAAAGCAAGAGAGTTTTGAGGGTTTTGTGTATCAAAAGGTACTGTCAAAAAATGTCAAAACTGCTGATATCTGGTGCAACGTAGCATGTGCAAGAGTCCTCCCTCACCCTCGCCTCGCCCCATCCCGGAACCTCCCGCATTGCCAGCCCCAGGACCTGGTTAGGCTGTGTATTCTGCATGTGATTTTGTAATAAACGACTCTATGACTTTGTAGCAGTGACTTCATTTAGTCCAGATCGTGTGCTGGTTCTGGGAGCCCCCAGGCCCAATTCCTGAGACCCAGATCCAGTTAGAGGAGCAGACCAGTGAGCCCGAGACCCCTGTGGGCCCAAGGGCCTGGGTTAGTTCCAGGCAGCAGCTGCTGACCCTGCTGTCCTGGGCGTGGGGAAGAGCGGGAGGGGAGGGGGAGAGGGCGGCCTGAGGGAAGAGAGGGTGGGATTGGGGTAGGACCAGGTGGAACCACACTTTCGGTGGAAGGAAGGCTTGGAGTAAATCTGGAGGCGGACAAGAGCCTGGGATGTTAGGGACAGCAAGGAGGCCAAGTGGTGGGGTTTGTGTCCTGATAAAGCCCTAGGGGAATGGCCTAAGTTGAGGCCACAGAGGCTGGGCTGTCCCCAAAGCCACGTCTGTAGTGAAAAATTATTTTTTAAATTTAATTTATTAAAGAAATATATCTTCCATCTACTTCCATCACCCGCTGTCTCCCAGGTGCTCATTAGCTGGAAGCCAGAATCAGAAGTGGAGCTGGGACTTGAACCCGGGCACTGTGACGTGGGACGCAGATGTCTTGACAGCTGTGCCAGATGCCCACCCCTGTACTGAAAATTCTGATGTGGTCTGTTTATGGTATGCAAAGAGCCCCTGGGGCTGAGAGGAGGTCTCAGCTGGGGGTGGCGTTTTTCCTCCACCTCTGGCCTGTCTCTGGCTTCTGGGGAGGATTCTCAGCTCCCAGAGAGCTTCCTGATGGGACATCCTATCCTCCCTCTAAGCCCTGAATAGCTGTCCCCTCCTCCAAGAAGCTCCCTCTGGTTTCCTCCCCAGTCTTGGCTTGCACCTCTGTCATAGGAAAGCAGTGCAGCACGGGTAGGGACCCTTTTTGTCTACCAGGGCCATTTGGATATTTATACCATCAGTCACAGCCCATACAAGAATATTGACTTAAAAATTAGCCTGCCCGAGATGTACTGAATTCCGAGTCCCATGTGCAGTTGCCTTGGCGGGGCCCGACCCAGTGATGTTGCAAGGCCTCACACGGCCTGTAGGCCTGCTGTTCCCCGTCTCTGCGGCACAGTGTGGTGGCTACAGGCCTGGGGAGTCCGGCAGGCTGGCTCCAGTTCCCAGTTCTGCTGGTTGCCAGCTGTGTGGTCCCGGACCAGTCACCCAACCTCTCCAAGTCCATTTTATCATCTGTAAAATGGGCCTACAAAGCACTTCATGTGTTTGTTGCCTTCCCCTCAAAGGTATCAAGTATTCAAGTCAGGCTCATTCATGCTCACGCGCATTGTATTTCCTTTATTCTTTGGCACACATCTTTTAAGTGAAATCAGGATTAAACCTACAACCGGTGGGCCGTAGCTCTTACCAGCATTGCTTGTGTGGGCTACACCATTCTCAGGGGCTTGGGCTGCCGGGTCACGGTCTGGACGTGTCCACACTGTCACCTTCTTGCTTCCCCCCCATGGGACAGAAGTACCTCAAAGGCAGGGATGGCGTATTGTCTGTGTCCCCTCTGGCACCCAGCATAAGGCAGAGGCCTCAAGTGTTTGCTCAGTCAATCTGGCAGGAACCTGGCCAGTCACCCAGAGCCAGGAAGCAGGGCCAGGAAACAGCCCTGCTGTCCGATTCCTCTCCACATCCTCCAGCTTGCTTGCCGGGCTCCCTGGCTGCCCCTCCTCGCCCGGGGCCAGGACTCTGGCCTCCCTGCTGGAGCGCTGGGCAAATACACCTCTTCTCTGAGCTGTGATGTGGAGGGGACACTTGGGTCTACAGAATGTGACTCTGACACCCCTGCCAATGGCTCTCCAAGGTTCAAGCCAGCATGACTGCCCACTGGGCCTGCAGGAAAGGCTTCTCCCTGGGCAGTGGCCTCCTCTCCACACCCAGGAGGAAGACAGGCTGTGAATTTTGCCCGCTGCTTCCCTTCAGCTCTTCCCCAGGCTCCTGTCTCCTGCCCCTGTTCTCAGCAGAAACTGGTCAGCCTCAGTCTGCAAGGCACAACCCATCCTCTTGTTTATCACCCAAGGCTGAGCAGAAGGAGTGCCGTTCTGGGAATTGTTCTAAGAAAGTTGGACACAAACTGTACGTAGACCCTGTGGCCGAGTGCTGAGACCTAAGGCCATTTCTCTGATTGGAGGCTCAGTTTTCCCCTCTGTGAAATGGGCATTGGCTCTGCTCATTCCTAAAGTGCTGGTGAGGCCCAAGGGAAACAACAGATCAGACGAGAACGTGTTCTGAACAGTTTGGCACAGGGCCCAAAAGCGAGGGGCTGGGGTCCTTTAGACTCCTCCCCCTTGAGACCTTGGCCATGCCTGCAACATGCCATATGCCGCACACACGCCATGTATGTTTTCACCGCTACACTGAAATACCTGCCGCAGGCTGCAGGTGGGGGAAAGAGGTTTATTTTAGCCGTGGTTTTGGAGGTTTACAATGCAAGTCAGGAAGCCGTTGGTCTGGGGTCTGATGGGGGAGGGGGTGGCAGAACTCTCCCATGGGTGAGCCAGGAAGCAGAGCGGGTGGCTGGGCCCGAGCCAACTTTTGTAGGGAATCCGCTGGCGAGAACCACTTTTGGAGGGCACACCCACCGTGACTGAAGGACCTCCCACGAGGCTCACTTGCTGACCATCATCACTGGATTAAGTTTTCACCCTCAGTACCGTTAACTGGGACCTTGGGGTTGAAACCTCCGATGAGTTGGGGAGCCAGCTCCTACTCAGACCTCGGCCTTCCACCCAGCTTCCTGAAGCTCACGCCTCACACCGAGCATGTGCCGTCCCTGACCATGGTGGAGACGCCCTTCCCTAGCCCATCGCAGTGGGGGGGTCCTGGACCGGGCTCCCAGGACAGCAAGCCCTCCTGCAGCGGAGGGACTTAGGGTTGAGAGGGTAGATAAGCCTGGCTCAATAGGCTAATCCTCCGCCTAGCGGCGCCGGCACACCGGGTTCTAGTCCCGGTTGGGCGCCGGATTCTGTCCCGGTTGCCCCTCTTCCAGGCCAGCTCTCTGCTGTGGCCAGGGAGTGCAGTGGAGGATGGCCCAAGTGCTTGGGCCCTGCACCCCATGGGAGACCAGGAGAAGCACCTGGCTCCTGGCTTCGGATCAGCGCAGTGCGCCGGCCACGGCAGCCATTGGAGGGTGAACCAACAGCAAAAGGAAGACCTTTCTCTCTCTCACTGTCCTCTCTGCAAAAAAAAAAAAAAAAAAAAAAGAGAGAGAGAGAGAAGATAAAGGAGGGGCCCAAATCACGTGGCTATAGCAGACCATTTTTACTTAGATGGTGTGGTTATGGGTGGGCCAGGAGAGGAAGGGGACTCCATCCTGAGTGGCCTCAGCACCTCATCAAGTGTCTGTTCCACATTCTTGGTGCTTCCTGGGAGAGAGGCCATGGGCCTGGCCAGCCCCCAGAGCCTGCTTCTACCCCTTCAGGGGGTCCCCGGGCCCAGGGATGCCCCCCTCCCCAGCACACTGGTGTGCAGAAGGCTTCAGGAAGAGGCACCTGAAATCCCTTGCTAACCCCCTACATCTCAACTTGGGGTTCACGTTCAGGATCTGAGGAGCAGGCTTGGGCGTGTGGTTGCTAGCAGGGGACATGGGCACCAGGAAACACCCAGCTTCCAGGCAGGGCCTTGGACCTCACACTGGCTGGGCTTGGGGCTTAGACCCTGACCCCTCCCTAAGGTCCTCAGATACTCTTCTACAGCCCTGCCCAGGAGCAGGCAGAGCAGTGACCATCATCCTATGGTCCTGACCCTCTGCGTCACTCACACACACACACACACACCCTGAGGGAGAGGTCAGTTTATTCTCCAGGATGGGTTCCTGAGGAGATGGGAGACATGCCACCACATGTCCTCTGTCCCACTGGGGGACGGGGAGTTGGAGACAGGGACGTGCAGGTGGTCACCAACTGCAGGAGGGGGAGCTGGCAGAGACGGGCAGGGGGCAGGGAACCCGAGGTGGCACGGCCCAGGAGCATGGGGGTCAGCCTCCTTTTCACAGGTCAATGCCAGGGGGTCAGATAGTTGACACGACTGAGGAGAGAAAACCGTGGGAGGAAGCATTGTCCAGAGTCCTGGGGAAAACTCAAGCTGTCCCCCAAGCCCAGCTGCCCTGCTCCGAGCTCTGAGAAGTCAGCTTCCATTCAGCTGTGGGCTCAGGAGCCGTCCAGGGCTCCCTATTGCCTTCTGTATATTTTCAGTTGCTCTTCCAATCCTCATCGCCCACCGACCCCTAGCCAGGCAGGCTCCCAGCATTCCCCAGCCGCATGGTACCCACGGTGCTGGGCATCACACAGTGCTAAGAACCAGAAACTTCCCAGCCTGTGCACGCGAGAGCTCCCCATCCGTGCTGCCAGAGCCCTGGTCTGGGCGCCCTGAGGCCCTGGGAGGGGCTGGGCAGGTGGTGACCTACTGGAGGAGGGGGAGCTGGTGGGGAGAGGCAGACAGACTGCCCAGCTGAGCTCAGCACAGCCGAGGTGTGGGCGAGCGGCTGGCCGTGCCAGGGAGGGGTAGGTGCTGCACGACCCGAGTCTGGGAAACCTGAGGGTGGGGGGAGGGAGGGGCTGGGAGGCCGGAGGCGGCCATGCTATGAGGACGCGCAGTTACCAGGTACCACTCCCCGCCCTCGTTCCCACGTGGGACACGTCACTCGCGGGTGACCCTGCTGGGAGCTCTAGTGCCCTCTGCCCCGTCCACACCCCCGGGGCAGATTCTGGCTCTTCCCCTCTGCTCCCAGGAAACGCCCTCCCTCGCCCGCCCCACCCTCTGCGATCCCCACTTCTGCCGGGGGCGGGTCTCAGGAGTCGGGCCCCCTGCACGTGGCTCGGGGTCTCGCTGTGGAAAGCGGGGCCTGGAATCCGCGGAGCCCGAGCGCCGCCCCCGCACCTGGCGCCCGGGGGCGGGGCCGTCCCTACCTGTAGTGGGAGCCGAAGCGTCGGAAGGCGTTGCTAGGGAAGAAGGCGCGGCGTGAGTGGGAGAGGAGCGGGCGCGCCCGCACACCCGCTGCACCCTTCCACTCGGAGCGGCTGGAGCTGCCGGGGACCGGACGACCAGGTGTGTGGGAGGGGCCCGTTTTCCCCAGGGCTCGCCTTCTCAAGGGCCATTAGGAAGGTGGGTGCTGGGAGCGCCACCCAAACCCCGCCCTCCCTCCTCCGCGGGTGGGGTCCCGGGGCTCGGGGCATCACTCACAGGGAGTCGAAAGGCAGGGGCTTCTGTCCGTAGCGGTCCAGGCTGGGGTTCTGGTTGAGGCAGTACTGGGGCGGGCCACAGGGATGGGGGCCGGTGAGCTGGGGGCGGGGGTGCGGACACGGACCCCTGCCCTCGGCCCCCCTCCACAGCCTCCGGGCTGGAGATGAAGGTCATGGGGACCCGGAGACCCTCTCTCCCACGCGCCATTTCAGCTGCTCCCCACCGCCAAGACCCTCGGAAACCCGGCGGCGCCCAGCCTTCCCTACCCGCCAGTTTTGGGTCATTTCCGGCTTCAAGTACCGCACCGCGTAGCCGCTGAACCCCTCCACTGCGGACAAAAACCCTACTTACGCTCCAGAGCAGGCCCCGCCCCAGCCCCGCCCCCACATCCCCTCCTCCCCAGCCCCTCGCAGGTACAAAGCCCCGCCCCTCCAGGTCCACACCTGGCTCCTACCCTGACCCTCACCTGTCCCGCTCCCGCCCGCGACAGGTGGCCCAGCGCTCTCCAGGTCGCGCGCCCGCTCCCTGCCGGAGCCCGCCCTCCGCCCCTGACTCTCGCCTGCAGCCGTGGTGGCCCGGCGACCCCGCTGCCGGTGCACTGACCTCTCTTGTTCAGGCATGGCAGCCTGAACTCTCCGGCCGAGGACACGAAACGGGACCAGTCCTCGATGGCGCGGGTGAAGCAGGGCCAGTCCACCCGGTTGATGCCCGGCGCGATGGGCGCCAGCTTTCCCTCCCGGCACCTGTCGTGGATCTTGTGGCCGGTGGCCGTGATGTCCTGCCAGGGCAATGGGGGTCAGGCGCGGCGGCAGATGTGCAGCCTGGGCGCCATCCCAGCCCACTGAGCTGACACTTGGCCTCCGTGACCGAGGGGTGCCTCAAGATGGGGTCCGGTGTACAGCATTGGGGGCGGGTCCCCAGCGGGCAACTGGGGAGGTGCCTGGAAGGGGTGACCAGGACAGGAGGGGCCTGCGCCTGGGTGCAGCCTGCCCGGGGCCAGCGGCACTCACCAAGCACTGCAGGGGTTTGTTGGGGACCCCCAGCAGTGTGAAGTGGGCGTTGTCAAACTCATCTGTGGAGAGAAGAGAGGGAAAGGAGGTGTCTCCGCCTCCAGACCAGACGGTCAAGGCCACACTCAGAGAAAGGTGTGGCCACACTCTACTTGGAAAAATGTTTCAGGGGGCTGGCGTCGTGGTGCAGAGGGTTAAGCCTGGGCTTGGGACCGCTGCGTCCCTTCTCGGAGCGTGGGTTCAAGTCCCGGCTCCTCTGATTTCTACTTAAGTATGGGGTGGGCAACAGGAGCTGGCTCAAGTACTTGGGTCCCTGTCACCCACGTGAGAGACCCAGATGGATTTCTGGGCTCCTGTCTTCAACCTGGCCCAGGCCCAGCTGTTGTGGGCATTTGGGCAGTGAGCCAGTGGATGGAAGATATTCTCTCTCTTTCTCTCTCTCCTACAAATAGATTAAATTTAACTACTTAATTTAAAAATTAGATTTTTTAAAGATATTTGGTGACTTAAAAAATATAATATAAAATGATATCCGTATTTCATCTCTTACAGGAGAATAAGCCCCACATATATTAAACTCCTCAATGTAAAAAAATGAGAAATTATAAAAGTATTAGAAGAAAACTTAGAAATTTCTTTATCATCTTAGGGTAGGAAAGACTTTTTTTTTTTAAGTTTTTATTTTATTTATTTGAAAGAGTTAGAGAGAGAGAGAGAAATCTTCCATCTGCTGGTTCACTCCCCAAATGACTGCAACGGCCAGAACTGAGCTGATCTGAAGCCAGGAGCCAGAAGCTTCTTCCAGGTCTCCCACGTGGGCGCAGGGGCCCAAGGACTTGGGCCATCTTCTACTGCTTTCCCAGGCCATAGCAGAGAGCTGGATCGGAAGCGGAGCAGCCAGGAATCGAACCAGTGCTGCCTACATGGGATGCCGGCACTGCAGGCAGTGGCTTTAACCCGCTGAGCCACAGCGCCAGCCCAGAAAGACTTTTTAACTCTGATGAACAACACAGGACGTTTAAACTAAAGAGAATAACCCTGACCACGTAGAAACGCATTTCTGGGGCTGGCGCTGCAGCACACCTGGTTCAGGTGCGGCTTTGGGTGCCGGCTCTGAATCAGGGTTCTGCTTGGAGTTCTGCTACTCTGTGCTTCCGCTTCCCATCCAGCTTCCTGCTAACGTGTGCAGGACAGCCCAAGATCGTGGGTTCTGTCACCCACGTGGAAGAGCTGGATGGAGTTCTAGGCCTCGACGTGTGGCCTGGCCCAGCCCCAGCTGTTTCGGGGATTTGGTGAGTGAACCAACCGATGGAAGATCTCTCTCTCTCTTTCTCTGTCCCTGTTTCAAATAAATAAATCTTTTAAAAAAGCTGCATAAAAAATCAAAAGACAGATGGGAAAATATATTTCCACTTATTTAACAGATGAGAGGCATTTTTCCTGATATTCAAAGAACTTCTAGAAATCAAGACAAAAAGAAAAAAGAAAAAAAAAGAAAGATGGGTAAGCCCATGATGCGAAGGTAGCTCACACACATAAAAATAGTACCAAAAAAAAAAAAATAACCAAACATAGGAACAGACACTGAGCCTCATCTGTAATAAGATGTGTGCATATTCAAACTACAGTGGGATGTCGAATTTCCCTGATCAGACTGGGAACAATTCAGAGATTGGTGCGCTTATCAGAAAGAGAACCTTTGTCATACACCGCCAGAGGGGGTTGATGGGAGCCTGCAGAGAGCAGTGGGCATTATCCATCAGCACCTTTGACCCCACAGACCCACTTCTGTGAACTGATCCCACTTTACAGCTGCCTAAGGGCACCCTTTTCAGTGTTGTTTGTACCAGTGAGGGTTGAAACAGCTCAGGTTAACTTAGCTATACTATACTCTCACCAGGCAACATGTTAAAATAATCAAAATAAATTGAAGGGTGGGTGTTTGGCCCAACCTCTGGGTGGGATGCCCATATCCCATACAGGAGTGCCTGGGTTTCATTCCCAGCTCTGCTCCCAATTCCAGCCTCCTGCAGATGCACACCCTGGGAGGCGGCAGGTGAGGGCTCAAGTACTTGGGTTCCTACCACCCACGGGAGAAACCTGCATTGAGCTCCCAGCTCCTGGCTTCAGCTTCAGTCTGGCCCAGTGCTGGAGTGAGCCAGGGATGGGAGATTTGTCTGTCTGTCTCTGACTCTCAAATAAATTGATAAATTTTAAAAGATAATTTGAAGAAATTCACTATACAAGAACTCTAAGGTGCTATCATTTGCTTTAGAGCTAAACTTTAGGCGACTGGAGGCAGAGAAGAGTCTGCATTCCAGTCGCCACCTTAAGGAACTCATCAGACTCAGCGGCGTGGGGAGTGGGGTCATTCCAGCCTGCTGCCGCCCCGCACCTGTGAGAGCTCCCTGCCAGCAATGCTGAGCCTGGCTAATCCTGCCTGCACCTGGCTTCCAGGGTAAGGAAACTGCACTAACAAGGGGTCCAACACAGCTCATTGGAACTCTGAAAAAATCTGGGGTGGCATTTGGTACAGTGGTTAAGATACCACTTGGGGCACCCACGTGCCGTATCGAGTCCTACTGCTCCTCTTTCCGGCTGCCTGTACTGCACATCTTGGGAGGCAAATGGTGATGGCTCCTGTGCGTGGTCCCTGCCACCCATGTGGAGACTTGGGTTGAGTTCCCTGCTCCTAGCTTTGGCCTGGTCCAGCCCTGGGCAGTGCAGGTGTTTGGGAAGTGAACTAGCAGATGGGAGATTCCTTTCTCTATCTTTCAAACAAATTAAGATAAAAACAAAGGTTACAAAGTACTTGAGAAAAAGAGGAAATGCTACCTGTCATCACATAAAATGATATTGTGGGAGGAAAATGGACGTGACTGGTTTATTTGAGTCCAGTACTAGAGACACAGAAATATCTGTGATGCAGCGTGCCACAGTGAATCCTGGTTCCCCTGAAATTCTCTGAAGCTGTTAACACATCTTGGGGGAGACTGGGAAAATGTTAATATGCACTGAATAGTAGATGTTATGGAATTACCATTAACTTTCCTAGGTGTGATAGTGGTATTGTGTCACAGAGGAGGCTGTTCTTGGCATTGGGCGCTGTCTACTGAAAGAGAGAGAGAGAGAGAGCGAGCGAGCGCATCAGCTGCAGCAGGCAGAAGGTAATGGGTGGTGCTCTTCACGATGTTTTCAACTGTTCTCTGAGAATGTTCCTAGGCAGGCCTGGGGGATGTGTGTGCATGCGCATTGGTGAGCCCTGGAAAGATGCACTGAAGCCAAGAGCAGCCACCTGTGAGCGTGCGGGGCGAGAGCTCCCGTGTGCGCGTTGTCTCAGCATTTTGAGTTTTGGAATTGCGACTGTGCTGCGTGTTTACGATGAAGTGCACACCCAAATCAGAGCCCTCGCTGGAAGCCTAGGTGCCTGGCCTCTCCGGAAGCAGGAAATTGGAAGGATTGCTGACCTCGCTGACCCTTGCCACACTGCCCTGTCTGATGAGGCCGCGCCCCTGTAGGCCCTTCCCTCCCCACCCACTTCCCGTGTTTGTGGTTCCCATCCTGGCCTGCGGGGGGTCTGGATGGGGGCCTCCCATGATCCACATGCAGGCTCTGAGCCCCTCACCCACCTGCCACTCGGACGGAACCCAGGTATGGCCCTGACTTCCCTCGCGCCCCTCCTGCTCACCCTGGCACCGCATGCTATGGACGTCGCCTGCTAGTGTTCAACACCCCCACGCCCCGAATGACATGTCCCTCTGGGCCCCCTTCATGCTGAAAGCCATCAGAGGCTCCTGTTCCTTTCCAGAACAAGTCAGGCCCCTGGGCCTGCAGCAGGGCCCTCCCTGAGCTCCGCCCTGGTCTCTGGCCACAGCCCAGCCCCCGCCTCCCGCCCCCGCTGCTGAACCAAACCTCTCGTGGTGGCCCAAAGTCCATGTCACCTCCTCCCCGTCCCAGGCCTCTGCCAGGCTCTTCTCTTCAGCCAGGCTGCCCCTCATTCCCCAGGTGATCCAGCCCGGGGTCGGGCACAAAACAGGTGCTTCATAAAGGTCTGAGATGAACAGGTGTGCGAGTCGGGGTGGCACCCCCCCCCACACCCAGCTGCTTAATCTGTGCAAAGCTATTCCGTGGGCCCAGGGGGCTCTTTGACCCCAGGCTCTCGGGTCCTCTTCTTGTTTCTGGGAGATGTGGGGAGGGGTCTCTCTCCCTTCCCCAGGGTGGGAGATGGGCCGGCAGCGCTTGCTACTGTAAACACCCTCGCTCGGCCCAGTTCTCCCTCCAGGCACAATCACATGTTACAGGCCAGGCGTCACTCTAAGTGCCTTTCCTGACCATCTCATTTTATTGTTATGTGAAAATTATTTAAGAGACAGAGAGGGACTGGCGCTGTGGCGCAGCAGGTTAAAGCTCTTGCCTGAAGTGCCAGCATCCCATATGGGCACCGGTTCTAGTCCCGGCTATTCCTCTTCTGATCCAGCTCTCTGCTATGGCCTGGGAAAGCAGTAGAAGATGGCCCAAGTCCTTGGGCCCCTGCACCCACGTGGGAGACCCGAAAGAAGCTCCTGGCTCCTGGCTTCGGATGGCGCAGCTCCGGCTGTTGCGGCCATCTGGGGAATGAACCAGCTGATGGAAGACCTCTCTCTCTCTCTCTCTCTCTCTCTCTCTCTCTCTCTGGCTCTACCTCTCTCTGTAACTCTTTTAAATAAAATAAATTAAAAGAGAGAGAGAGACAGAGAGAGAGACAGAGAAAGAGAGAAACGGACAGAGTTCCCATTTCCTGGTTCACTGCCCGAATGCCCAGGCGTTGGGAACTCAGTCTAAGTCTCCTGAGTACTTTGAGTCATTGGCACTGCCTCCCAGGGTCTGCGTTAGCAGAAAGCTCGAGTCAGGAGCTAGAGGTGGGAATCGGACCCAGGTGGTCTGATGTGGGACGCAGGTGTGTTAGCCAGACTCCAGCTTCAGCAGACTCCTGCCCCCAATCTCAGTTTTGACCTCACAGCAGCACGGTGAGGCAGGCCCCATCGTCATCCCCTCCTGCGGGCTTCCTGGCAGGCGTGTAGAGCAGGGAGCAGCCCTCTCACCTGCACCTGCCACTCACTGCCCTGCCCTTCAAGGTCCTTCCCTGAAACCGCCCACCCCTTCCCTCCCCCCAGGGCCCCAAGGCGCCCGGGCACAGGAGGGCCTGACCTTTTCGGCAGTAGGTGGAGGACTGGCAGTGCTCCTCTGGGAGGCAGGCCCTGACTGTGTCCATGTCCATGCGGCGCAGCGTGGGCAGGGCCGGGTGGTAGAGCTGCTGCTTCACCCCGGCCAGCGGCTGGCGCTGCCGCTCCATGGGCAGCAGGATGGCCGGGGAGGCGTATACGTGGGTGGAACCATCGTCCCAGGGTACCAGGTCAATGATGCGGGCCATGGCTGGGGAGCAGAGGGCCCCAAGGGCCTCACCCTGGGCTCCTGCCAGCCAGCCCTTCTCCTTTGTAGCAGCGCAGCCTGGCCCAGTACGGTTGTGTCTGCGTGCCGAGCATTTATTAAGCACCTACTGTGTTCCTGGCTGTTCTTTCAGGAGCTCTGCATATGGCAGCAGGGACCCTCAGATAACAGAGGCCACTCTACCCTCTAACACACCCTGGGATGCACTAAGTGTGCAGGTCAGTTCTGGGGGTGCGTGTCTAGAGGGGCTGGGGCTGGGACGTGCACAGAATGGTCTACAAGAGGGGCCATCTGAGTCTGTTCTAAAATGATGGGCATATACCTCAGGGTGACCAATGTCCGAGTGTGCCTTAGCTAAGGTAGCTGACAGTTATCCAAAATCTTACAAAGAGACGCGGAACTAAATTTTTAAAAGGGGAAAGCCTTGCTAGGTCTGCAATGGGATAACCTGGCCGGCTAGCCGGTGCCCCCCTTGCTAAAACAGACATTCCCCCCGGGGCCTGGCGTCAGTGGCACTTCAGTGAGAAGCTGTGGCCTCAGCTTGGAGTTGCAGGTGAGAGGTGGGGGGGGGACTTCAGACCGTGGGGAGGGGGTGCAGGGGAGGGCAGGATGACAGGGAGGGCAGGCAAGTGGAACACCGAGAGGAAGGGCGAGAGCGCACCCTGCCTCTCTCCCCCTCTCTCCCGTGGGCAGCGGGCAGCGGCTACCTCATCTGCAGGGCAGGAGCCAGGTGCGCGGGCTTGTGAGGACTTGCCGCTCTCCCCACAGCTCTGAGAGCAGAAGAGGAAGGCAGGTGGGCGGGCCTGAGGGCCGGGCGCTGGAGAATAAAGGAGCATTGTGCAGAGACAGTGCCGGCTGCTGCCTGATTGTGAGGGCGCCGCTCCCGGGCTACCTGGCAACTGCAGGCTCGCGCTCAGCCTCCTGGGCGCGGGCGGGAGCTCGGGCTCCCCAAAGGTCGCCAGGCCAGGGGCCAGGGATGGCTGCTGAGCTCTCTCCAGGCTGTGTGACCCTGCATTAGTTTCTGTCTCTCTCTGGGCCTCAAGGCCCCCATCTGTGTTAGGCAAAGGCTCTTGGCTGAGCCATTTGGGGGCGTCTGGGAACTGGGAGAGCGCGTCCCTTTCTGCGTGCTCAGGAAAGAGGTCACTGCTGGCCTCTGGGGGGGCGGGGAGGGGGGAGATTAGCCATGGCCAGGATCCCGGGTCAGTGTGCGGATCAGAGAGTGGTGGCCTCAGCAGGCCGGGGATTAGCAGGTGATACTGCGCCCAGCCTCCCCAGGACCGCAGCTGCCTCCCTCCCAGGAAAGTCAGGCTGGGAGTGCCGAGTCCTGGGGCTGTCCCACCGCCCTAACCCCCCACCCCCACCCCCAGCTGAGGAGACTCTTGGGAGAGTAGGTTCATTTGCATGTAATTGGCATCTGCTTTGCATACACCTGCCCTGGGGCTGAGCCTGGTGGGTCCTGAAGTCCCTACTGTGAGACACTACAGGATTTTCTTCCCCAGTTGCTCCCTCTCCTGTGCTCCAAGCAGCCCCCAGAGCAGCATCCCCAAGTCCTGCCCCTTACAGAGAACCTGCTCAGGGTGGCCTCCACTCATCACCCACACCCCCAATTTACTCTTTTTTTATTTTAAGATTTTTTAAAAAATTTATTTGAAGGACAGAGTTACAGAGAGAGAGGTAGAGCCAGAGAGGTCTTCCATCTGCTGGTTCACTCCCCAAATGGCCACAGGCAGAGGCTTAGCCAACCACACCTCAGTGCCAGCCCCAGGTCCCACCTCTTAATACACTTGCTTTGGACATGAGGTTTCAACACAGACATTTTGGGGGGACATCAGCTTTCCGAGCACAGCACCCATGATGGTGCCGAATAGGTGCTGGACGTGACATGTGGCTGATGTGCAGCGGGCAAGTGTGGAGGCAGGAGCTGGTCAGGAGACTGCAGAGGGCCAAGCCAGCTTGTGACTGGGTGGCCCTGGGCTCTTCCTCCACTGCTGGACCCCCAGACCTGTGATACGCTGCAAGGTGGAACCCCAGTGGCAAAGCCCTTCTCTGTGAGTGTGCCAGGCTGCAGAGGTCACAGCTCCTCCCCATGGCACCTCCAGCCCATCCCCCACAGGTCACAGGAGGCTCTTGGGCTCTCCTGGGCCTGTAGAGGTGGCCTGTGTCACCAGTGGTGCACTGACCCTTGTCTTGGTCCTGATGGACAGAGATGGCAGGGCTTGGCTCAGGCTGGTGGGGGGGCACTCAGAGTACTCAGCTTGGGTAGCTGGGGGCGGGTGACCCTTCGTGGAAGAGGAGAGGCCTGGGTTGGGGGCGGAAGGCAGAGTTTTAGGGGGAAACATGAATGCTGGTTCAAGACGTCTGACAGATGGCTGCGTGGAGACGTGCAGCTGGCAGCGAGGGGCGTGTGTGTGTAGCTCAGGGAGATGCGGCCTGGGCATGGGTTTTTAGAGGCATTGGCTTGTGGGTGACAGTTAAAGTCACGAGACTGTGGGAGCTCCCGGGGCGGGGGGGATGCAGCGACAGGGGACCAAAGATGGCGCCTGGAACGCCCTGAGTCTGGGGAAGAGGAAGCACTAGGAGAGAAGACCGCCAGCCGGGGCGGAAGAGAACCAGGAACGGGTGGTGTGGCGAAGGCCAAGAGGAGTGGGGGGACCCTGGTTTGAGCCACAGTTTAGGACGGGCAACTTGGGGGCAGTAGGGGCCTCTGGGCCTGGGGGAAGGAGGTGAGGTAAGACGGGCCTGGGGGAAGAGGGAGGGGCTCTCTGGTGAGAAAGAGGAGAAAGCCACAACCACCCCCATGGTCTGGGTGAAGCTCCTGGGCTTACCTCCGGGGGAAAGAAGCCAGACTCAAAAGTGGCCCCTCTTACCAAGTCCAAGTTAACCCACCGTGCCTGTGGCTATGAACACAGGCAGCCACGCCGCTAAGCCAAGCAGTGCTTTTACCATGGGCGGGGGCGGAGGTTACCCGTCGGTTGCTTTCTTTCATTAAGTTACTTGGCATCTGTTCTTTGCTTGTTTGCTGGAAGGTTTATTTATTTGAAAGGCAGAGTGACAGAGACAGAGAGAGAGACAGAGAAAGAGGGATCTCCCTTTGATGGCTCACAACACCCAGGACTGGGCCAGGCCAGTGCCAGGAGCTGGGAACTCAATTGGGTCTCTCACGTGGGTGACAGGGACCCAAGTAGTTGAGCCATCACCTTCTCCCTCAAGGGGTGCTCGTCAATAGGAAGCTGAGCCAGACTCGAACCCGGGCCCTTCAGTATGGACTGTGGGCACGGCAAGCAGTTTCTTAGTGGCTGCGCCAAACGTCCACCCCACGACCAGAGTTCTCGAAGATTCCCACCTGCTCACGAAGCTCCTTCCTGCTGACTTGCAGTCACTATCCAGCCCTGCCCCTCAGCCCGGGCAATCACTGATCTGCTTTTCCTAACTATGGACTCGCCTTTTCTGTGCATTTTATAGAAATAGATCGTAAACTAGATCCGTGGGGGGCTCCTGTCTGGCTCATTCTGCGTAGTGATGTTTCTTTCTTTGAACCTTAAATATCCTACGACCGTTGTTTATTATAAAGCTGGACCCAGACGGGTGGGGTATCTGGCCGGGGTCACAGGCTCCAGGCCCTCCAAAAGCTCTGGGTGGGTCACCCTGGAGGGGGATGTCTTTGATCTCCTTGGAAGCCTCAGCCACCTGTTTCTGGTATTTGCCGGCAGGGTTTTGGAGATGGGCTGGCGGACAGCACAGCTCTGAGCCACAGGCCACCCACAGACATGTCAGACGGGACATCCACGCAGCAAACTGCTCCTCACCCAGAAGCAAGTTCCGGCGGCCTGTCTGGCAGCAGGCACGGCTCCATCATCTCCTGGCCCGCGTGTTCACCCTGACGACGTGGAGCACTCTGGCTGTGGCTCTCTTCTTGCCCGCGAAGACCTGCACGGGCTGTAGCGGGGCCTTGGACCACGCGGCTGTGGACAGAGAACCAAGCTCCTCGCTGGGAGGCGCCACCACCCAAAACGCGTGGTAATGTTTCCGGGGTTCATCGCCTTGCAGCCTGTGTCAGCACTGGGTTGCTAAGGGGTGCCGGCCAGTGCGCCGTGTGCGGGGCGCACCGCTTGTTTATCCCCTGGCCGGCAGACACGGGGTGGCTTCCACTTTGGCCTGAAGGCTTTGTGTGGGCTCACAGTGTCATTCCTCTTGGGAAGACTCAAGGGGAAAGGTGTGCTTTCCTTCTCACCAAAGCGCTAAGCTGTTTCGCAAAGTACTGCCCCGTGCCTTGGCCTGGTTGGTAGCTACACAGGGTATTGGCTATATTATGTGCTACTGTTCAGACACTTTCTGTGCGTTCCAGGTCTCCCCCGGGGGTGGTGGGAGCCCAAGTTCTTGAGCCATCCCCGCTGCCTTCTACGGTCTGCAGTGGGAGGAAGTCGCAGTCAGGAGCCGGAGCTGGGAGTCCAACCCTGGTGCTCAGATACGGCCTGCTGGAGCCGGTAGTTAACATCTCGTCTTACCAAGGGTTTTCTGTTTTTGTTTTCAACCAGCCCCAAAGGACTGGGCTTCCATAGTCCACCAACTAAAATCCAGACTCCTCACTGTGGCTCAGAGGCATATGGATCTGATGCCACCCCCCTGTCAACCTCACCCCGCCAGCTGTCCCCTTCACCTCCTACGCTCTAGGTTCCCCCCCCCCCCCCCCCCCAGTCTGTGCCCCAAGGCTCATTCCAGCCTCAGAGCTTTCACTTGTGGTCTCCTCTGATCTTTTCAGGGCTAAGTCCTTATTGCTTTCTGTGTTGCAACTCAAATAGACCCGGGTACCTACTTCTTCCTGGAGGCCCCTCCCACCCCTTCCTCTCCCTCACACACGTCTTGTTTCTTTCTGCTTGTCTCTTTCATGGCTGTTAGCATCCTCTGCAATGCCGCTGCAGTTGTCATGCATCGTCTCCATTTTCACCTCCCCAGCTGGCAGGTTCCGTGTCTGTCTTGTTCCATGCACCAGGCCTGGCCCACTGCCACACACAGAAGAGCTCTAGAATGATTGCAGAGGAACAAGGCAAGCCCCACCCCCTTGCTGAACATCCCTGCACCCCATGCCCTGTCCAGGTCCTGACCCTCCACTGCGCTTCTCTCCCCTGGGGCTTTTGTGCCTTGCAACCATTCTGCCTGGGTCTCTGTCTCCTTTCTAAGGTCCAGCGTTGGTTTGCAGGGCAGCAGGCCAGACTCCGTCCTCGCCGATCCTCAGTCCTAAAGGCCCAGCTCTGGAACCATGGCCACTGGCAGTAGAGCCCAAGCTACGAAGACTCCTATCCAGAGAGAAGCTGCCTGGGCCCTGGTGTTGGGGCAGGGAGCAGATGTGTGCCTCCTGCCCCTGCTGGCTGCCACCTTGAGGAATCTCCCGGGAGCCACTCTGTGGCTTGGCCAGGGTGTGTGGGAAACCAGGCCCCTTGTACCTGGGTGGGTTCTCCAACCACCCCTAGTGCCCCGAGTGAGAGCCACACAGGATCCCTTCTGTGGGGCCTGGAGGGTTGCTGCTGGTTCCCTGGACATCAACCACCTCTTTTCCACCCCACCCCCATCCCGCACCTGCTAATCCTTTGTGCACAGCCAGCTACTGCCAGTTAATCCCCGATCCGTGTCTGAAAGGCCAGCTGCGAGAAGGCAGTTCCCGGCTGGAGGTTGGCATCTGAGCAGGTAATTCAGAGGGGACCCGGGATGGAATTCTAGAGAGGCGTTCAAGCAGGTGCGGCCAAATAGACGGGGCAGCAGCCTGCGGCTTCTGTTTCCTCCGTGGGGTTCAGAGCGTGGTGTGCGTCAGAATCTTTGGGCAGCTGGTGAAGTGCAGACATAGGCACCCCAGAGGGTTTGGAGGGCGCCGGGCTCTGCATTTTCAGCGGCTCCCTGGAGGATTTTGAAAACGCAGGTGGTCTACACCATGGTTCCCTGGGCTGCTGGAGGGCTCCCAGCTCCCCCTTCCTGCCTGAGCCTCCCTCGTCCAAGTGGACTCAGAAAGATGGGCAGGAGCGACAAAAATCTCTGACCAGGAGGAAACAGCTGAGTCTGGGGAAGGGGAAAGCGTGGGGAATGGGGAGGGGGCTCCCTTAGTCCTTTCTAGAACGTTCAGAAATGTAAGCCAGAACTGCTGCCCACTGGGCAAGGCCCTACAGGTCTGGCCTGCAGTAGGGACGAGCATTGGACCAGCATCAGCCCCACCAGAGTGGGTGCGGGGCGGCTGGGATTGAGTTGTCCCGAGTGTGGACTCGGCTTAGCCTTGCACTGGCCGTGCCCCTTGGGCCAGGCTGTCGGCCTGTGTGTGCTCCGTCACGGACAGCTTTGACTTTCTGGGGGCGGGGGCACGGGGTGCACCTGATTATGGACAGAGACTCTTGGCTCCATTCTGGCTCTTGGGGCTGCCGGCTGAGGCCCCTGGGATCTGCCACGCCCAGTGCTTGACTTTGGGCTGTCCCCACCTGGGAAGTCATTCGCACTGCCACGTCCAACAGGGAAACAGAAGATGAGAAGGGTCCCGTTTAGCTCTGATTCACTTTCCAGGACTGAGCCTGGGTTCTGACTCCCCGCGCAGCGTCTGCCCCCGCCACAGCTGCTCATGGCGGACACATGGCTGCGGGGACGAGGGCTGGGGACGGAAGGCCAGGCTGCCTGGCCGGGGCTCTGGGGAGCTGGGCACTGGGGCAGGATTGTCTTCAGCCTGGCCAGAGGGGTTCTTGGTCAGCTTCTTGGCTGCCTGTGGCTGGGAGAGGGCTGGGCACACCGGGTCCTGTATTGTTCCACAGGGCCCAGCCGGGGCTAGGAGTTTGCATACAGGGGCCTGTATGGTGCCTATAGGACCCACGGCTAAATAAACTAGAAACTAAACCCATATACAATGGAACTAAAATATCACAGTAAACCACGCAAAAGGAGTTTAACCGGCATTTTATCTAAAAATTGAAAACGTTATGAACATACACTACTTATCTTCAAACATTTTCCGTTCATATGTTCCTCATAATGGATGTTTAAAATTTATCATGGGATTGTACAGTGTGCAGTGAGTTAATGTTTTCACTTAATGTCACCGATAGTCACAGCCAACATTTGGGAAGCCCTCGGCCTAATGCTGGCGCCGTGTGGGTGTGCTGCAGCTATCCGTTCATTTCACCTTCCTAACTGACCTGCGAGAGAGGTGCCATTTGCACCCATTATACAGACAGGCAAGCTAAGGCACAGAGCGCTTCACATCCCTGCTCCTGACTTGATTCCAGAGCACGTAGGTCCCGATGGATTTGCTTCTTTCGTTTTAATGGTTCCGTGACGTTCCATTACCGAGTGGATCTTTGCTTAGTCATGTGCCTCTTACGGATGAACGTTCAAGTCCTTGCCAGTACTCAGCCTCCTCTTAGGGTCTTCAGGTGCTCTCCGTCGTCTTCTGCAACTAACCCCTGCGCGCATGTTTACGGCTTAGAGTAGTTCTACAGTGGACACCTGGGGCACCGTGGCAGCCGTGCGTACCGCGCGAAGTGGCCCTCCCGCAGCGGAGCCGGAGTGAGCACTCTGTCCCTCCCAGGCTGTCGGGATGCTGGGCTGGGTCCAGAAGGTGCTGCCGCAGCCTCCAGGGACTCAGAGGACCAAGGTGGAGGAGGAAGAGGAAGCAGAGGAGGCGGAACCGGAACCGGAACCAGAGCCCGAGACAGCCCCCGAGGAGGCCGAGCCGGAGGACCAGGCCCTGGTGAGAGGAGGCGGGGTGACCAGGGACGGGCTGGCCTTGCTGCTCGGGGACAGCCCAGCGTGGGCCACCCGCGCCCCGTGGACTGTCCACATCAGAGAAGCACAGCCAGAGGAGCCGTGGCAGTGTCCACCCCAGTGAGGACAGGCAGGCCCAGGCTGTGGAGCGAGCTCCCGGGCCAGCTGCCCTGTAAAAGGGTAACCAGCAAGCGTTTGAAGTGCTGTGGGCCAGGCCACCGGGAGCCTCTCAGCTCTGCCGTGCCAGTGTGGACACGGCTGTGGATGAGGATACACACACCAGTGCGGCTGTGTGCCCGTCAAAGGGGATTTAGAAAAGCAAGCAACCCGCTGGGTCTGACCCGTGGACCGCGCTTTGTCAAGCTCTGGAGTCTAGGACAGAGCTAGTCACAGCCGCGAGCGCGGGTTGTTGCCGGTCCCGGATGAGACCCGGAGCTTGCACCGGTGGGACTCTCCCGTCTGGTTCGGTGCTGTCTGCTTCCTGGCGAGACTTCCCCGCCAAAGGAAGCAGTCCGTTGATAATGCGTTCTGCTGCGAGCTGCTTCGTCGCCATGGGCTGGCGACAGTTTGCACGTTGGCCCTGCTCCACGGAGCGCCCCTTGGGGAACTTTTCCCCAGAGCTTTTTTTCTTTCTTTTCTTCTTCTTCTTTTTTTTTGGGGGGGGGGTAAAGATTTATTTATTTACTTGAAAGGCAGAGTTAGAGAGAGGCAGAGGCAGAGACAAAGAGATCCATGCGTTGGTTCACTCCCCAAATTCTGCAACGGCCACATGTGAGCCGGTCCGAAGCCAGGAGTCAGGAGCTTCCAGGCCCCCCACGTTGGTGCAGGGCTTGCATGCATTCCTAGTGTGTGGTTCCCTGTGTACGTGTGGCACGTCGGTGTGTATCATGCGTGCACGCACGCTCTTAATTGAATGTTTTCCTGGATATGTAGGAGGCTGCACATGCTTGCAAGTCTGTAAGCACACATGAGCATTTCCCCACGTGTGTTTTTATATACATTTTATGTTTGAGCATGTATGCTCACAAATATGTTTAGATGCAGAAGTGTATATATATGCATGTGTGTACATATGCCTGTTACGTGACTGAACATAAGTGTATGCATATGTACGTGCACATGTTTCTGTGTCTGTACATGTGTAAGCAGTTGCATCTGTGTACAAATGCATGCGTTCATACGTCTATGTTCACGTCATGCTTTTACATATGTGTGCGTGTGTGCATATGTGTGTATTAGGGCATGCGTGCTTGTGTATGTGCAACTGTACACGCACATGCATTTTGTGTCGAGCCCTGTGTGCACATGCACTTCCTTCTCTCAGTGCACGTGTGTTCATACATGTGTCTGTGTGTCACAATATACAGGAAATGTGTGTACACATTCATATTTGTGTGTGGACACGTGACTGTGTGCACATCTCAGTATCTGTGTACGCACGCCTGTTTGGACGCACAGGTGTGCATGCAGTGGCATGAGGCACTGAGACAGTGGCAGAAGCAGCTGAGACGGTGCAGAGGCTGAACCCCACCCAGCCGCTAGAGAGGGGGATGGGCAGTCCTGGCTGCTTGAGGGGTGGGCGCCTCGGCCTCCCGCTTCCCCTCGGCTTGCCCTGCGCCTCCCTGAGTCTCCAACCACGCTTCCTCCTCCTTGGGCCACTGCAGCAGGCAGCTTCCTGGGAGGCTGGGAGGCTGCACGGTGGGGTGGGGGTGGGGGTCTGGCTGAGGAGCCCCTGGGGCCAGGAGGCTGCACACCGGGGTGGGGGGGTCTGGGGGCCCCCTGGGGCTGGGAGGAGGAGGGAATGTCCCAGGCAGAAGGTCAGGTTGTCAGGAGTTAGAGATGAGCACAAGGACAGAGCTGTTCAACCCTTTGGCGGGTGCAGGTCCCTGCTGGGTGAATCGGGCCGGCTTGGCCCCAACCAGGCCGGTCTCGCCTAGGGCTTACATGGTCCCCTTTGACTCCTTCAGCCACCTGAAGAGACACCTGCAGGGCCATTGGAGGGGCAGGAAGTGGCTGCAGCTGACCCAAGCCTTCAAGGTGAGTGCGGACGCCTGGCTGGCAGGGCCGGCAGCTGAGAGCTCTGTGGGCTGATGGTCCCATTTCACAGATAAGAAAACTGAGGCCGGGGGGGGCAGTGCAGGGTGGGCTCCAGAGATGCCAGCATCTGGTCCACCAGCCGCCGGGCTCCTCCTCTGTCCTCTGCCCTGACTTGCTGTCCCCAGCAGGGCGGCAGTGGGCCCCTGCTGAGGCCCTGGAGCTAAAGAATGAGAAACTGTTTTCCAGAGACGCAGGAGGCTGCCTCCATTCCGCCCGCATCCCTCCAGGCCCAGGGCACGGGGGTCCTGGCAGTGAACAGGTACGGCACCTCCCTCCCTCCGCTCAGGGCCATCGTCCCCCCACCCCTCCCCCTGGGCATATACTCAGACCTGTGTTCATTCTGGAAGGGGCAGGGGCATCCTGGGAATTGGCTGCAGGGTGTGCCAAGCAGGGGTGGGGACCACCTTAACAGGTGTCCCCTCTATGGGGGGTGGGGTGAAAGGTAGGTCCAATGTGGCCAGAGCTTCGGATTTGCCCGGTGGATCCAGAAGTCCGGACTTTCTCGTGGAATCTCCCAGTTAGCGCAAATGTTTCGGATGATGCTGCTGGTCCAGCCGGGCGGGGCCAGGGCCTGCACACTTGGCCGGTCGGCCTCAGCTGCAGGGGAAGCCACCTCCCAGCCAGTGTGCCGTGGGGCACGGGGCTGTGGAGCCCGCCTCGCGGCAGAGCAGGTGACGGAGACTCGGCTGCACTGTCCTGAGCAGCAGATGGGGGTGGGCTCGGGGTGGCACCGGCCCTGCCTGGCCTCGGGAGGATGGGTGCCCCAACGAGGGGCAGAGGGCGGTGTCACGTCTGACACCCGACAGTGGGCAGACAGTGGTGTGGGACGCCAGCCGCGGTCTTGAGGACACTGTGGATGCCGCTCGGCCTGGGGAAGGCTGGGGTTGAAGGCAGGTGGCTCTCACTGTCCCCCACAGTCCCAGCGGCTGGGTGCTGACGTGGCTCAGGAGAGGCATGGAGAAGGTGGTCCCGCAGCCTGCCTGCAGTGCCAGGGCAGCCCAGCAGGAGGACCCAGATCAGGTATTGGTGGGCTGGAGGCCGAGGAGGGCTCGCGTGGGGCAAGGGCGCTGGGGGAGGCCGCCTGGGGCTCCCTGCCCATGGCTGTCTGTCCCTGGCAGGCTGGAGCACAGATCCTTGGGCCCTGCAGCGCTGGGGACGCAGGTGAGACCGGGGGCAGGGTGGGGTGGCTTTTCAGGGGAGGAGGCGGAGGGACTGTTGGGGCGGGCCTCGCCCCTGGGGAGCTTCTCAATGGGCCGGCCTTGGGTTCGGGTCTAGGTCTGAGCTGGGCTCTCGGTGACTGCGCTGGGCAGCAGGTCTCTGCTGCTGACTGCCTTTGTCTATTCCTCACCCTGCAGGGTGCCCAGATGAGCCCAGCGACGCCCTCAGGGCCCAGGACGCCGGGTGAGTCCCTGTCTCGAGCTGTGGTCGTCTGCAGTGTGTGTGACAGGAGGTGCAGCGTGCCCAGAGCTGAAGGCCTTGGGTTCAGGAGCAGGGTGTGTTACCAAATTGTAGCACTTAGTGTGCGGCCTTGAATGTGCCTCTTGTCTCCTCTGGGCTTCACTTGCCCATCCACGGAACAGGGACAATAGACCATATGCTGCCTGTGGTTGGTTGTGGTTATTACTGGGAGATCCCTGGGGGCCAAGGAAGCAGTGTGAGATCGACATGGAGCCTGGCGGTGTGGCTTAGACAGCCATGGGGCACACAGGTGTGCCCAGGTTGGCCTCACGGTTGGCAGCAGCGTCTGACTTCTTAGGGCTGACTTATGGGGGCTGGTGGGGAGGTGACTCCTCCCCAGTGAAGGGTGGCAGGTTGGGCCGGGTGGGGACTGTGGCAAACTGGGGAGTCTATGTCCTCCCTGCTCAGTTCTGACTTTCTCTGCCTCGCAGTGCAGCCAGATCCTTGTTTCTCAAGCAAAACTATGAGGAAAAAATCTAGTTTTTTTTTTTTTTAATTTATTTATTTGAGAGGTAGAGTTACAGGCAGAGAGAGAGGGAGAGACAGAGAGAGAGAAAGGCCTTCCATCCACTGGTTCACTCCCCAAATGGCTGTAACAGCTGCAGCTGGGCCAGACCAGAGCCAGGAGCCAGGAGCTTCTTCCAGGTCTCCCATGTGGGTGCAGGGGCCCAAGCACTTGGGCCATCTTCCACTGCTTTCCTAGGCCATAGCAGAGAGCTGGATTGGAAGTAGAGCAGCTGGGACTCGAACCAGCACCCATATGGGATGCCGGCACTGCAGGCAGTGGCTTTACCGCTACGCCATGGTGCTGGCCCTCAAAAATCTAGGTTTTAGGACACTGCATCCCCAAAGTAAGCCTCAGTTTCCAGGGTGCAGATTTCTGCTGGAAACCCAGCATCACACATTCCTCACCGTTCACCTCATTCATTCACTCCTTCACCTATTCATTTGCTAGACTGTTGGCTCCGTGAGGGCAGGGACACCTGTCTGGGTCACTGCCGAACCTCCGGTGCCCACATGGTGCTTAGCACCCCTGGGGCGCAGGAAGGGAGGGAGCGAGGGGGAGACAGGCACGGCACCCCCGTGTGTTGGCTGCTCCAGTGCTCTCAGTTTCCTTCGTCCCCATTTCTCTCTGGGGGCTGCTCGCCGGACTCCTGGCACCGCCGCAGTGACGTAGGACCAAGGCACCCGGAGGGCTTCCGGCTTGCTTTTGGGCCAGGCCTGGTGGGGGTGGGAGAGGGGGTACGGGTTGCCCTGGGAACACAGAGCTCCCCTGAAAGGGTGGGGCTTGCCCAGCCCAGAGGCATCTGGGGTCCACGGCACAATGAAAATGCAAGGCCTCTGTTAACCAGTTTTAAGGATTTTCAGAGTGAGACAGCAGAGTGTTAAACCCCAAACAGGTCCCTCTGGGGGTGGGTCCCTGTGAGATTGCCCGGGTCCCACAGTCACACGGCCAGCCCGTGTGTCCCTGTCATGGGGAGCCCCACATGCATCATTCAGACCCCCAGGGGCCAAAGCCGGGTCCAGTGCAGGCTCAGAATGCGAGGTTTTCAAGTTTCCCACTGCCCTGCGGCCCTTTGGGGGACCGAGTACAGGTCTCCCCACCCCCAGCACAGACCAGAAGCCTAAGCGAGGAAGCGCTGAGGGCTGGACCCCCGGTGGGGAGTCGGGCGGTGTGGTGGGTCCCTTCCTCCAGGCCGCTCACCTGGGTGACCCCGGGTCCCCCGCAGGCCTGGGCCGTGGCTGCTCAGATGGCTGGAGCAAAATCTGGAGAAAGTGCTGCCTCAGCCGCCCAAAGCCTCCGAGGTGAGTGGAGGCAGCAGACCCCCGGGGGACTGGGTGGGGGCAGAAGGTCCCGCCTGCTCCGCCTGCTCCGGCCGCCAAGCCCCAGGCCTGGATCTCGGTGGTGTTGGGCGATGATCCCCTCCTCGGATGGTTGGCGATGGGGGGACTGCTGAGTGCTGGGGGGCAGGGGATTCTGAGCAGATGGAGCCCCCTCAGGGGCCTGGGGCCAGGGTGGGAGTGCTCAGGGCTTGCTTTGATCTGTTTGCAGACCCAGGGCTGGAGGGAGGAGCCTGCTGATGCTGCCGTGGACCCAGGTACAGGGAGAGGCCTGGGAGAGGGATGTCTGGGATGCTCATAGGCTGCACGGGGTGCGGGAGGCCCTTGGTCCTCACCCAGGCTAGGGAGGGCTCAGGGCTTGCTGGGGGCAGACCCTTTGCGGACACCACTGGAACCCTCACCCCTAGTGCAGCCTGGGTTATGCCTGTGGGCTCTTGGGCAAGCCCCTCCCCTCCCTGGGCCTGGTCTGTTTGGGAGCAGGGCTGGTTGGGCTGGTCCTGGGGGCGCCCCGTGCCCTGCTGTGGTCTGAAGCGCCTGCTCTCCCTGCTGCTCAGAGCCTCCCGCATGTCCCCTGGGGCCAGAGCCCAGGATGCAGGCCCAGGAGAGCGCCTCCCTGCCCACGCCCAGCGGCCCGGAGCCCCAGGAGGAGCCGGCTCCAGAGCCCCAGCCTGGGTTCCAGGCTTCCTCCCTGCCGCCCCCCGGGGACCCTGCCAGGTGAGCCCCCTGAAATGCTTCGCCTTCCCTGGGGAGCAGCCCAACACCCAACGCTGACAAAACTAGTTTCTTAAGTTATAAAAGGCACCTCCAGCCCCTTCCTCCCCACACCCCCTGTGAGTACCTTTCCCTGTAAACACAGGCCCGACCAATGCAAACCACGCCCAATGCCTGCCCCTTCCCTCTGCTTGCTGTGTCCTGGAGGCGGGTTTAGCGACAGGGTCTGTTTTACGCCCCCAGCAGCTGCCCACTACTCCTGTGTGTGGTGAACCGATTTTAGGTGACCACCCGGTGGACATTTAGGCTTGCGTTCCCTCTTCTGCTGTGACCAGCAGCCTCATCCATGAGCAGGATAAGTGAGTGGAAGTGGAGCTGCTGGGCTCGGGTGTTGCCAAAAGCTCCCACCTGGTGCTGTGTGCCAGGCCAGAAATGCACTTAGGGGGAGGGGCGGCCAATACAGGGAGTCTGCCTAGAGAGGGTGAGGAGGGGGCGAAAGGGTCTCAGACTGCAACCCTGGGCTCTGCTTTCTGTGTCAGGAGGGAGTGGACTCTGGCCTCGGTTTCCCCCTGAGCAGTCCCAGGAAGACACAGCCCACTCTCTCTCTCTCACCTGCAGGTTGTTAGCATGGCTCCTGCACAGGCTGGAGATGGCCCTGCCGCAGCCAGTGCTCCACCAGAAAGCTGGGGGCCAGGTCAGTGCTGGGCCCAGGGAGCGGGGCCTTGAAACTTGGGTGAGGGTAGAATGTTGGCCTGTATCCCCAGGGATGGGACTGAGCAGGGAGCAGGAAGAAGGGAGCCTGCAGTGGGCACCCCGCCCCCATCTGCTTGGTGCACATCATCCCAGAAAGCCCCCGGAGCACCCTGGCTGCAGGGCTGAGAAGCGCTGGCCCAGCTGCACTGCAGGAGCTCATGGTCTAAGGGGGGAGGAGGTAGAGCCCCTGGGAGCATCAGGGAGGGCTTCCCAGCGGAGGTGGCCTCAGCAAAGGCCCCCCAAACAAGGGAGACTGGAAATGGTCTGGGAAGAAGCAGGGCTCACAGGAAGCGGCCTACAACCTAGGGTTCCCACGCAGGTGAGCGGGGGCAGTAGGGCCTCCATCTCCCCTTCCTCTCCTGTCCCTAGAACCTGGGCCCTGGCCCTTTAGGGACAATGGGACATTCTCATAGTGTCACTAGTTAAAATTCGCCCCAGGCTGCTTGCCGCTGGCCAGTGAGTATGCTGGAAGAGAGGACAGGATGTGTTTTAGTCTGGTGCCCCCTGGGGAAAGGTGCTCCCTGTGGCCCCAAGTCTGCTCTCCCCAGCCAGCGAGGCAGCCGGGGGAGGGGCGGGAAGATGAGGGGTCCAGGTGACTGACAGCCAGGCAGGGTTCCAGGGTCGGCTGCATGGTCCCTGAGGCCAGCGAGGTGCAGGCTTCTTGGGTGAGAGCTTGGACGTTTGCAGCTGATGGTCCTAGTCCTCCTCCTCGGAGGGCTGCCATCCTCACCGTTTCCCTGCAGGGAGCCCCGAGGTCCTTAGGCAAACAGGATTCATCTGTTGAACGAACAGTCTGATGGTCACAAGATGAGCAGTTAGCTCTTGCTGATTAGAAGGCGAAAGGGAGAGGAAGATGTATTCAGTACAGCCCAGTAGAAGCACCTGGGACTGAGAGGCAGGCAGTCCTGGCTGTGGCCCTCGTGGAACCTCAGCGGTGCCACCTGAGCAATGGGCCAGTGACCCCTGTCACCAGCCAGGGCTGTGAGAATGCAGGAAAAGGTTCCTGTCGGTGCTGATGCCCAGGCCCAGAAGACAGGGAGGCCTGGCCAGGTCCTTGCTCCTCTGGGCAGGTGCACCTGCTGTGGCTGGATGGGAGGCCCCCACCTTGTCTCACTTCAGCCAAAACTCGGGCTCTCCAAGCCCCCTCCCTCAATTCCTTCACTGGCCCTGGGCACAGCAGGAGCCCTCTCCTCCACTTCCTGGCACTCCTTAGGCCCAGTGGGGTGGGTCAAGGTCACGTGGCTGGGCATCTGGGCTGCACATGGGCTATCCCAGCCTGTCCCACCCTCCCTTTCCCAGCATGGGCTCCTGCTAGACAGGGGCTGCGCAGGAAGCCTGCGAGCATCTCTGTGCGGGTGGGGAGGGGTGGGGTTCAGTCTCCCAAGGGGAGAGGAGGCCTCATGGTGGGGGCAGTCTGACAGAGAGGCCTTCATGGAGCAGGAGTGGGACGCAGCGGAGAGGACGGGGGGAGGGCTTTGAGGCGGAGGCTGGAGGGTCGGGGCGAGGGAGACCCCTGGCTCCACATGTGGCAGGAGGTGGTCACAGTGGTCTCTCCCCCTTCCCTCCCCATGCAGGAGCCTGACTCCCCTGGGACGTGTGACGTGCAGACCAGTGAGTGACACACGAGTGGGTCCCCGTGGGTGTCTCTGGGAGGGTGGCTTGGCATCCTGGGGCTGAGTGGGTGGCACAGTTGTGGCCTCCTGACCTGCAGCTGAGACAAGCAGAGATGGGGAGGGGGTGGAGTCCCTGAAGAGTGGGCAAGTGCCTTCACTTGTGGCTGGCTTGGGGGGAGGGGGATTTGGGGGCTTTTTATCCCAGCTCCGCCAGGCTCAGGGACCAGGGCAGAGGCCAGGGGGCTGCGTCTGCTCGCGCATCACCTCCTCTTGAAGGCATGCACAGGACAGGCCTTCATTCAGTCACCCACTCATTCGCCACATTGTCACGGGCGGCGTCTAAAGAGCAAGGCGGCATTCAGGGCTCATGGGCGGTGGCAGCCCCTGCTCCCTCCTGGACACGGGACTGCGGTCAGGGCGTCCCACGCCACTGCCCACTCTGAAGGCTGTGTCTGGTGTCTGGCCGTGGGTCTCACGAGCTTATTGATGCTGGGGTGACCACCGCGGCCTGGGACCCAGACAGGCAGCCGATTGTGGGTCTGAGAGAGGGCTGCAGACTCGACTGCGGTATAGCCGTCTTGGTGACCAGAGGGAGGAGGAGGCCCGCTGGCCTCAAGGCAGGGCACTGGCAGTCTCTCTGGGAGCTCAGGCCCTGGCGGAGCGTGCGGTGCTAGGGCTGCTGGGGCGGGCTGGGGGCAGAGTTCAGAGAAGGCACCTTCCGCGGGTCCTGTGCACACCTTGTGGAGCAGTGACTGTGCACCTCTTGGCCTGGCCAGAGCGGGTCAGGCAGGCGAGGGCTGATGGAGCTGCGGATGTTTCCTGGGTACAGAGCCCCTCCTCGTCCTCTCTGCTCTCTGGCAGGAGGGGCAGCACTGGGCACTGTAGTCAGGGCCGCCTCTCGGTTCCTGAGCACGTGCGTCACGGGTGGGTGTCGAGGGCGGCATGGGGGGCTGGCTCAGCGTGGTGTCCCCCACGACTATGCTCAGCTCCCTGTCTGTCTCAGCGGAGCCCCAAGGGTCCATCTCCAGGGCAGCCACCCACAGAGCACATAGCCCAGGACCTCAGGGATCTCGCAGTGTGGGCACCCAAAGCGTGGAGTCGGGGTGTCCACAGGTCCACTCCTTCCGAGCCCCCTGGGAGAGAGCGGCCCTCCTGGCTCCAGCTGCTGGCAAGCCCTGGCCTTCCTGGCCTGCCCGGGGCTGTCCCTCCTCTGCCTGGGCCGGGTCCCTCCTCCTGGATCTTAAGCGGATGTCCATCATTGGATTTAGGGCCCCCCCTAAGTCCAGGCTGATCTCATCCCGATATCATTAACCTGATCACATGGGCCAAGAGCCCATTTCCCAGTAAGGTCACAGGCACACGGCCAGGACTGGGACGCATCCTTCCTGGGTTGGGTGGGGGGAGCAGGCCCTCCTCGCTCAGCCCCCTGGCCTCACCCCTCCACTCGTGCATTCATTCGTTCATTCCATCATTCATTCCCTCCACCTGTCCAGCAGCCGCCCACCCTCTGTCTTCTCCTTTGTTCCAGGGGCGGTGGCAGCTGGAGGCCTCTGAAACAAGGGAGAAGGGGATCTGGGCGAGTGCGGACGGACAGACGGACGGATGGATGGCAGGAGAGGAGGCCGCTCTGAAGAGAAGACCCTCGGGGAGGGGGTGGCTACTGACCCCCGGCCCTGCTTGGCCCGTGAACCCTGCCCCTCCCTGCACTCCCAGGCAGGACAGGGGAGCCACACCAGCCCCAGCTTGGCAGGGGACAGTTAGGCCAGACCACAGGAGGACATCCCCCAGGGGCTCTGCCCGCTGCGAGCCCAGTTCTCGGTGCAGCTCAGCAGATACAGTTTTTCCCGAGAGAGTTCTCCTTAGTCCTGGCCACACTCTCCCCTCCAGAGGGCTGGGGACCACCAGTGGGCAGGGACGGACACTGAAGTGGACATTAAATGAGCATGGATTAGCCTCTGAAGTCTGCGATTGCCAGTCATTGCTTATGAGAGGGCCACGGGGCACGCTGGGGCTGTCGACGTGAGTGGACAGTCTGGGAACTGGGGTTTCAGTGAGCCAGGTGCTCTGGGTCCCGGCCGGCTCTCCTCTCCCCAACCCCGCCATGTCTTTGTTTGTCCCAAGGAGTCATTCTAGAAATTAGAATGAATGGCCAGCATCGGAAACACAGCTCGTGTGACATATACATGTTGGCATCTCTCAAACCCTGGGAAGATGTGGCTGTCCTGGCCTCCGCTGCGCTCATAAGGACAGTCCAGGGGCGGAGGCATGGGCCCCTTCATGGTGTTCACCTTCTCCCTTGAGCTGGGGTTTGAGAGCCCTGAGGTCCCAAACTGGCAGTGAGGGGAGGGGCAGTCCCAGCACGGGATTTGAAGTGACAGAAGCCCGGAGGTGAGGGACGGAGGGGCGGAGGGGGAGATTAGCGCTGGCTCAGCTCATCTGTCCATCCATCCGGAGCCCAGAGTCCTGGATGCGGAAGATGAAACCAGCAAGGGCGGGGCCTGGCTTTCGGGGACCAGGCTGCAGGCAAGGGGAGCCACTGAAGGTGGTGGAGCAGGGAGCGGCTTCACCGAGAGCCCTCAGGAGCCGATCACGCAGTGGGTGTGGGCACAGCCATCGCAGCAAGAAGGAGATGTGGGCCTGCCCAGCGAGGGGGTGTCAGGAGTCAGGCCTGCTGGAGGGCACAGTGTGGAGCCAGGGCTGGGGCTTTGCCAGAGATCTGGGGTCCAGGTGGGAACCTTGGCCCAGAGCCTGCGTACCTGGGCTCTCAGTCTGCTGGCCCTGGGTGCGGCAGCTTCTCCCCTAGGCGTGGCTGCTCGTACTCCCTGGCTGGGGTCAGAACTGGACTGGATGGCCCTGAAAACGAGAGACCCCTGAGCAGGAGGCGGCGTGCCCAGCAGGGGCTCCAGGGGCGAAGCTGAGGCCCTGGATGAGGCAATGATGTCCACGGGAGTGGGAGCCCAGCTCCCAGGCACCTGGGATGGGGAGAGCTGGGGATCGGATGCCTCGGAGGGGGCCGGGGCTCCAGGGCGGCACGGGGCCTGTTCCCCCAGGCCTGCTGAGCCCTACCTTGGGGGCCGGGGGCAGAGCACCCCACCCCTGCCCTTCCTGAACTGTTCCTTTCTCAGAGCTCTAAACCTTTGAAATGCTGCTCACCAAATAAGACCCACAGAGCAAAAGTTAATAAAAAGCAGTGCTAACACTTAAGCACCACACCCATTACAGAGTGGCCACGCTGCCAGTGAGCCACCCACGGGGTGCATTCACCCCCTAGGGTTGTGCACCAGGAAAACAGGAGTCCCGGCTCTGCCTCCAACCCCCTGTGTGGCCCCGGACAGCCGCTCAGCCTCTCGGAGCTGGCTCTTGGGCCTCTATGGTGGGAGGAGCACTAAGTCTTGCTCTTCAGGGCTTCTGTGAGAGCCAGTGCACTCGCAATGTTCCGGCCCCTGCTGTGCCCAGGCAGGAACCTTTGCAACCCAAGGGGCTGCTTGGGGCGGAGATGACCAGGGGCAGTGACACAAGAGCAGACGCAGCCTCCTGGCCTCTGTCCCAGTCCCTGAGATGACACCAATGCTGGACAGTGACGTGGAGTGGTACCTACAGCACGCCCCACTTCTGGAATGGGGGGCACACTTGGGGGAGCCTTGCAGCTCAACCCCCAGGGATGTTGGTAGAGCCCGAGGGGCCAGAGCTGCTGCAGAAAGAGCCACGCTGGGATCCATGTGGGGGCTTCCCTGGAGGCAGGCAGGAGGACGGGGTAATGACTGGGCCAGGCACATAAGGGCCCCCCGGAAGAAGGCGTTTGCCTGTGTCTCAGGTTGCTCACCTATAAAATGGGGAATAAAATGCATATATGAGGGAAAATGGGGATAATGTTTCTATCAGAATACTGAGGTGCAAGCTCGTCACTTAGCACAGGGCCTGGCACATAGTAAGTGCTCAGTGAACCTAGCTGTTGTCACCGTAAGAATAATTATTTTTAAAGCATTTATTTGAAAGGCAGCGTGACAGAGAAGGAGGGACACAAAGACATATTTCATCTGTTGGCTCAGCCCCCAAATGGCTACAACAGCTGGGGCTGGTCCAGGCTGAAGCCAGGTCCCTGACGTGGGTGGCCGGGGCCCAAGTCCTTGGGTCATCTTCACATTAGCAGAGAGCGTCATTGGAGTGGGAGCAGCCAGGACTCGAACCTGTGCTTCCGTACGGGATGCTGGTGTCGCAAGTGGCGGCTCAACCTGCTGCACCACAGGACAGGCCCCTCTGATTATTATGCTACAACAGCTTCCAAAGTCAAAGATGAGACCATGTAGCTGCCACTCAATGTCACTGTTACTAATATGTGCAGTTTGTATTTAACAGTCCAGTGCTAAACATTAAGTCACTGTTATCAACTCCTGCTTGGCTTGAGGGCCACCAAGCCCCCTGATGCTTCCTGGGGGTGCACTCAGGCTCCCAATGAGTCTGCCCTGCACCCCTGCTGCCAGGCTCGCAGGCCCACGGTTTCGAAACTGCCCGGGGCCAGGGGAGAAATGTCGAAAGGCGCAGACCCCTTCCGAAGGTGGGACAACCCCCTGAGCAAGCTGAATTCCCTTGGAAGGAGGGGCCTTGAGGCCCTGGAGGGGAGGAGGGGTGCCCAGGAACCAGTGCTGGCCTTCCGAGTGTGCTGTTCCCAGGAGGTGGCCGCTGGCGCCCCAGCCTGCAGCCCCGGGACAATCCAGCCACTTGGCTCCTGGTTGTGCAAAGTAATCTCTGTAGCTGGTTGTTTTTCTTTTTCTTTTTTTCTTTTCTTTTTTTTTTTTTTTTTGCATCACTCTGATGATGTGCACAACCCTCCAGGAAGGTGTCAATGAGAACTGAGCTCGATTCACAGCAAGAAGGCTCTGTCTCAAGAGGAACAGGTGGATGGTGTGGGCTTCACGCGTTGCTTGGGTGCCGATCTGGTCGTTAATGGTCCCTGATACTGGTGCCGATTCCTCACTGCTTGGCTAAGGATCAACGCTGCTGGTGATCGCCAGGGGTCCCTGGGATGCAGGGCTTCAAGCCTCCCCTCCCCCACACCCACCAATGGCTCCCCCGATGCTCCCTGCAGTCAGCATCCTCCCTGGAGAGCAAGTGGAGCCTGACCTTGTCCTGGAAGAGGTTGACCCGCACTGGGAGGACACCCAGCAGGACAGCAGCGGCAGCCCGCAGGGCACAGAGGAGGTGCCGGCTTACGGAGAAGAGGACAGTGCCGTGGAGGAGGTGCCCAGGTAAGGGGGTAGAGAAGGCCCTGGACAGATGGGTTTTCGTGTCTGAGAAGGTGACAGGCGTGTGGTATGGAATCCAGAGGTGTGAAGGGGCACAGAGCAGGAGCCAAACCTCCTTCCCGCCCCTCCTTCTCCTACAGTAGCCGCCAGGTTCTCATGCACCACCCAGAGGCGGCTGGGCACAGACAAGCGGGCTCCCCGTCTCTGGTCTGCAAACACGACTGCACACTTCGTGTCTGCCATGGTTGTCCATCAGCCCCCCGGAGGCCTTTCCCTGTCTGTACTCAGAGGCCGGCCTTGCTGCCCACAGCCGTGTAGTATTCCATGGTGTGGGTGAGCCATGGTTTATTTAACGTATCCACTCTTGATGGGCATTTAGGTTGATTCCAGAGTTGGGTTATGAACAGGGCTGCAACACACACTGTTGTGTGTGTCTTGGCACACACGCAAAGGATAGGCTCCCAGAGTGGGCCGGCTGGGCCAGCAGGCGTGGGCTTGGGGCTGGAAGAGGTGATGCGCAAATCGCCCTCCCTAGGAATAGTGCCCTCTGCTTTCCTGCCTTGGTGCCTGGCGATATCCACTTCAGCCAGGAGGCTGCTGGCCTTCAAGTTCATGACCAACCTTGCTGCAAACGGGAAACAGGCCCAGAGAGAGTGCGGGGCTGACCTGGGGTCACCACCAGGCCCAGGGGGGCTGGGCCAGGCCCCGCAGGCAGTGAAGCGGGCTTGCTGCTAGAGCCCACGGCTGCCCTGGTGGGGCTCCCAGGGCCGAGCTTTGATGGGGAGCAGGTGCTGTCTTAGGAGTCGTGGGAGAGCCTGCAGGAGACGGCACCCGAGGCCGACTCCGAGGGTGGTTCTGGGAGGACTGACCGCCTGCCGCTGCCCCAATTTAGGCCGCTGTCCCAGATTCAAGAGGAGAAAGAGGAGGAGGAAGAGGAAGAGGATGGAGAGCAGGAAGAGGAGGAGGAGGAAGAGGAGGCTGAGTAAGTCCTTGTCCACCTGGAGGGGGGACGTCCCAGGGAAGCCGGGTTTTGGCCCTGACCACTGGGGTCCTGGGGTGGGGGCTCTTGGGGGTTCCTGGGAGCTCCTTGGTGCTACGCCGTGCAGAGGCTGGGGTCCCCACTGTGCTCAGAATGACCCAGGAGTCGTAGCCCCCTCCACTCAGCAGCCCCCTAACACGCACAGACTGGCGTGCAACCCCTGAGAGTGGGGACTTCTGCCTGTTGTTTTCACTGGCCTGTCCCCAGAGCCTAGAAAGGTGCCAGGTACACAGTAGGCACCAAATAAATGGCTAAATGCATGGATGGATGCATGGATGGATGACAAGTTGGGCTCCCAGTTCTCTGCTCTTGTTAACAAAGTCATGGCTGCTTCCCCCACCATGCACTGCCCCAATGACCCCTGGGTCACCTTCGGCACCTCCAAGGGCCTTCCCAAATGGTCCTCTGTCGCCCAGTAACAGTTGAGCCCACTGTGATCTTGAAGAGCTCAGCATCAAAACTCAGAGGAGCAGTCAGTTCAAATAAAGCTTTGAAAAATGGAGACCAGAAGCCGTTAAGGGAAGACTGCTAGCACTTGGCTGGGGGCAGGGAGGTGGTGCACGCAGGTGATTGCGGATGGGGTTTAGGAGGCTGTGGTGGGCACCCCTGCGCCTGGGCTTAGGTGGGGAGTTGGGGGCAGGTCAGTGGATGGCCCTGAGAGCTGTGGGGCTGCAGGTGATGCCTGCAGGTGGGGTGGAGGTGAGGCCCGAAGACCAGAGCAGAGGCTCAGCAGTGAGGAGGAACCAGGAAGGCCTGAGGAGCAGGTGCTAGGGAGGCCGAGTGGGATAGTGGAAGAGGATGGCCTCAAAGACAGGCTGTAGAGCCCTTGAACTTGACTCCCCAAGGGCACTGGGAGGCACTGCAGGTTTGGGAGCGGGAGGGAGACGTGACCTGGCAGCTCTGCCGGGGAGAGGTTGAGGCAGGAAGGCCAGCGAGGGGGCTGTGATCATGGGTCAGGTGAGAGAGAGTTCATCCAGCCCCGTGCTCCAGCCCCTGTCCCTGTCACTCTGCCCATACCCTTCCTCCCTGGCCTGTCCCTGCGGTCATGGCCGCAGACAGGGCGATGTCATGCCTTGGAGGAGTACAGGCTCCTTCCTGTTGGCACCGCGTCCTGGGCAAGTGACACGGCCCAGTGCTGTCCTCACATCTGTGAGACGGGGGTGGCAGCTGCGCCATGCACAGACAGGGCTGCTCAGGCCAGCTGTGGCGATGGATGTGGCGGGGCCCAGCCTGCAGTCAGCACCCATCCCTGGTCCCTGGAGAAGGTCACTTTCAGTCCCAGTGAAGAGACAGTTGAACAGAGACCAACACGGGATTTCAGAGACGGACACCAATGCAGGGCCATGTGCTGAGTCCACACTCACTCGGTTCAACCATGACGTCCTTGGCAGGAGGCCAAACAGCCTCTACTTGCTTACCTCCAATGACAGGGAGCTCACAACCTCTCAGTGGCTGTCATCTTATGCACACGCACCTTTGACTTGGGAAGCTATTTCTTATGCCGAAATGCAGCTTGCTTCCTCGTGGCTTTGGCGACTCAGTCCCAGCTCTGCCCTCTGGGCCTCTACCCCTTGAGTAAGCTGAAGACCCCAGCTGCGCCTCGCTTCGTGGGTGCCTGTGTTTGCTCCCTGCTCTCTGCCTGCCTCTGTGTACAATGAGTAGCTCTGAGTTGTTCCCCTGCGTGACCTGTGCACCTGACACATCAGCCTGAACCCCTTAATTTGCCACCGCTCTCAGAGGCCAGTGATGGACTGTGCACACACGTGTGTACACACTGCCTACACACATGTTCTCAGCACACACAGGAGCACACGTGTACATCTGCACTGTGCACACACTGTGGCCATGCACATCCTGCGTATGCACTTGGACACATGCAACACACACATGTGTGCACACGGCACGTCTGTCCACATGTGAACCTGCCTGTACCATACCTGCACACACATGTACATGCAGGGCCACACAGAGGGCCCCACAGATGCTGCAGGCGTGTGCATTCACACAAATGCTCACCAGGGTTTTTTTTTTTATATAAGATTTTATTTATTTGAAAGTTAGAGTTACAGAGAAAGAAGAAAGAAAGATCTTCTGTCTATGGTCCACTCCCCAAATGACTGCCACAGCCAGGGCTGAGCAAGGCTGAAGCCTGGAGCCTGGGACTCCATCCTGGTCTCCCACGTGGGTGGCGGGGAGCCAGGCACTTGGGTCATCTTCCACTGCTTTCTCAGGAGTATTAGCAAGGAACTGAATTGGAAGCAGAGTAGCCAGTATGGATTGCCAGGGTCGTAGGTGGTGCCACAACATAGGCCCCTCATCCAGAGTTTTTTTTTTTTTTTTTAAGATTTTTTTAAAAATTCACTTGAAAGGCAGAGTAACACACACACACACACACCCCTTCCCACTGCTGGTTCACTTCTCAAATGGCTGCAACAGCCATGGCTGGGCCAGGCCAAAGCCAGGAGCCTGGAACTCCATCTGGGTCTCCCAGGTGGGTGGCAGGGACCCAGACACCTAAGCCATCATCTGTTGCTTTCCCAGGTGCCTTAGCAGGAAGCTGGATCAGAAGTGGGGCAGCTGGGATTTGAACTGGTGCCCATATGGGATGCCAGTGTTGCAGGTTGTGGCTCAACCTGCTACAACACAGTGTCAGCCCAGTACCTAGAATTTTAAACTCAGGAAACTTTTAGGCCCAGCCCCAAGAAGGCATGAGGGTACCGTGGTGACTGCACCAGGCCTTCCAGGGCCAAGGAAGGAGGGTGAGGCCCAGGACGAGCAGAGCTGGGCCGTCACTGGCTGGGGGAGGAGGCTCTTGGCCAGCTTTGCAGAGGCCCAGGTTACTGATGACGCCAGGGCCCTGGTGATACAGACGGTCGCCTAGCAACCTGGTCTCTGCAGACAGCTGCAGGGCTTTCCCTAGCAACGGCTGCCTTTTGGTCCCCACCTGGCCTCCCTGGGGCCTCTCTGCAGAGTTCTCTGCACGTCCCCTCAGTCTGATTAGAAACAGGAAGGGTTGGTGTTCAGCGGCCAGCCGGGCCACACTGGCTGGGCAGCTGGACTCGTGGCTGGCCAGGGGCTCTCCGGGCCCTGGGCTTGGGATGGAGGCCACAGCCCCCAGCTGAAGTCCTACACCATGGACATCCTTGCTGGCCAAGACAGAGAGACCCAAGTAGGTGGCTGCTTCTGCCTGAGGGCTTTGCTCTGTCCTTCTCCCGGGGTTCAGGGGAGGAGTCTGTTGAAGGCCTTGGTGAGGACCTTGATTTGCTGGTGGTGGGGGCACCGCCTGTGGGGCCCAGGGGGAGGAGGAATGCACTGGTGAACCCTCAAGAGCTCACTGTGCCGCTGCTCTGGGGCCTTGAACCTGACAGCCGGGGTGCCCGGAAGCCCCCCTCAGCCTGTCTCTGCCTTTCTGCAGGGAAATCCCTGGGACCTGGGAACTTTCTGGAAGTTGATGGCCTGGCTGCTCTGGGCTGGGCAGGAGGGGGCAACAACATGGCTTTGGTGACCCCTGGTGATGCTGGCGGGGTCCCCCCGGGGCTCCCTGGGCACTCAGCGTCTCGATGGCTAGGGATGTTTGTGGGAAACGTTCCCCAGCCCTCGGCGGGGATTCCATCGCCCTGTCGATCGCTGCCTCCTCTGGGATTCATCGCGATCACAGGAACGACACTAGCAGGAGCTGCCCTAGGGTAGCACTGTTTCCCATGCTGGGCCCTGTGCTAAGGCAGCCTGAGTGGCCGCTTCTGAGATGAATCCCATTTCACAGATGAGAAAGCTGAGGCTCGGAGAGAGTGCCCTGCCAGGAAGTGCGGAGCTGGGACTCTGGTCCCTGAGCAAACTCTCGATGCTGCAGAGGAGGGAAGCGGCTGGGGGGAGTCGCCACAGCACCCGACAGTCCTTTCTCACTTCCACGGGGTCTTGTTGCCCCTCTGCCCTCACTCAGACAAGCCTGGCTGGGGCAGGGCAGTGGCGCAGCGGGTCAAGTTGCTGTTTAGTGTCCCCGCGGCCCGTAGAAGAGCGCTGGCTTGAGTCTTAGCTGCTCTGCTTCCAATCCAACGTCCTGCCAATGTGCCTGGGAGGCAGCTGATGATGGCTCAAGTGCGGGGGCCCCTGCCCCCCACATGCAGACCCTGCTGGAGTTCCTGGCTCCTGGCTTGGGCCTGGCCAAGTCCTGGTTGTTGCAGGCTTTGGAGGAGTGGCCAGTGGATGGAAGATTCCTTCTCTCTCACTCTGCCTTTCAAGAACATGGACATAAACAAACATTTAAAACCTACTAAGTCCTCAGCCCAGGCCAAGTCCTACCCTTGGACAAACAGGCAGCTGCAGGGCTTCTGGGTGACTGGCTTCAGGCCACATAGCCACATGGCCACTTCTGGACCCCAGGAAGCCTGGGCCAGGGCTGTGGGCCTTCGTTTCCCTGGGTCATTGTGCTGGAGGCGGGGAGCCCGGAGAGGCCCTGCCTGCCCCAGGCTTCTCTTGCAGAGAGTCCATCCTCAGCCTCTGTGCAGGGCTTACTGCTTGGCAGAGAAGGCATGGGGCCCAAAAGACTTTCAGTGGCCTGCGAGCGTGGTTTCATTTCTTTTAAACTCACACCCCAAAAAGGAGCTTTCAGAAAGAACATGAAAAAGAAGATTTATTTAAATATTTGCCGTGGGATTGGCCACAGCCTTGGTCACGACGGTTCAGGGAGGCATCGTGCGTGAGGAGCAGGGCCCAGCGCCGGGCCCATAGCCCCTGGGAGTGCAGTGGCAGCGTGGTTGTTGGCAGGTCCCTGTTGCCAGGCAGCTGGCTCCAGACTGACCGGTGACAGTCCCGACCACACCAAGGGAGGCCTGAGACTTGGCCTCTGGGCTGAGGGTGGTGGATCTGGGATTTCTGGGTGAGGCACCCCGGAGTGGCCTCCGTAGGCCTACAGGGTCTGGGGTCTGAGGGGTGGGGTGGCTGTGAGGGTGCAGGAGCTCATGCTAAGTACACATACCCCCCTTGTCCTGTCCCAAGTCATCATTTTCACCCAGAGTTCCCAGGCAGGCATCCGAGGGCCCGGTCTTGCCTAGAGATGGGCAGGTGTGGCTATCTGCATGTGGGTATGGAGAGACCACTCAGTGTTAGATGCTGAGAAATCCCACCTGAACAACAGAAGTGCAGGCTCCTCCTGGTAATCAGAAGAGCTGGTCACCCAGGGCCCCATCCCGAGCAGAGCGGGGCTGCGCCTTCAGGGTTCTCCTCTTTGCCACAGTCCTTCATACTCCCTATAGCCTCACCCCTGGCTCTGTCGCTCCTGTGTGCCTGCTGCCTGGGCCGGGCACCCTGGCACCTGCAGCATCTGCAGCGTCGCCTGGACAGAAGCAGGTCTGGCTTCCAGGCTTGGGTGGTTTGGGATAGTCTGCTGTGGGATTTTGGCCAGGTCTGTTCGCCTCGCTGGTCCTCACTGCCTGCTCTGCCTGCAGCACGGAGGTCGCCTGGAGGCGTGTGTCCGAACACCACTCAGGACTCCGGACTGCACCTCCACCCGTTCTCTGTGCTTGCTTTGCGTATGCTGTTCCCCCTTCCAGGATGCCCTTCCCGCCTGCTGCTTGTGGTCAAATCATCACCTAGTGGCCCAGCTCACAGGCCACCTCCTCTGGGCAGCCCTCCTTCCCAGCAGACTGGCAGCATGTCCTTTGCAGCCTATGGCAGACTGTGTGTCTCGGACAGGGTGACTGACAGCAGGACACTGCCCTGAGGGGCCCGGGAGGGCAAGGGCCCATTCTTGGCATCTCTGTGCCCCCGGCTTCCAGCCCGGCCCCAGCACTCAGCAAACACTGAAACACCAAACCCTCCTAACGCTAGCCCTTTCCTCCTGGCCCTCGGGCTCACAGCGTCCTGCTGGATAGCTACTTGGTGACGGAGGCAGATGAGGACCCCAGTGAAGTAGGAGAAACCCAGGAGCTGAGGGAGTCGGACCAGGTACGGAGAACATGCTGCGCTGTGGGACCCTTGTGGGCGGGGGCCTTGCCCACGGGGTAGGCAAGGTGGTTTTCCGCAGGTGAGATGCCTGCAGGACGCGGGGTGCTGGGTCGTGTGCGTCGCTGCTCGTACCAAGGGTCAGGTGGTGTCGGGAATGGCCTTGGCCGTGGGTGGACGGTCACGTGGCCCTTTGTGACACAGCGATGGTGTGGAGTCAGGTGCACCCCAACTCAGGTCCTCACGTGGCTGCCTGGCTCTGGGCCAGTCACCTTCCCTCGCTGGACCTCCTTGCAGGAGAACCCGGAAGTGCTTATCCACTGTGGAGTGCAGTCCTGGGGTGGCGCGTCTCATGGCAGCGGCTTTAGTTGCTTTGTCCCCAGGGCTGCAAAGGGGCCGCACTGTGACAAGTCCTGCTGTCAGGGCCTGGGGCGCCTGTGCGTGCTGCCCTGGGTTGGCTGTAGGTCGCCTCCCTGGCGGGCTGGCTCGGCAGGGAGGAGCATCTGGCAGCAGGTCTCCCGGCAGGGGCTGCTGGTCACAGCTCCTTCCCACTGTGTGTTCTGCAGGAGCTGCAGGAGGAGGCCACGGCCAACAGCCCAGGAGGTAGGTGTGTGCGGCGACCGGGCGCTGGGCTTGCACGAGATGATCCGACACCCCTCCACCTCCTTCCTTCCTCTGCTGCCTCCTGCCCCAGCCTCTGGCAGAACCCATCCTCTGCATCTCAGGGCCACATTATGGCAGCCGGGGGAGTGTGAGGCCCCCGGGCCTCCCTGGGGGCTGGGGACCGACCCCTCCTGCTACAGCCTCCGGACGGGGAGGTAGCTCTTGGGTAACCTCAGGCTCATATAGGGGGAGACAGAGCCTGCTGATGCTGGGCTCCAGGCCCCGCATCTGTGAGTTTTTTGGAGTTGCTAAGACCCCCAGGGTGGACCCAGCACACACACTCTGGCTGTTGTTCACTACCCACCCCCTCCTGCCGAGAATCCCAAGAACAGTGGGGAAGAGCGCAGGGGAACAGATCACCCGGAGCTCCGGCCTGTGGCTGTTGCGTGCCTTACCCGCCTCTGTGTTCCTCAAACCACTGGTGGTGTGGCAGCCAGACCCATTACACAGATGAGACGACTGAGGCCCATGTGCTAGATGTGGCCAAGAGGCCACGGCACAGCCCTGCGTCTCACTCCTGACTCCTTCTTCCTCAGTGTGTGATGTGGAGTCAGTTCTCTAAGCCACTCTCCCAAACCAAGAAAACCGGGGCCGCTGAGCAGAGTGGAAGGCTGTCAGCCCGGGGGCTGGCCTGGGGGAGGAGTCAGCGATGAGAGCGATGATGCTTGTCTCCCAGCCAGCAACCAAATGGGATTGGCTGGGGGGGTCGTAACCCTGGGGGCTCTCAGCGCGTTCAGCACATGGCCGTTGGAAGTGTTCTCCGGTGGCTCCCACACCCTGGAGGGGACCTCATTCCACGCCCAGTGCTGGACGAGCTCAGGGCCCAGTGGGGCAGACCCAGCCGATAACCGTGCCGAGACGCGCATGGGCATTTTTCCTATCGCTCCTCAAAAGCACAGGTGTCGGGGAAGGCGTTAAGCCTGGTGCTTACAACGCCCTCCTCCCCCAGGGGAGTGCCCGGGTTTGACGCCCGACTCCAGTCCTGGTTCCAGCTTCCTGCTAGTGGAGCCCCTGGGAAGCGGCGATGAAGGCTCAAGTCAGTGAGTTCCTGCCGCCCGGGTCGCCTCCCAGCTCCTGCTCTCGGCCCCTTGCTGCAGGCATTATAGGAGTGAACCTGCGAATAGTTCTCTTTGCCTATCTCTCTGTCTCCTGCCTTTCAAACCAACAAATAAAATTAAAAAAAAAAAAAAAAGTGTGGACGGAGAACTGGTAGCTTTGGGATGAGCTAGTTAGAAATGCAGATTCCTGGGCCCGTGGCAGGCCTGCTGCACAGGAGTGTGCATCGTGACACCACCTCCTGCTGCTCTGTCTCCATGTCCGTGTCTGCGAGGCGGTGGCCTTGAACCCCTGGGCCTCAGGCTGACCGCACCGTGCAGTCACCGGGGGGGGGGAGATTTAAACATTCCTGGTGCCAGGCCTCCCCTGGAGCAGTGAATCAGAATCGCTGGGGGCGCTCGGATCTCCCCAGGTGGCCCCAGCGCACAGCCCAGACTTGGGCGCCAGGGTCCCCGGAGAAGTGGCTGCTTTGGGCTGAAAGGGGAAGTCGCTGGCCTGCAGGGTTTCTTCGGATAGAAAACTTCCCCCGGGTTAAGGATGCTTGGTCTGGGGCTCTGGGGCTCTGAGCCCGAGAGTCTCTGGGTTCTGGATCCTTCGATGCTGACTGGTTGGGGCACGTGATGAGAAGAGCTACTGGTGTCTGGAAGGGAGCGTGAGAAGTTGGGGGGCTCCGAGGGGGGGGTCCCTCAGAGCCATCAGGTGCGCTGCGTTGACTCAGTGATTCAATGAGCAGCCAAGAGTGACACTGCAGACCTCAGTGGGGCTGTGTCGGTGCCAGAGGCAGCACCCCTACCTCCCTGGCCTCCCCCCAACGCTGACTCCTGATTGCAGGCCCCAGGGTCCCACCTCTGCTGGGGACCTTCTGGCCCTAGCGCCACAGCAGAACAAGGCCGGGACATGGAGCTGACTCGCCTGGTCCAGGACCAGCCGCCTGGCCCCGTGGGCCCTGGGGCTGCCCCCACCAACCTGGCGGAACACCTCCCCAATGTGCCCACCTACCGGCCCCCGCTCACCCGCATCCCTGTCCTCGTCTCCCGGAGAACTGCCCTGTCCAGCTCCAGCTTCGCCAGGGAGACCCGGAGCTCCGTCCGTCGCCTAGGTAGCGTGAGGTTGCTGCCCAGCGTGCGCGTGCCCGCGGCATGTGCTCTGCATGGCTTGGGCTGTCTCCTGGCCTGGGGGCCGCAGGCGTGCTGGGGGACTCCTAGCTGTGGTCGTGGAATACCAGCCCTTCTTCCTCTGCTGGTCACTGGCTCCAGCCTGCTTTGTGAGAGAGATCTGAGGGGTTCTAGTGGATTCTCCTTATGCCCAAAATTCCACGATTTGCAGTTCATTTCTTGGGGTTAAATATTACTTTCTGTAGATTACCATTGCTATATAAGTAGTCATTCACACCTTAGTCTAAACAAATCACTCAGATCTCCAGGCCAACAGGGTGAGCCAGGGATTCAGGGTGGTGGGAGGGGCTTTAAAAGGAGGAAAATTACGGAAATGTGGGATCCACTGCAGATAGCATCTCCTGATTCTGAGAGTTTGCTGGGAGCTGGGCTGTCTGAGGATGGTTGATCCCTGCTCAGCCAATACGGCTTCAGAAAAGAAAGGAGGTGCTCCCAGCAGGTGCGGCAGGTGGCCCAGGAGGAGAGGTGTCATCAGAGGTCCCTGGGGCAGCACAGCCTGTCTGGATCCGTGTCTTTCTACCAAGATCCCTGCAGCCGCCTCCAGGCTCCTGCTGCTCACTGAGAGATGGCAGAGTGCTGGGGACAGACCGGTGGCCTGTCCTTTTCTGCCTTAGCTCAGGCCAGACCTGCCCGCTGTGCCTTTGGCCTTGTTGGTTTCGTTTTGGTCGACCCTGTGCAAAGTCATGCCTGGGATCGGCACAGGCAGGTGGGATTGAGCATGTCCCCCAGGGAGAGCCACTCCCCCGCCCCTCCTCGAGTGGGGTGAGGAGGCAGGGCTTAGAGCTGTTGCAAAGGACCCCTGGCTTCCAGCCCCATGCGTCCCCCTGACAGCTGTTTTGTGCAAACTCTAATTTATCTGAGTACTGTTTTTCTTTCCCTGGATTTTCTTTTCAATTTAATGGAGAGCATTTAAAACAAAAAAAAAAAATGGAAAACCAAAACAGCTTGCCATAAATAGAGGGCATCAACAGAAATAAGCGCACGTTCACTGAAAACAGAAGTCGTGCCAGCGGTTTCTAGTGAGCCGGGCGGCGCACTCCCTCCGCAAGAAAGAGAAGGGGCGGCGGCCATACACAGGCAGTGAGGCGCGGCGCCAGGTCCCGGTCCGCTTCCCGCTGCCACAGCAAAGGGCCTGCAGCTGGGCCCTGCAGAAAGAGGGAATGTAGCTCACGGTTCTGAAGATTCAAGGGCACTTCGCCAGCGTCTCCCTGGGCTCCTTACATCACAGCATGACACATGGCCTCGTGACGGAGCGCGTGCGAGAAGCAGCTGCCCTGGAGGTCACACGGCAGGACCGGGAGCCAGAGAGCTTCCTTCTATCACAGCCCACTCGCGTGAGAACTCACTCCCTCCGGGAGACTGGCATTAATCTCTTCCAGGGGTGATGCCCATGACCTAATTACTTCCTCCTGGGCCCGTCCTCTTAAAGGTCCCGCCACCCCTTGGCACAGCCACACCGGGGTCAAGCTTCCAGCACCCTCGAACCGCGGCACACCGACAACCTGAACTCTCCCCTCTGCCCCCCACCCTCCACCCCTACCCCGGTGGCCTGGTGGGGCTGCAGCAAGGATCTGAACGTGGGTTACCCTTCGCCATATCCGGATCATCCCCAGGCATCTTGGGGCCTCCCTGGCCCCGGGAGCCTACATTTTGACGCACGGGAACAGTGGAGGGAGCTGGCTGCAGTATGACATGCGATGACTTCATGCTGCAGAGGACAAGGGAGAATGAGCAAGCATGGTGTCGTCATTTCAGGGGGGCCACGGGCACCTCGCAAGGAGGCATTGCATTTCCGCAGAGGCCTCTGCACTCGGGCCAGCAGCCTGGGATGATTCTGAAGTTCAGCTTCTGCAGCTGGCTCCTCCACAGGTTTCTCAACCTCCCCGTGCCTCAGTTTCCATACCTACAGAGTGGGGACAAGGACACAAGCTACCTCGCTGGGCAGCTGGGAAGGTTAAAAGAGTTAACATAGGGGTGGGCACTTAGCAGTGAGACGCTAAGAAGCCCATGTCCCACCCACATGGGAGTGCTTGGGTGCACCCCTCACTCCAGCTTCCTGCCCAGACAGAGCCTGGGAGGCAGTGGTGATGGCTTAAGTACTAGATTGAATTCCTGGCTCCAGGCTTTGGCCTGGCCCAGTTCTGGCTGTTGTGGGTACTGGGGAATGAACCAACAGATGGCAACTTGCTCTGTATCTGTCTTTCAAACACATGAATAAGAATGTACTAAACACTTAATATATGTAGGGCACCTAGAGTTTAGTAAAACAAACACCTGGGGCATAGCCAGTAAAGCCTCAGCCTTCAATGCCAGCATCCCATATAGGTACCAGTTCAAGTCCCGGCTGCTCCACTTCCGATCCAGCTCCCTGCTAATGCACCTGGGAAAGCAGTGGAAGATGGCCCAAGTGCTTGGGCCCCTGCACCCATGTGGGAGACTGGAAGGAAGCTCCTGGCGTTGGCCTAGCCTAGCCCTGGCCATTGCAGCTATCTAGGGAGTGAAGTAGCAGATAGAAGATCTCTCTCTCTCCCTCCCTCCCTCCCTCCCCCTCCCCTCTCTCCCTCTCCCCCTTTCCCTATATCCCTCTCTCCATTTCCCTCCCCCCTTACTCCTCCCTCCCATAACTCTGACTTTCAAGTGAAGTAAATAAATATTGCCTTATAAGGAATATTATTTAAAAATATAAAGAATAGTATTATGAATCATTTTAGAGAATCACATGTATTGTTAAGCACTTTCTAGCTGCCAGCCAGGTGTTTGTTTTAATTGATCTTTAAAAAAAGATTTTTAACATTTTTTATTTGAAAGTCTTGGCTGCTCCACTTCTGATCCAGCTGCCTGCTAATGGCCTGGGAATTCCAGGCAGCTGGCTCGGAACTGGAGCAGCCAGGACTTGAACGGGCACCCATACAGGATGCTGGCACTGCAGGCGGCCATGGTGCTGGCCCGGGCAATGTGATTTCTGTTTTGAGTTCCCACTCCACCACGCTGGAGGGAAATGAGCCCCTGTCTGAAGGGTTTTCCCTCCTCTCCTGGGGGCGGAGGGTGCCGAGTCTTTCCCTGGGTGGGGCAGGGGGCATGGGTGGGGTCTGCTGCCACCCAGGCTCCCAGACACAGCCTCCTGGGAGCCCCCTGCTGCCCTGGGACACACGGGGGCCTGGGTGCGTCTGAGGGGTCGTGGCTGCCTCCAGCCCCACCCCTGTGCTCACCCTCCTGTCTGTTGGGCAGTGGCTGAGGCCCGGCCGCCTCTCGCCTTCTTCCTCCCCAGAGCCCGGGAGTCTTGCTGATCTGGCCAAGCTTCTCTCTTTAATTTCCACAAACGTCTCCCATCCTGCTCATTTTCTGCCCGGGAAGGCTTGGGGTTCAATAAAACAGATGTTGGGGCGGGGCTGTCTCAGCTTGGGCAGTGAACCAGCAGACAGAGGAGCTCCCTCCTTCTCTCTCTCTCAAATAAAAACAAATCAAAGAGAGAAATGCCTGTGTCTTGAGGCCTCTTTGGGTTACCCCGGTAGCCTGGCCCATGCACTCGGGAGGTCACATAGCCAGCTGTTTGCAAACGCTGCTGTCTCCGTTCTGCCTCGCTGGTGCCCAGCCGTGCCTGGCTGCTGGGGGTCCCACAGGAGTGACAGGAAGCAGAGGCACCGTCGCAGCCCCTCAGCCTCCTCCCAGCCACTGGCCCTGAGGCGGGTGACAGAGCCCAAGGTCGGGCCACCTCCGGGCTCCCTAGGGAGGACGCGGTTCTCCTTAGGAGCGGGGAGATTCTGACTCGGGGAGGCTCCCGGCGTGTCGGGACCCAGGAAATGCCTCGGCAGAGAGCGCCCCTTGCCTCTTCTTTCCCGCCTTAGAGGACAGCTGGCGGGCGAGGGGGCACGTGGTGGTTGGAGCCGAGGGTGTCATCTTTGACCCACGTGATTCTATGCGAGCAACACAGCTGATGCAGAGGATGATGGGAGATGGAAAGCGCTAGGTCCTTGCCGATGTGGAGATTCTGAGCCAAGTCTGGAAGCATCTACGGCTGGACCTTGTCGGTCGGCGTTGGAGACCCCAGGGGTGGCAGTCCTCGTGGGAGCACGCCCTGTGCTGACCGGGGAGACGGCAGCTTGGCTGGAAAATCGCCACCTCAGGTTTTTGCTGGCTCACACCCCACATTTACCGCTTCCTGGTCATCGAACGTCTCTAACGTTTGCAAGGGAAATACCTAACTCCGTCCACGAAACACCAGGCTCATTTGCCGTTATGGGAAGTGGTGAAGACAGGTAAATGCCCTCACACTGAGAAGAAACAAGATGCAAACAACACTAAATGCAAAAAGCAGACAAAGGAAAACACAAGAAAGCTCCAACGCAGGGCCCCGGGAGGGGGTGACACGTGCCACAAAGGCTGTCCCTCACCTCTGCCTGGAGGACACCCCTGATGTCACTGTTTGCGATCCTTGGAGGCTGTGGGGCCTGAGGGAGAAGGAGCCGCCCCAGGCCCCAGGCCCACAGCCCGCCTGCTCTCTGCTCCCTCTCTGGGTGCTGCCGTCGCCACTGCGGGTCCCCGTGCCTTCCCAGGCTGGGCTTTCTGGGGTGCGGCTCCTGCTGGTAGCTGGGGCCCCAGGCACTGTGCATTGCACCCTGCATGCAGCTTTGTGTGGGCCCGGCCGGGCGGCCGGATGGCCCTGTAAGCCGCTTCCTGCCGGGCTGCAGCCAGCACCCTGGGACCTGGGCGTTCTCCTACTGACTTTCCTCTCCTTCCTCTTCCCAAGTGCCCGGCACGAGAGAGCACCCTGAAGTGCAGGTGGAAGATGCGGACACCGACAGCCACCCCCTCATCCCGGAGGAGGCCCCGCCCTCGGTGCCATCGCCCTCGCTGCCGTCGCCCTCGCTGCCCCCGCCCTCGCCCGCCAAGGCCGACACCCTCACGGTCCCAGGCTCTGCCTCGGCGGCCCCCAGGTCAGCTTCTCTACCTTTCTTGGGCCTTTCTCAGCACTGTGCTGCATGCCCATTTGGCAGATGAGGAGACTGAGGCCAGGGAGGGGAAGCTGTGGCCCACAGTCTCACAGCGAGTTGGTGTCAGAGCTGGGACCACAGCCCTCCTGCTGGCCGGAGTCTCCCCAGCCTTGTGTTGGGGTTCTCTGTAAGATGCCCTGTCCCAGTGCCCTCAGCTGTAGGTCACAAGGGCTGGCGGCATGATAAATGACAGGGTCACATGGCACAAGTGCAATGACTGATTTCTGCCCCCTCATTTTATTTTTTGACAGAATGCAGTTTATTCAAACCATATATGATTATAAGTTCCCAGGGACACCCCCCCCCTTTTTTTTTGAGAAGCAGAAAGACAGAGGGACAGTTCCCATCTGCTGATTCACTCTGCAAATGCCAACTGTCAAGGCTGGGCGGGCTGGCGCCTGGTCTCCCCTGTGGGTGGCAGGAGCCTAAGCACTTGAGCTGTCACCTTCTGCCTCCCCAGGTCTGCATTAGCAGGGAGCTGGAGCCAGGGCCTGGAGCCAGGGCCTTGTGGGTGTTTGAAGAAAAGGACTCAAGTCCTTTAACCACTTTTTTTTTGGTTGTTTTAGAAAAGGAGTCCTTTAAAAAAAAAAAAACAGATTTATTTATTTATTTATTTGGAAGGCAGAGTTCAGAGGCAGAGAGAGAGGTCTTCCATCGGCTGGTTTATTCCCCAGATGGCCGCAACAGCCGGAACTGCGCCGATCCGAAGCCAGGAGCCAGGAGCTTCCTCCGGGTCTCCCATGCAGGTGCAGGCCCTAGCACTTGGGCTATCTTCTGCTGCTTTCCCAGGCCTTAGCAGAGAGCTGGCTGGAAAGAGGAGCAGCAGGGACTGGAACCTGTGCCCATATGGGATGCTGGCACTGCAGGCAGCGGCTTTACCTGCTATGCCACAGCACCGCCTGCCACTTTCTAAGTAATTTGGGTTGATTGCTTTGTTTTGCTGTTGCATTGTAGGGGTTCCTTCTGTATTTTAGGCATTAACCCTTTATCAAATATATGCTTTCCAAATAGTTTTCTGTGGATTACCTTTTCACTCTGCTGTGGATGGTTTCCTTTGCTGTGCAGAGGTTCTTTTATTTTTATTTTAAAGGTTTTATCCATTTATTTGAAAGCCAGAGATACAGACAGAAAGCAAGAAACAGATCTTTCATCTGCTGGTTCATTTCCCATAGTGCTGCAATGGCCGGGGCTGGGCCAGACGGAAGCCAGGAGCCAGGAGCTTCATCTGGGTCTCCCATATGAGTGGCAGGAGCCCAAGCACTTGGCTCTTCCACTGCTTTTCCAGGCCATTAGTAAAGAGCTGGATTGGAAATGAAGCAGCCTGGACTTGAATCAATACCCATATGGCATTGCAGGCAGCAGCTTTACCAGCTATGCCACAACACCGGCTCCATGCAGAAGGTCCTAAATTTGACATTGTCGCACTTGCCAGTTTTGTTTGTTTGTTTTTTTGCTTTTGTGATCTGTGTTTTTGGTGTCATCCCCTCATTGTATTACTGGATACATAATGGAAGCACCAAAGAACATAAGAAAAATAACCATCTAGAACCCCACCACACTAGATTCAGTTTTGATTTCTCTGTGTTCTCTTTCATGCCATGTTTTTGTGTGGTTCTACTTGAAGGAGTGATCCTTTTGAGTTTTTTTTTTTTCTTTTTAAAAGATGTGTTTGTTTATTTGAAAGGCAGAGTAACAGAGAGGGAGGGAGAGAGGGAGAGGGAGAGGAAGAGGAAGAGGAAGAGGGAGAAGAAGAGAGAGAGAGGAGGGGACCTTTCACCTGCGGGTTCATTCTGCAAATGCCTGTCATACAGCCAGGACTAGGCCAGGCTGGGGCCAGGAGTCCAGAATTCCATCTGGGTCCCCCACATGGGTGGCAGGGACCCACGTGCTTAGACCAATCACCCTCTGCCTTCGCAGGCACATTAGCAGGGAGCTGGGTCAGAAGTGAAGTAGCTGGGACGTGAACCAGGCACTCAGGTGTGGGATGCAGGTGCCCAGGTGGCAGCTTAACTCCCCTTTGCCACACTCACTTATCCCATGGACCCTGTTCCAGATGGCTGCTGTCCCCTTAGCACCCACGTATGCTGCTGCATGATAGCCCTCTGGCTCCAGGCGCCAGAACGAACTGGACACATCCCCTCCTGTGGGCACCATCCAAAGTGGCACTGTGACCACCTAGTGTCCTTTCTGTCCTTGGGTTCCTCTCCCAAGAATCGGGTTCCTCATCACAGCTGGCTCCATACTTAATGCTTCCTGAGATGAATTTGCGGCTGAGTGGTTGGAGGTGCCCTTGAACACCTGAGCCAGGTACCTGGGAGCGTGCCCTGCATGGTGTCGTAGGTGCACTGCAGTCATGGACAGCACTGCACCAGTGACTGTGAAAGCCAGGGAGGAGCTGTCAGTGCCCCCTGCCCTGGCTGCACGGACAGACAGATGCTGCTTTCTCCTTAGTTAGTTGTTGCTATCATTCATGGGCACACAGTCATGGCTCAGCTGAGGCCAGGAGCCTGCTAGAATGGAGACTGCTGGGTGCCACCAGCTGAGTGCTGTCAGCTTTTAATATGGACAAGAGGGCCAGCGCCGCGGCTCACTAGGCTAATCCTCCGCCTGCGGTGCCGGCACCCCAGGTTCTAGTCCCGGTTGGGGTGCCAGTTCTGTCCCGGTTGCTCCTCTTCCAGTCCAGCTCTCTGCTATGGCCCGGGAGTGCAGTGGAGGATGGCCCAGGTGCTTGGGCCCTGCACCCCATGGGAGACCAGGAGGAAGCACCTGGCTCCTGGCTTCGGATTGGCACAGCGCGCCAGCCATAGTGGCCATTTTGGGGGTGAACCAATGGAAGGAAGACCTTTCTCTCTGTCTTTCTCTCTCTCTCACTGTCTAACTCTGCCTGTCCGGAAAAAAAAAAATATGGACAAGAGAGCTAATCTCATCGGGCCTAGGCACATAGCGGCAGCTCCATGAGTCTCCACTCTTGCTCCCTGGATGACACACAGACTACCTTAAAGGACCCAGCAGGGGCGCTGCCATGGTTGTTGACATCTGGTCCACCTACCTCTGTTCCCTTTACATGGGCAGAGAAGCTACATTGACAACACTGGGGGCTTCTTTAGGGGCAGGGAGGGGACTAAGCACACGTGGGACTGGGTGGAATCCAAGCTTGGGAACAGGGTCAGGGGGCTCCTCTTGCCCCTGTCACCCATAGCTATGTGCTGGGCTCTGCTCCAGGTGCTGGGGGTGTAGCAAGGGGAGGCCTGGCAGGGGCCCGCCCTGGGGGAGCTGGAGTTCTAGTGGGGCCAGGACAGAATCGAGCAGGCAGCCACCCAGACGGTGTGGGCTGTTTGTGCTCCGGGACAGAACGAGCACGAGATACACTGATGGGAGCCACAGGTCCTGGCAAGGGGCACCCCGGCGGGGCCCTGCTGGCAGCCCAAGGGCACGGTGTGGAGTGAACCCAGCTCCCGGCTTACAGATGGGGGCCTTAAGGCAAGGCAGGCATCTGTCCTAGGGCTCCGTTTCCCCGGCGTGAGACAGGGATGGAAGCACCAGTGCCGGTGAGTACTACAGTGAGGGCTCGCTGAGTTGCTGCCCGGGGTACGCTTAGCCCAGGGCCAGGCCAGCGGCAGAGCCGGGGAAGCAGAGGCTTGGTTTGACTGCAGAGCAGCAGAGTCAGGAGAGGGCCCTGGGCCGGCGCAGGAGGACTGGATGTGGGTCCCAGTGGTGGGACTCGTGGCCCCCGTCTCCTTGTGTGTGGCTGCCCTGTCCTTTTCATTAGGGTGTGCAGGAGGCGAGTGCTTGCATTTTTGCCATCCTGAGCGGGTTGGGATGAGGTGAGAGGATGGTTTCAGAGCCTTCTTGGAAGCAAGGTGGGTGCCCCATGTCTCTTCTCAAACGACGGAAGTTTGAATCCCGGTGGTTGAGGCTGGGGACCAGGATTGGCCTGGAGGCCTGGCAAGAAGACTCAGGTTTGAGTCCCAGGAGAGCTGCACCTGCGGTGAGGCCCCTCGGCTCAGTGAGCCCTGCCCCACCGCCTGCCTGCCTGGGGCCTGGGGCCTGGGGCCTTCGCTGATGGGAACAGGAACCTTCAACAGCTTCTGGCAGCTCGGGCCTCGGTCCCGGGGTGTGTCCCTGGAGGAGGGGCCAGGGGAGGCTCCTCCTCTGAGTCTCCAAGTGGGGAGCAGCGGGGGATGGGGAGTAGGCTGGGGTGTCGGGGACAACGGCGTCAACGGCGTGGTAGTGGGAGAGCTTCACCAGGCTCCTGTCCCAAGTGAGGTCCCCGCCTTGTGGGCTCCATTTCTGATCGAATGTCACCCAAGGGTGGCCCCAGGAGGCAGAAGAGAAGTCACCACGGGATTTTCTTGGGGGTCTGGGGGCCCAGGACCAGTCTCCTAGAACTCAGCTGCATCATTTTACTTTCTCAGCATCACAGCAAAGGCCACGGCCAGGCCGTCCTGGGCTCCCCAAGTCCACGTCGGAGCAGTTGAGTTCAGTGTGCTACATCCCGAGCCTCACGGCGGGGACCCAGCCTCTGTAACCATTTTCTAGTCCTGGCACTCCCTGTTGGCATTTTATTTTCATGTCCCCAAAGCTGACTCCTTGTGCCGATCCAGCTGTGTGGGTGTTACCGCATTATGCCCATTTTTAGAATGCTCAGGTTCAAGTCTGAAATTCTCACCTTCACGTTAGTCTGCGCTCTCGTTTGTCTTGATGAGGTAACACACTTGCTTTCATGTGCTAATACTCATGTCTACTGTGCAGACTCCTGGTTTCATGTGCTAACACTTGTTCTCATGGGCTAACACTTGGCATTTTGTATGGTATATGCTAATACAGGTCACTAAGAAATGCTGTTCTCCGCCAGCACTTGCATTGCCTTATAAAATACTGTTCTTTAATAACAGCTGTTGCCCTGCGCTAGGTCCTCCAGATGCAGTCTTTGGGTTTCCACATTGCTTGGTTCTACTCCATCCTAAACAGGATTCATGCTCTCAACTGGAGTTGGCTTTCTTGGTGGTGGTCAGACGTTTTTCCTTCCTCCTGTCTTTTCTTCTTTCCCAGGCTTTGTGTTGTGCCGTAAAGCAGTTCACTGTCATTGTTGAGACGGAGGCTGGGAAAACCCAGACAGTTAAACCCACAGATGCTAATGTACAATAGTGTGCTCGGGGCCGCCCCCACCAAGGCAGCCCTCCCAGGCTCCCACCTGGTGACCCAAGGCCAAGGGCAGGCTGGGCAAGAACCTTCTTGGCCCTGAAATCCAAGTGGATTTCAGACCGGGATGCTACCAAGTGCACCTCAGAGCCAGGGCAGTGGTGGCTCCTGGACGCAGCCTTCTTGGGTTTCGGGAATGACGGCGCCTGAAACTCAGGTGGGGACGGCATTTGCCCGAGATCCCCCAATGAACCGGCGACGACTGCGCAGCCTCTCTGGAGGCAGCAGAGAAGCGGGCGGGGGCGGGGAGGAAGGCGAAGCGGAGACCTGAGTGATACGGAGCTCGTGTAGTTGGGTAGCCTGTGCTCCGTTTTACAGAAGGGAAAACTGAGGTGGCTCGAGAGTCATTCCGTGACAGTAAGTACCTTTCCAGGGTCATGAAATAACAGTAAGAGGCAGGACTGAGATGCAGGTCCAGTGCCTGATTCCAAGTCCCTTTTCTTTGTTCTGGGCCCTTGAGCAGATCCAGAGCTCGAGGCCCAGGCCATGCTGTACCCTGTCTTCTCCTTTTTCGCCTCCCTCCAGACAAATGAGGCCCCTGTGGCGACACCATCCCCTGTACCCTCTGGGTGATCTTGGGGGGTCAGTGGTCAGTGTCGTCTCGCCTCCCCTGGGCCCCCACTGTCGCTGAAGTCCCCTTGTGTGTCTGTGCCCTTGCAGGAAGAGGCTGCCCTCTCCGGACAATGAGGCTGAAGAGCTCAGGGCGCTGTCACCTGCCGAGTCCCCGGTGGTGGCCTGGTTGGCCTCTCCCACCCCACAGGACACTGAGTGAGTAGGGCAACCTGTGGCGTCTCAGAGAGCTGGAAAGCTGGGTGGGGAGGGGTGTGAGGGGGGGGGCTGGGTATCCTCAGAATCCCCCCGCCCCAAGGCAGCACTTGCCGGGGGCTTCCGAGCAGTAAGAGGGGGCTGGGTGGCCTGCCCAGGCTGCTTCCGGTTGGCCCAGGGATGCTGCAGAATCTGCAGCCCAGTGCCCAGCTGCACCGGGGCTGGCAGTGCTCAGATGTGGAAGTGTCCCCAGACAGAGAGCCCCTGTGAAGGAGGGACTGGGGCAGTCCCTCCCCCCCGACCCTTCCCACCTTGGCAGGCCTCCAGCACCCCTGAAGGGCCAGTGAGTAGGGGGAGAAATACAAGGAGCCCCAGGGGTCCTGCCCCAGGGAGCTTGTTAAAAACACAGCTTCCAGGTGGGTGTCTGACCGAGTGGTCAAGATGCCTGCATGCCGCATCCCAGAGCCTCGGTTGAGTCCCGGCCCCTGCTCCTGACTCCAGCTCCCCGCTGATGCAGACCCCAGGAGGCGGCAATGATCACTCAGGGAGTGGGGTCCCTGCCATCCACAGGGGAGACCTGGGCTGCATTCCCAGATCCTGGCTTTGGCTTGGTTCATTAGGTCCTAGTCTTCCTGGGCATTTGGGGAGCCAGCCCACGGATGAGAGCCCTCTGTCTTTCTCTGTCACTCAAATAAACGCATTAAAAAAATTTTAAATTGGAGAGTCCCAGGCCACACTCAGCTCTGCTGGGTCAGACCCTCAGCCAGCTGCCATGAGGCATCCACAGGCTCCCCGTGGTCGTGACACAGCCAGTCTGGGAACACCGCTTGTCACGGCTGTGATGGCACTGGGGACCTGGGTCGCACACCTGCAGCCGTCCCAAGGACTGGGCCAGTGGGAGGAGTTCTGTAAAGTCCATGTAGCCCTGGATGGTGGCGAGTGCCGGCCCTGGGCTGTGACTGGGGTCCCCGTCCTGCTCCCCAGCCCCACCTCCTGTGGCTGCCCCGGGTACACTGGGCTCCCCTTCTCCTGCTAGGCTGTTTCTCCATCCATAACTTTGTGCAGTTTATGCTTAGGAGAACTGTGGATAGTTCAGAAAAGCTGAAAAATTAGGGGGGAAAAACCTATGCCACCCACAGTCCCGGTGGTGTCACATTGTATGCAGTTGGTAAGGAGAGGGTTAAGGTTTCATTTAGAAAATAAGGCAGAAATGAGGCCTAATAATAACAGTCACCAAAACCCTTAAGGAGGGCCACATGGAGCCAGGGGCGCTAAGCTGCTGTGACAGTTCCCAGAACAAGCAGGTGCCTCCTATGCCATAGGCGTGTCACTGCCGGCACGCTGCAGGTTGCGGGAGGCTCTGCCCCAGGCCATCATGTGGAGGCCCTGCTGCCAGGGCCCTGCCACCTTCTCCACTGGTCACCGCTAGGAAGGGAGGCCTGAAGCTGCATGGGCCACATCTGCTCACACTCAGTAGTGAGCGCGCCCACGACCTCCCCTGGGAAGTGCAGTCCCCTGGCAGGGTGGCAGCACCCAGCCCCGGCATAGCATGGAGACGACAGATCCAGGGGAGCAGCTCGTGGTTCTCCCCCCGACATCTGCACAACCTCTTAAAAAAAGGTTTGTTTATTAGAAGAGCAGAGTGACAGAGAACTCAGAGATCTTTCACCCACTAGTTCACTCCCCCAATGGCTGCAATGGCAGAGGCTGAGCCAGGCCAGAGCCAGGACCCTGGAATTCCATCCGGGTCTCCTGTATGGGTGGCAGGGACCGGAGCACTTAGGCTGTCTTCTGCTGTCTTCCCAGGTGCATTAGCAGGAAGCTAGATAGGAACTGGGGCAGGCGGGACTCGACTGGCAGTCATATGGGATGCTGGCGTTACAGGTGCTGGCTTAACCCATGCACTACAACACCGGCCCCTGCGTGCCCTCTTTCATTTAGACCCCTACGCTGGTTGTCTCCAGCCTGGCTCCCTCAGTTAGACACGAGTTGTCTTGCGTTTCAAGGCCTTGCTGTGTGGAGATAGAACAGATCTGTAAACACTAGCAGAATGGCTCGGCGAGATGAACCCAGGAGACTGCTCACGGTTCTCAGTCCTCTCAACCCACACAGGCGCGGGCTGGTGCTGAGTGCCGGGCTGGGCAGGCACATGCGCATGCGCATGCGCATGCGCATTCGCCTTCTGACCTGTGTGTCTCTCGCAGCCAGCGCGTAGGCGGTCATCCCCATTCCAGCAGGAACGGCTGCGTCAGATCTCAGTTGCTTTTTCCACCAGCTGTTTCCTAAAGCCCAGCTCAGCAGCCCTGTGGCCCCTTTCTGCCGCCCTGGAAGTTCATTCTGGGAACCACAGCCCGACCTGAGCTCTGCATTGAGCTCCCTGACCTGGGCTGGAGCCTGCAGGGCCCAGCGGCCAGCAGCGGCCAGCGCCCCAGGCACCGCTCCCGCGCTGAGTTCCGTCCTGGGAGATGGCAGGTCCGAGGCCGCTGCTGTTAGGGAGAAGTAGGGACAGCACGTCCGCCCTGCAGGCCCCGGGAGGAGGTGGGACGCAGGCCTGGCCGGGGGGCACGGGGTCTCCCGCCCCGCCCTCCCGGCTCAGCGGTGGCGCTGTTCCCGCAGTGCCCAGGACCGCGCGGCCTCCGCCGCCAGCCAGAACAGCGCCATCATCAACGACCGGCTCCAGGAGCTGGTGAGGCTCTTCAAGGAGCGCACGGAGATGGTGAAGGAGAAGCTCATCGACCCTGACGTCACCTCCGAGGAGGAGAGCCCGCAGCCCTGTGAGCCACCCGCCCCTCGTTCACCGGCAGTGAGGGCGGCAGAGAAAGGCTGGGGTGCAGGAGAGAGGACTGATCTCCACTCTCTGGATGTGGGGTCCTGTGTGTCCGGGCTCCGAATCCCCGGGGCGAGAAGATGATGAGAGTCTGGCCTGGTCCCTTCTCCCACGGGGCGAGTCCCTTCACTGACCCCTCTGCCAGTTTCCCGCCGGTAATGGGCGGTGCCAGTCTGGGACCGGTCTCATGGCCCGGCGCTCAGATGGTGTCCACGGCCGACTCCGGAACCCAGCTTCTTTATCGGCGGCCTCACTGCCTTGAGAGCTCTTAGGTGCTGCTCTGGCTTGAGGGTTTCCTTCCTGGCAGACGAAATAAGAATCATGCTTTTGTCAGGGAGATTTCCCAGGTCTCTCCGGAGGGGCACTGTGCATTGGAGCTCACGGTGCCCGCAAGAGACCCAGGAGAGCCTGGCTGTGCACTCCTGAAGCCAGAGCCGTGGCTGTACTGAACCTCCAGGCCCCAAGGCCCAGGTCACTGAGAGCACCAGAGACACACAGAGGCTGTGAGCCTGCCCAATCTCTCTCTAGAGACGAAGGAGCTGACGGTTCTGCTCTGAGAAGCCCGGAGCCACAGATCCCTGACCATTAGGCGCTCCAGCCGCTCACCCTGCATGGGGGCACATTGAGTACAGAACGCCCCCAGCTCATCACGGGGCCCCCTGGGGACTCAGACACACAAGCAGAGGCCGGGCTCCAGCATCCACCTGGCCCAGAAGCACCTTGTCCCGGACAGCTCCAGGGAGGCAGCTGCAGAGGTGGGGCAGGTTAGGGTTCCTGGGTGGGCACCAGGTTGCTAGTGAGGAGGAAGCGGTGGGGTTCACACAGGGCTTGGAGCAGGATGGCGCTGGCGTCCCCTCAGCTTCTGCAGGTGGGGTCTTCTCTCTGCATCCCCTGCCTGTGCCTAGAGCTGGGTCAGGTGGTCACCAATGTCATCCCGTAGCCCCAGCCAAAAAGGCCCCGGAGCCGGCCCCAGAAGCCAAGCCCGCGGAGGCGCAGCAGGCCGAGGAGGAGCACTATTGTGACATGCTGTGCTGCAAGTTCAAACGCCGCCCCTGGAAGAAGTACCAGTTTCCCCAGAGCATCGACCCGCTGACCAGTGAGTCCGCGGCCGTGCGCCTTCCCAGTGTAACAGGAGCGGGCGGGCGGCTGGGGCAATGTGGCTTGCGTGCTTCCTTGCCCAACTCTTAAAACAGTAGCAACAGTAGACATCATGGAATAGCAACATAAGATCACACCCATTTTACAGATGAGGAAATGGAGGCATGTAGAAGCTAAACAGCCTGAAGACTCAACTAGTAGTATAGTCTCAGAGACTCCTGATTCCTGGCCAAGTCCTCCCCCTCCTCTGGGCAGGCCGGCTCTTTGTGGGACCTCCTGCTCTGAGCGCAGAGCCGGAAGTGCATCCAGTGTCTGCAGTAGTTCCTCTCTCTTCCCCCCAAGCCCACCCCTGTTCCCCATCCCATCCCTTCTTCTTTCCCGTGTGCCCAGCACTTTGCAGCTCATCACAGGCCCCCGGCTCTCATGGAACATTTCCTTGTCATTCTCTGAGACGGGCATGCTAGGGGCCAGCGGGGGGTCTTTCTCCAGGTGTGGCAGGGCGGGGGCAGGACCCTGGTGACGACCAGGTGATTACAGAGCCCACCCACCCACCTGCCTGTCCATCATCTGTGATCCAGAATTGACTAAGACAGGAGATACATTGTTTCAGAATAATTTCTACAAGAATGAAAGCAAAGGGGTTTTCTAGGAAGCTGCCTGTTTCAGAACCGCCCTGTCTGCCACACAGTGCTCTGTCTGGGGCCTACCAGGGACTGACTTTAAAAGCAGAGGCAGTTTTACACCCCCCCCCCCCCCCCAGTTCTAGAAGTGGCTCCCACTGTACTAGCAGGGAAGCGTAGAAGAAAGCAGGCCCCGCCCGCGGCTCCCTGGGGCTGTCAGCACAGCACAGCACAGCCGCCCTCGCTCTCCCCAACCCCCGCAGACCTGATGTACATCCTGTGGCTGTTCTTCGTGGTGCTGGCCTGGAACTGGAACTGCTGGCTGATCCCCGTGCGCTGGGCCTTCCCCTACCAGACGCCCGCCAACATCCACCTGTGGCTGCTGACGGATTACCTGTGCGACCTCATCTACTTCCTGGACATCACGGTGTTTCAGATGCGCCTGCAGTTTGTCAAAGGCGGGGACATCATTGTGAGTCCCCGGCAGGTGGATGGGCTGACCGGGGGCAGAGCGTCCAGGGAGCTGACCCTTGAGGTTGTGGTAGACGTCAAAATAAAGGAACGTGGAAACCCTAGGGGCAGGGCCTGTGCGTCCACAACAGCATGACTGCTTATGGGGCATACCCTGCGTCCATTCCCTGTCAAATACCACTCTGAGGCCAAGTGGTTCCTGGACCGCCTGGTGGAACTGGAGACAGAGAAGCGGTCCAGAGAATGGCCGTTAGTGCAGGTGCAACTGACTGAAATCCCAGCTTCCCCACAACTACCTGAGTCCCTCCTACCCAGACTCTGTTTCCCTATCTGTAAAATGGGCATAGAAATAGCTCCCTCCTGATGCACTGCTGTGAAGACTGAGATAACGGACGCAGAGTGCTGAGCCCAAGTAAGCACGTATTGTGGTTCCTGCAAAGGACCCGTGGACGCTCCGCTCCTTGGATCAGTTTGAGACCTCCTGCCCTGGTGCAGCCCCCACTCTCCCAGGAGAAAACTGAGGCCTGACCATGGCTCCCACAGCAGACCAGTCCCCATCTCCCCGTGCTGGTCGCGTGCCATGCTGGCGCCGCTTACTGCAGGGTGCAGGCAAACTGAACTTTGACCTCTGAAACAACCTGGAGGAAAGAGAGCTCCCTGCCCAGGTCCTGGGTAAATCAAGTGCTCGTGGTCCCATTAAGACGGATGTGTTGGCCACGGGCCTCCCACCAGGGGCTCAGCGCCCCACGGAGCTCACCCGCGGGGAGGGGTCAGGGCCTCACTGTCACTATTCCGCTCTCCCGCAGACGGACCCAAAGGAGATGAGGAACAACTACCTGAAGTCCCGCCGCTTTAAGGTCTGTGCCCAGGAGGGACGCGTGGTGCCTGTGGGCTCTTGGAAGGAGCCATGGCACAGGGCCTGGGAGCCACGTGCTTCCTGGAGGGTTGGGGGTTGGGCCCAGCTCCCGTGGGAGAGTCCTCTAGGCCACAAGCCCCAGGAGACCCGCTGAGGCTGAGAGGTCATCGGAAGCCAGCTCTCCCCATATCTGTTTCTCGCCAGTCCCCGCTGTGCAGCTCAGCGGCCCCTGTGCACTGCGCAGCAGCTGCCCTTGGCCTTGGGCGAGGTGGCAGGGTGCCTTCTGCCCTCAGCCTTAGGGACTTCCGCTCTGCATTGAAGGGAGCAGCTGCCCTCGGTCCCCTCACCCCCAGCCTGGGGCGACCCGGTAAACACACCGCGTGTCCCAGCACACCGCGTGTCCCAGCACACCGCGTGTCCCGTTGAATTCCAGATGGACGTGCTCTGCCTCCTGCCCTTGGATTTCCTCTACTTGAAGTTCGGCGTGAACCCCCTCCTTCGCTTGCCCCGTTGCTTAAAGGTAGGACGGGGAGGGGTCCCCACCCCCAGCCCTCAGTTCCCCCTCACCCTGCACCAGCCCTGGCGTCTTAGTGCCCACCTGAGCGGCCTGGGGTCGGGGAGGTGACCTAGGTGAGGAGATGGATTCCCCGGCCTAACATTCACACAGTTCTCTGAGTCTCAGGTGAGGGGTCGGAGCCCACAGTCCCGCGTCCGACTAACTCTGGAGGGGAAGGAGATTGAGAGACAGGTGGCAGAACCCCGAGGGCAGCACTGTAAATGCTATTTTCAAATATCAGAAAGTCTGGCTGGCGCCGCAGCTCACTGGGCTAATCCTCCGCCTTGCGGCGCCGGCACACCAGGTTCTAGTCCCGCTCGGGGTGCCAGATTCTGTCCCGGTTGCCCCTCTTCCAGGCCAGCTCTCTGCTGTGGCCCAGGAGTGCAGGGGAGGATGGCCCAAGTGCTTGGGCCCTGCACCCCATGGGAGACCAGGAGAAGCACCTGGTTCCTGCCATGGGATCAGCGCGGTGCGCCGGCCGCAGTACGCCGGCCGCGGCGGCCATTGGAGGGTGAACCAACGGCAAAGGAAGACCTTTCTCTCTGTCTCTCTCTCTCACTGTCCACTCTGCCTGTCAACAAATAAAAAAAATATATATCAGAAAGTCAATGGGGACAGAGCTCTCAGGGTGGCGTGGCGTGTGCGGAGCGCTTGCAGCTCTGGGTCCACTCTGGGTCCCAGTGCCGACTCCGTCCCGCACCAGCGTGGGCTCTGGACAGGTTGCTGGCTTCCTACAGAGGCAGTTTCTGCTCTGTGCAGGGAGAGATGACACAGACCTCATACGTAGATGATGTAGACGACGCCTGGAAAGTACTGCTCAGGTGACAGGTGCTCAGTCAGGATGAGCAGCTACTGCTATTCCTTTAGTGTCATAAATAGGCCTGTGACGGATGTGAGAGAGAGGGGTTAGGGATGCCCTTCTCGATAGAATTGTTTTGTTTGTGGGTGAGTATTCAAAGCAGGCTCCCTAACCCGGGACACTGGACCCCTAAACATTTTGTGATAGGATCTAGAAAGTCTTGGAATCTCCTGAAATTATATGCAAATCGTGAGAATGTGATTCTATGACTTTTTGAAAGATTTATTTTTACTTATTTGAAAGGCAGAGTTACAGAGGGACACACACACACACACACACATACACACACACAGGTCTCCTACTCACTCGTTCACTCCACAAATGGCCACAACAGCTGGGGCTGTGCCAGGTTGAAGCCAGGAGCTCAGATTTTCTTCCGGGTCTCCCATGTGGGTGCAGGGACCCAAGGACTTGGCTGATCTTTCGCTGCTTTCCCAGGTGCGTTAGCAGGGAGCTGGATTGGAAGTGGAGCAGCCAGGACTCGAACTGGTGCCATATAGGATGCTGGTGCTGCAGGCAGCAGCTTAACCAGCTGCATGACAACTCCGCCCCAGATTCTGTAATTCCTGTAGGAAGATGGGCTCTGGCTTTCGTCAGACTCCTGGACCCCGTCCTGCATAGGGCTGAGGGCCTCGATTCTGAATGCTCACCGTCCGGTCCCCTCCCAGACCCTGGGTCTGCTGAAAGGTCCCTTGGTCCTGACTCGCGTGGGCAAAGGGCCAGGGCGACGAGGGCTGCGGCTCCCCTGACCCCAGCTCTTCTTCCCAGTACATGGCCTTCTTCGAGTTTAACGACCGCCTGGAAGCCATCCTCAGCAAAGCCTACGTTTACAGGTGAGATGGCCACATGCGTGCAGGTGCACCCACCACACGCACATACATGCACAGAGGTGAGAGGCCTGCGCCCACGCAGGCTCACACACCATGCATATGCATGTATGTGCGTGACACACACATGACGCACACATGCCAAGTCGGGCTGCACTTCCTCTAGCCTGTTGCTTTCCCTTTCAAGTGGCCTCCAGCCCCCACTGCATCGGAAGCCAGCCCTTCCTGGCCCCACCTCCTATTCTCAGAAGGTCTGCTTGCTTTTGGAGACCCAGGAATGTCCCATTTCCTCCCATTGTGATGAGGGCCACGCGGGGCTCCCATAGTGTTTCCAACAGCTGGGCCTCACTCTGGTCCCAGCACAGGGACCTTGAGTCCCCACCGCACTCTTACAGAATGGGAATGGTTACAAGGACACAGTGGGCATCTCACAGGTGTCCGAGGATGGGATGCAAAACCAGCCAGGCCACACCTGGGGACTCCGTGTCTCCCATGGGGCGGCCTCATTGTCTTTCCTCTGCATGCACCTGCCCGCCGCCCATGGATATGTCTTCCCCTCTGGCCCATCCACTCCCCCAGAGCTGCACATAAGGTAGCCCGGCTTCCCCTGGCCAGTCCTGTCACTGCCGGCTCCCCTGCCAGGTGTCCCTCCTGCAGGTGGCTGGGCAGGACCCTGCGGCTCCACCAGGGGGAGCTGTGAGTGGGCATGGGTGCCAGGCGGGGTTGAGGACTGGCTGGTTCCCCTCAGTCCCGCCCCAGGCGAGCTGTCCCCACTGACCCTTTCCCGCTGTCCCCCTGCCTCCTCACCTGCAGGGTCATCAGGACCACAGCCTACCTGCTCTACAGCCTGCACTTGAACTCCTGTCTTTACTACTGGGCGTCCGCCTACCAGGGCATTGGCTCCACGCACTGGGTCTATGATGGCGTGGGAAACAGGTGAGCCCGCCTCCCTGCTGGGCCCACGCCTGGGTGATGCTCCTGCTCCGAGTCCCAGCACAAAGGCCCCAAGAGAGGCATCTCATTGCCGCCGTGTTGTGGGGTCACCTTGTTCCTAAGGAGTCACTGACGTGCTAAGGCTCAGGGCCAGGTGTTCTTGTCACTAAGCCAAGGTTTCCTGAGCGCCTGCTGCCGGCCAGGCTGGGGGCCGGGGAGACACACGGATGAGACTGCTAGAAAGATGCTCCCAGTGTCCAAGAATCTCTCAGGGTTGGCAAATATGGGGGTATGTCCAAAGCCCGTGGAAAAGTAGAATCAAGAGGTGAGTTAATTTTGGTGCAAAAATTGTTTAAAATCCATGCTTAGTTTTTTCACAAAGCATTTTCATGAACTTTTTGAATATCCCTCTATGCATGGATTTTAAAATTATTTTGCACCCAAATAAGCTTATATAATTCCATTTTCCATGAACTTAAAAATATTTAATATTTTATTTGAAAGGCAGAGAAAGATCCATCTAGGTCTCCCATGTGGGTGTCAAGGACCCAAGTACTTGAGCCACCCACCACCTGCTGCCTCCCAGGGTGCACAGTGGCAGGAAATTGGAATCGAAAGCAGAGCAAGGACTTGCATCAGGCACTCTGATAGGGGCTACAGGCATCCCGAGTGTTTTGTTGTGTTTTTTTTTTTTTTTTTAAAGATTTGTTTATTTATTTGAAAGTCAGAGTCAGAGTTAGAGAGAGAGAGAGAGAAAGAGAGAGAGAGGTGGGGGTAGACAGAGAGATCATCCATCCGCTGGTTCACTCCTCAGATGGACATGATGATCATGATGGCCATGATGGTCAGGACTGGGCCAAACCAAAGCCAGGAACCAGGAGCTTCTTCCAGGTGTCCCACATGGGTGCAGGGGCCCAAATACTGGGGCCATCTCTGCTGCTTTCCCAGGCCATTAGCAGGGAGCTGGATCAGAAGAAGAGCAGCTGGGGCTTGAACCAGAGCCCATATGGGATGCCTGCACCACAGGCAGCGGCTCTGCCCACTGCGCCACAGCGCCGGCCACCAAGTGGTGTCCTAACTGCTGCAGCCAACACCTGCCCCGGTGAATGACGTCACGCATACACCATGCGTGTGCACCCCTCCTCCGCCCCACAGGCCTGTGTAGGGGGAAGCAGCCAGAGAATGTGTCCCAGTGTTGCCCCCAGGTGTGGGGCACGTCCAGGAGTTAGTAAGGCGACATCCGCTTGCCAACCTTGCTATCCGTTATAGGACATGCTACAGTGATGGTGATGACAATGGCAGTTACAACGGTGGCAGCAAGCCTTGTAAAACACTAAGTCAAAGCGCGGGAGCTGGGTGCTGTCGACACCGAGGCAGCAGATGTGGATCCCTGGGTCATACATTCCGCGAGAGCTGAGATTCGGACCCAGCCAGCACGGACGGCCACAGGCTCTTAGCTGCTGTGCCATCACCTCCATGGGCAAAGATGAGGGCCAGCCCGATTCCAGGGTGGGTGTGGGAGGCAGACACGGGCGTGGGCGGTCCCCCTGAGTGTCATCGAGAGGAAACTTCAGGGGCCAGCCTTGTTCTTGCGATGCCGACATTTCATCCCCGAGTGCCACTTCCTGCGCCGGCTGCTCTGCTTCTGAACTGGCTCCCTGCTGATGAGTCTGGGAGGCAGCAGCTGATGGCCAAGTATTTGGGCCCCTGCCACCCGTGTGCAGGTGTGGATGTTTGCATTTGGCGAGTGAACCAGCAGATGAAAGATCTCTCTCTGTGTCTCTCTCCTTCCGTCTTTCAAATAAATCTTTTTGAAAGATGTGAAGTTTGATCTTGACCTTGACAGTTGGGAGACAGGATAGAGAACCCCAGAAGAGGACACAGCATGAAAAAAAGGCAGGGAATTGCAAGATAATAGTCAAGGGCCTGGGACCTTGGAGGGGGCGGGGCCTGTGGAAGTTTCTGGAAAGGTGGGTGGGGCCAGGTTGCCAAGCAGCCTCCCCTAGGAGTTTGTCCAGGGCAGCAGCCCCCTCACACATGGGACTTCCGAGGGCTTGACACTCAGCTAGTGTGACAGACATGTGCTGTGGGTGTGAAGCACACGAGACTTGGAAGCCTTGGGACAAAGCGTGTCAGCTGTGACGCGTTTTAGAACAGTGGTGACCTGGAGGTGATCATGGCTTCCACATCTGGAGTTCACTGAACGGCACGACTGAGATCAAGTTCACCTGTTTCTTCTTGTTAACCATGTGGCTACTAGAAAATTTAAAACTACACATCTACGTGGGTCACATCAAATTTTTATTGGGCGGCATTGCTAGAGGCACAGGGGACCCAGCCACAATTTTGTGTTTGCCATCCTTTGTCCCCAGCTGTCTGCTGCTGTGGGGGATTGGTTCCGGGGGTCCCCACAGATACCAACGTCCTTCAAACAGAATCTACGCAATCCTCCCATAAACTTTACTTTTTTAAGACTTATTTATTTATTTTAAAAGATTTATTTATTTATTTGAAAGATAGAGTTACCCAGAGAGAGGAAAGGCAGAGAGAGAGAGAGAGAGGTCTTCCATCCACTGGTTCCTCAACTGGCCACAATGGCCCGGAGCTGCACTGATCCAAAGCCAGGAGCCAGGAGCTTCTTCTGGGTCTCCCACACAGGTGCAGGGGCCCAAGGACTTGGGCCATCTTCTACTGTTTTCCCAGGCCATAGCAGAGAGCTGGATCAGAAGTGGAGCAGCTGGGACTCGAACCAGCACCTAAACAGGATGCCAGCACTGCTGGTGGTGGCTTTACCCACTGTGCCACAGCACCAGCCCCTCCTACCATCAGCTTTAAATGATCTCAGAATCACTCACAATATCTAACACAATGTAAATACAATATGAATCGCTGTTACACTGCGTTAGTTAGGGGAAAAGAAGAAAAAGTCTGTACCCTCAATGTGGACGCACATTTTCCCCCAAGTATTTTCCACCTGTGGCTGAGCAAATCCATGGAAACAGAACCCGTGAGTACTGAGCGCCACGTACCGGGGACTTCAAGAAGTCCGTGGAAAATGCAATTGAAATGCAAGTTTAGACAAAATGTGAAACCCACGCGCATGGGGGTCTTCAGTATAGGAAATGCGTGCTATGGGAAAGCAGACGCAGTCAGGGGAGCACGGAGGCCCTCAGGGCACTAGCTAAAGCGCGCCAAGCCGGGGCTGGGACCTCAGGGAAGGCGCGCAGACGTGGCTCCTCTGTCTTCCATTGCGCGTCCAGGGCCTCTGCCCAGGTCCCTGCTCCTTCTCCTGAGAGGTGGCTCCGTGCGCCCTCTGGTGGCCAGGCTCGGTATGACGGGGCTGGAGCCTGGAGGCCCCCTCTCCTACTGTCTGAGCCTTCCAGGCACCAAGAGACAATGAGGCGTGGGGGAGATCGGGACCACAGTCCGCCTCCTGTGCAGGCTGCTGCAGCGTCGCCAGCCAGGGCCGCCCGGTGTCCAGGCCCTCCCGATCTGCCCGTTGTTGGCGCTGGGAGGACTTGGCCAGAAGGTGTGCTGGCTCAGGTGTATGGAGAGCTCTTGCTGATCTGGATGCTAGCACAGCCTTGGGGTTTGAGTCTGCAAGCGTGGAAAACAGAATTCAAAGGTAAGTTTAGGAGCGGGCGTTTGGCGCACTAGTTGAGCCGCCTGTAAAGGGTTCGTGCATCTGAGCCAGGCCACCCAGGGTTGGCCCGCCAGGGGGCCCCTGATGCCTGTGGTCACCTTTTGTCCTCTCTGCAGTTACATCCGCTGCTACTACTTTGCCGTGAAGACCCTCATCACCATTGGCGGGCTGCCCGACCCCCAGACGCTCTTCGAGATTGTCTTCCAGCTGCTGAATTACTTCACTGGGGTCTTCGCTTTCTCTGTGATGATTGGACAGGTAGCCGGCGCGCCCCCAGATGCCCGCCCGCTGCTGCGGCAGTCCCCCTCTGTGCGGGTCTTTCTGGACTGAGCCTGGCAGACAGCACTGGAGTGGGAGTCAGGCGCCCGAACACTGGGCCCTGCTGGGCGGAGGGGAGTGGGCCGGGTCCCCATATTTGAGACGCACGTCCCCTCGGGACACCCAGGAGAGCTGGGCTGGTGCTTCCTGCACAGCCTGAGGATTTGGGCTGTGTGACATGCGGGGGAGAGTATCTTGTATCCGGTCAGTGCATGAGCCTGCCCCGAGGTCAGGACCCTGGGCACAGACGGGACAGCGGCTGCAGCCACTAGGGGGTTGGGGGTCTGCACCGTGCTCCCCCCATGCGTGGTCCCAGGGCCTGCAGCCTCCCACGTGCAGCAAGAGGCAGACCTCTGGCTGGGTACCACCCCTCTCCCACTCGCACGAGCAGGTGCCTGGGACTGTGTACAGCGACAGGTCCCCAGCAGGTGCCCGGAGAGCCGCGCAGTGACCGCCGGCTTCCGTGCCGACTTCCTCCCTCCCCCCAGATGAGAGACGTGGTGGGCGCCGCCACGGCGGGGCAGACCTACTACCGCAGCTGCATGGACAGCACAGTGAAGTACATGAACTTCTACAAGATCCCCAGGGCCGTGCAGAACCGCGTCAAGACCTGGTACGAGTACACCTGGCACTCGCAAGGCATGCTGGGTAAGCCCTGGGCCCCTGCTTCTCCTGCGGGTCTCTGTGGCCCCGGAGACCCCGTGAGAGGGCCCTGAGGACTCGGAGGGGCGGGGAGCTTCTGCGTGGCCCCGGCCTCACCCTACCACCCTGAAGTGACGGTTTCCTGCGTCTCCGTGCAGGCTGGAATCACAGCTCGCCTGTCTCCCTCTTCCGTCCTCTCTCTGGCGCGCTGCAGACGCCGCGGTGGGCGGTGGGCGGTGGGCGGTGGGCGCAGGAGGCCTGGTCCCGCTCCCCCGCAGGAGATCCGCCCCCGCACAGCCTGGGTGGGGCCCTGAGCCCGCCCCGCCCCAGTCCGGGCTATGTCTGCTCTCCCTCCCAGCAGTGGGCCGCAGCAGTGGGCCCTCTCGCGATGCTGACAGGGTTGACTAGAATAACCTTGGCACTCTGTAGAAAAGCCCAGCGGCCGTGCTAGGTGGCCCTTCGTTCTTGCTAAGGTTCTTCCAGGGCGAGTGGAGCAAACAGATCCTAAACACTTAGAGGGTGTGGCAGGTGCTGCAGCACAGGGGCTGCTCAGGGTAGCTGGGGGGAGGGGAGGTCATCAAGCGAAGACTGGGAGGCTTCCTGGAAGAAGTGACCTAGCCACTGAGGTCTGAAGAATGAGCAGGAGTTCCTAAGGGATGTGCAGGTGGTGTGGCAGGCAGAGAATGGTATTGGCGAGGGCCTAGAGGTGGGAAAAGGTGCTCTCTACATCCATCTTGGTTTTTTAAAAAGATTTGTTTGTTTGAAAGGTAGAGTTACAGAGAGAGAGAGCGAGAGACACAGGGGTCTGCCGTCTGTTGACTCCCCAAATGGGCCAGGAGCCCGGCTGCTTCCAGGTCTCTCCTGGCTGCAGGGGTCCAGGCACTTGCGCCATCCTCCACTGCATTCCCAGGCGAATTAAGCAGAGAGCTGGGTCGGAAGTGGAGCAGCCGGGACTGGAACTGGTGCCCATATGGGATGTGGGTGTTGCAGGAGGGAACTGTACCAGGCCATTGCCTGCTCCCCTGTCCAGGGTGGTCTTCTGTGCTGGGTGGCCCTGGCAGTGGACTTGGCCTGGAGATGTGGGGGGAGGGGCCTGGCTTTGCCTCTGACCCCTGCCACGCGGCTTGCAGATGAGTCAGAGCTGATGGTGCAGCTCCCGGACAAGATGCGGCTGGACCTGGCCATCGACGTGAACTACAGCATTGTCAGCAAGGTGGCGCTCTTTCAGGTACCACCCCCACCCCCGGGGCCCTGGGAGACCCCAGCCCCAACCTTCCTCTCACCGCGGCTCCTGTCTGCGCAGGGCTGCGACCGGCAGATGATCTTCGACATGCTGAAGAGGCTTCGCTCCGTCGTCTACCTGCCCAACGACTACGTGTGCAAGAAGGTGAGCTGTGTGGCGAGGGAGGGGGCGGGGGCCGGCCTGGGAGCGCCCGGGCTGCCATGTCCACAGCTTTCGCCCGGGTGCAGGCAATGGCCACAGATGTGCCTAGGCTTTACCTGACCCCCAGGGGCCAGGGCGGGGAACCCCCATCTCACAGAGAGAGCAGCAAGGAGCCTGCAGAGGGCGCCATTCCCAGGCTCTCAATCTTCCAACAAGGAGGTGGGCAGGAGGTGCCTGGGTCAAGGTCAGAGGCCGCCCTTGGGTAAGATCCAGCCCACTGGTATTTCATGGATTTTTTTTTTCAAAGTTGAGTTAGTTTCTAACATTTAAAAGTGGGAAGAGTTTATGTTAAAACCCATGTCTCTGGCTGAAAACAGACAATCTGCTCACCCTGGGGCTCACTTTCCCAAATAGCCAGAGTCAGCTGGGGCCAAGGAGGCACTGCCCCTACAGGGGGACCCCGTGTGCCTTCCCAAGCCACAGGCCCCACCACTCCCCACTGCCCCACACCAGGCCCCTTCACCGCTGTGCCTCCCCTACCTGACCCCAGGGCACATGGGGTGTGAGCCTGGGCTGGACGGTGCCCAGGGCCCTTTCTGCTGCTGTCTTTGGGGTTCAAGATCAGTGAGTGAGGGGGGGGAGAGGGGCAGGAGCCCTGAATGCAGTTCACTTGTGCAGCACTGTTAATTAGGCTGGGAGTGTTCCAGGGTGAAAACATTGATCAGGCAGCCCTTTAAGACTTGGGAATCCCCATCCCCTAAAGGCTTCGGTCTATGCAGCAACGAAGGTTCTGGAAGCAAAGAATCAAGGGAAGAGGGGGAAAGGGCATCAGATGGCTGCCGCCTTGGGGTCCAGGGAGTGGTTTGTCTGACACTGGAGCTGCTTCCCAGCTGGGCAGCCTTGGGCAGGTGCCTTGCCCTCTCTGAGCCTGTCCTCTAACGGGGATAGCGAGGCTGTTGGTGGGAGCTCACTGGGCGGCTGTGAGGACAGGACAGGATGTGCGTGGAGCTGGCATGGGAAGGTGCGGTCGCTGCTGCCTTTTTCTGGGTGGAGAATACAGAGGCAAACAGAGCTGGGACGTGGCACCTGCAGATTAAACCGCGCACTTGTGAGCAGCGCCCTCTGCTGTCCGGTTTTGCCCTGTGCCCATCTCCCTGAGACACTCCTTGGGCTGGTGAGTGAGGAGAAGGTGAGCCGTTTAGACCCTCTGTGCCTCCGCCCAGGTCAAACTGAACCCAGAAACAGGGCGACCAAGTTCCCTGCGTTTTGGAAAGAGGGCGGTGCCGATGTGAGATGCACAGGAACTGTTGGATGAATTAATCAAACGTGTAAGCAGGCTACTGTCCTTGGTCCTTCCCCTTCCAAACCCGCAGCGGGGGGACTAGCAGGTAGCAGGCCAGGGCAGGGGCCTGTGAGGGCGTGAGGCTTGGAAGGTGCAGGAAGACGGGACCTTCCTGACTGCAGTCTGAAGCAGGCTGCCCACCTGCCACTCGCCTCCCAGCCAGCCAGCCGGCCAGCCGTCTGTTTGGTTTAATTTGGGATCAAGGCCCTCGTGTTAGTTTGCTAGGGCCACTGGGCACAGCCTGGTTGCAGCACAAACTGAGTGGTCCCTGCCCTGGCCTCGCAGGTACCTGTCTTCTCATGTCCCTTCATACCATCTCCCCTCCAGGCCTGTCTCTGTCTCCAAATTTCTCTTCTTTTTAAAAAAGAGTTGTTTATACTTATTTGCGAGGCAGAGTTGGGGGTGGTGGTGGACAGATCTTCCATCCACTGATTCACTCCCCATATAGCCATAATGGCCGGGGCTGGGCCAGGCCAAGGCCAAGAGTCAGAAATTCCCTAATTCCATCTAGGTCTTCCAGGCGGGTGCAGGGCCCAAGCACTTGGGCCATTTTCCACTGTCTTAGTCCCGTCAGCAGGGAGCTGGAGTAGAAGTGGAGCAGCCAGGACTCAAACCAGTGCCCATAGGGGATGCAACATCGCAGGCAGTGGCTTAGCCTGCTGCACCACAGTGCTGGCCCCTAAATTTCCCTTCTTGTAGGGACACCGGTCCTATTGGATGAGGGACCCACCCCACCCCCACTGTGACCTCATCTTCACTTAGCCCAATGGGTCTGCGAGGACCTTTGGCTGAAAGGTCATGATTGTGAGCTCCCGGGGATTAGGGCTTCAACACATACTTCACCGGATAACACCTACGAACCCTGGAGCCAGACTGGGTTCAGATCCCGGCTCTGCCTCGCCCTGGCTTTGTTTAGGCAGAGAGTCCTCCCATTCCAGAAATGGCTGAGGACTAAGGTCTAACTACACTGCAGGAAAACGTGGCGGGCACGCCAGACGCTATTGCTGCTGTCACCATTCCCATTCCAGTTGCAGACGCTTGCCTGGCTCCTGGTATGGGCGGGCATCGATTCCCCGAGCCTCCACCCTCCACCCATGGCTGCAGTGGAGAATTTGCAGGGTGCAGGTGCACCTGCGCCTCCCTCGCTTGCTTGCACTTGGTTCTGCGACTCTGCTACGCACCACCCTGTACCCTGTCAGTTAGCCAGGGGCGGGGCACTCTCCCCAGTCCACAGATGAGGGGACCAAGACCTCTGAGGGAGTGATGGACTCCACACCACACACCCGGCTTCCTCCCTGCAGCCTGTGGGCCCAGCCCTTGCTGCCTCTTCCATCCCGTCTCTGTTGCAGGGGGAGATCGGCCGTGAGATGTACATCATCCAGGCGGGGCAGGTGCAGGTGCTGGGCGGCCCGGATGGGAAGGCTGTCCTGGTGACACTGAAAGCTGGATCCGTGTTTGGAGAGATAAGGTCCGAGGGCGCTGGGGGAAGATGAGGCATTGTGGGCCAAGGGGGGCGGGCCCAGGGAGATCTGAGCATGACCTCTCACCCCGCCCCGTCTCTGCCCCAGCTTGCTGGCCGTCGGGGGCGGGAATCGGCGCACGGCCAACGTGGTGGCCCACGGGTTCACCAACCTCTTCATCCTGGACAAGAAGGACCTGAATGAGATCTTGGTGCACTATCCCGAGTCTCAGAAGTTGCTCCGGAAGAAGGCCAGGTAGGTATTTTTTTGTTCATTAGAAAAATTTGCTGTGGACCAGCCCTGTTAGAAATCACAGCGCCTTTGTCAGCATCAGGGAAGCGGGTATTGGAGTGCTCCTGTCACCTCCCCAGAACCCCACGCACTCACATTAGGGGCACTGTCCCCAGGCGTGGCGAGGCTGGGCTTGCTTGTCGTGTCCTTTTTTTTTTTTTTTTAAAGATTTATTTATTTATTTGAAAGTCAGAGTTACACAGAGAGAGGAGAGGCAGAGAGAGAGAGAGACACAGAGAGAGGTCTTCCATCCACTTGTTCACTCCCCAATTGGCTGCAACAGCCGGAGCTGCGCCGATCTGAAGCCAGGAGCCAGGAGCTTCTTCCGGGTCTCCCACATGGGTGCAGGGGCCCAAGGACTTGGGCCATCTTCCACTGTTTTCCCAGGCCATAGCAGAGAGCTGGATCAGAAGTAGAGCAGCCAGGTCTCGAACCGGCGCCCATATGGGATGCTGGCGCTTCAGGCCAGGGAGTTAACCCACTGCGCCACAGCGCTGGCCCCTGTTGCATCCTTTATTCAGATGCTTTCTCAGCCTTTCCCGTCCTCGGCGACCTTGCCTGCTGTAGAGCGTGCAGCCCAGTGCATCCCTGGAGCGTCCTTGGTTTGGGCTTGTCGCTTGTTTTCTCGAGGTTTCCCTCAGGCTTAGCCGTCTTGGCAGCAATGGCTGGAAAGTGGCGTTGGTGCTCCCACTGCCCACGCAGCGGCATGGCACGGGGTGCTGGCTTCCTCGACCATTTCCTCTTCCTGAGCGGCTGGGGAGGAGCCGCTCTGAGCGGCTGTGGGCAGAGGTGTGGTGTTTCCGTCACACTTCCCTCTGCTTTTGGCAGCCTCTGGCGGCGCCGTCATGAATGCGAGGAAGGTTGCCAAGTGGGAGTTTCCCAACACGTTCGTCCTGCTGTGGGGGGAGCTTTGCCTTCCCTCCCCTGCATGGCTGCAGTCACTTCTTCGCCCGTGCAGGGGTGGACGGAACTTCGCCGCGGCTGTGCTGTTACAGCACGAGCCCCGCTGCTCTCCGCGCCCTCCTGTTAGGCCGGTGGGCACCTTTCCCGGCTGGCCCTTGGGGCCCTTTGTGACGATCCCAGGGTGCTGCAGCACCTGCGTGCTGTCCTGAGGAGCAGGGAGTTCACAGCTTTGCAGGTTCAAGTCCAGGACGGGGCAGCCCCGTGGTGCAGCGCCTGCTGACCCCGGAAGGGGCGGGGGCCCGGCTGTTATAACTCTTCTGGGACAGCTGCCTGTCTCTGCGACCTCAGAGCCTCCCACACCTCTGACTGGCCTTTAAGTGTCTGCGCGAGTCTGGGGACTGAATCAAGTTTAAACTGTAGCAGTGGGGCGTGGTTTTAGAAACCCAGACCCGAGTCCTAGGTGCACTCATGGCTACTGGGGTGCCACTGGCCTCCTCAGTGGGCAGAGCCGAGAACACAAAACCACTGTGTATATTACACATGCGTACACGTACAAGTACAACGTACACACAGCTGTCAACTCGCCCGTCTGCGCCTGTCCGTCAGCCCAGCGGGGAGACAAGTCGGCCCCCAGCACGGAGTTCATCCCGAGCGCTTCCCTCTCCGTGCGTGCGCATCTTCTCTCCAGCACTGGGAGACGCCCCTGCCTTTATCCTCACTGCGCTCGCTCACGCGGTCAGTCCCACGACACAAAGCAGTGGCAGGATTGCTGGTCCACGCTCTGCCCGAAGCAGGAACGGCAGAGACCAGTCTGCTGCAGCCCTTTAGCCTGAGCGGGTGTGCGGTTAGGGTCTGCGTCCCAGGTTGGTCTGGATTCGTTCTCTCTGCTCTCCCGTGTGATTGTTTTATTCATTTGCAGTACAGGGAGGTGTGTGTGCTTCACCGTTTGACCTCCCGACCCCTGACCCTTGTTGAGTGTTTTTTTTTCCACAGTGTGTAAAACAGTAACATCTTTCCCAAAGTCAGAACTTTCCAACACAGTGAACTCAGAACCGTGTCCCGCCCCCCACCCCACCCCCACTGCTGCCCAGCCCTGTGCGCAACAACGTCATTTCTTTCTGCTTTTCCTTCCTGTGTAGGCTTCTGCAAAACCAGACTCATGCTTATTTTCCTTTTTCGATTTATTTATTTTATTTGAAAGGCAGAGTTACAGAGAGGCAGAGAGAGGTCTTCCATCCACTAGTTCACTCCTCAGTTGGCCACAATGGCCAGAGCTGTGCTGATCCAAAGCCAGGAGCTTCTTCTGGGTCTCCCACGCAGGCGCAGGAGCCCAAGGACTTGAGCCATTCTCTGCTGCCCTCCCAGGCACATTAGCAGGGAGCTGGATCGGAAGTGGAGCAGCCGGGACCAGTGCCCATATGGGATGCCAACACTGCAGGTGGCAGCTTTATCCGCTATGCCGCAGTGTTGACCCCCCCCCCCCCATTTTCTAATTTCCCTTCTGTCTTAGGCCACAGGGAGCATAGGGCAGATCGCTTTTTCCTCTTTGATTTTTTTATGCATGACAACAAATCCTCGAAACGCCACTCTGAGTCCGCAGACAGCTCCCTCGTGGGTGCCTCTGCCTGCTCGTGGGGTGTCCTTGTAATGGGCATTTAGTGCATTTCCATGGTGTGATGGTACCTGTGGGCACCCGTGTTTTGTGTTGCTGAGGGGAATGGGCAACTTTTTTTTTTTTTTTAATAAAAGCAGGTTTTGCTTTCAAACCCCCAAAGCCAGGTTTCAACTTGGGCACAGGTGGGGACTCAACTCCTTCCCCGGGAGGTGGCGCTGGCGGGCTTGGTTCAGGCGCGAGTGACAGTGTCGGTGGCCATGTATGGAACATGGATGAATCAACAATGCGTACTGAATCAGATGTGTTTAAACAGAAACATGGAAGACCCGGTTAGGTAGTGGTGGGCTCCTGAGGGTTTCAGGGAGAGGCTGGCCGGAACCTAAGCCTGCACTTGCCCTGGGAGTGACGTTTTAGTTTTTTCAAATTCTGCATTTGTGGAGAGCTTGTAGAATGCATTGAGGGGGTGCCGGATTCTGTCCCTGTTGCTCCTCTTCCAGTCCAGCTCTCTGATGTGGCCCGGGAAGGCAGTGGAGGATGGCCCAAGTGCTTGGGCCCTGCACCCACATGGGAGACCAGGAGGAGGCACCTGGCTCCTGGTTTTGGATCAGCACAGCGCCGGCCATAGCGGCCATTAGGGGGGGTGAACGAACGGAGGGAAGACCTTTCTCTCTGTCTCTCTCACTGTCTAACTCTGCCTGTCAAAAAAAAAAAAAAGAAACACATTGAGGCTGACCTGGCACCAGGTCCTCTCTCTTTCTGACCCCTCTGCAAAGGGAACAAAGCTCAGGAAAGCCCACGCTTGGAGCTGTCATCATGTCCCCTGGGTGGGTGTTTGCTGCTGGAGCCCCCTCCCCACCATGCCCATGAGCCTGTGCCTATGCTGTTGAGGGCGCGGCAGCCCAAGGAGGAGAGGCGGTGAGTCAGGGCCTGGGGCCAGCCCTGGTCCATCAGACTGGTGGTTCTCTGGACAGGTGACCCTGGTGGGAGACAGGGGGTCATATATGAGCACTGCCCAGACGAGGAGAGCCACTGAGAGCCACAGGCCCTTGGGATACCCGAGAGTGGTGAGCACCAGATACAAGATTCTCTCCAAGCCTTGGGGAGCCTGAGCCCCCAAGGAAGTGGGCTCGGCCCTTGCAAGAGAGGGGCCGCACGGGACTCGCCTGCTGCTTTGTGCAGAGGCGAGTGCTCCATCCTGGCTGTAGGGAGGCAGAGGCCCTCAGAGGATAAGGGTAGATGTCCTTAATCGGCAAATGCCCCAGAAGACAGCTCATGCTTCAGAACAGAGACAGCCATTAGCCATGAGCCGAGGTCCCGGAGACAGTTCTTTTGTGTCGTGTTAGCATCGCCCTGCGCCCCTTGTCACTGTCACGCTGTGACTGATGGACTCCAGTGGCGCAGGTGACAGTGCCCGGCTGCTGCCGAAGGGGCTGCTGATGAATTATCATGTTTGCGTTCTCCTGGAGGGGCCCTGGCCAGAAATGCAAATCTTGGGCAATTAATATCAATACCCACAAGTGAGACCTATTGTCTCTGATTAGATAAGCAGCCTGTAATGGCCTCATTTTTAAACAAACAAGTCTTGCTGGAGCCCTGATGAATGAATTCGCCAATTAGTAGTCTGAGCCCAGTAGATTGCAGGCAAACATCATTTGTTCTGGAGCCAAGTCACTCCGCACGTATTTGGAGTGTGGACGATTCCTTGTAAGAAGCTGAGGCCATTTGACGGAAAATTCCATCCTTGTTTAGAGAATCAGGGTGGCACATGGCTTTAGATCCGGGTTGGAATTCTGCCTCTGCCACCTCCTGGTGTCATTGGCCGTGTCACTGTGCCACGCCGAGGCTCGGTGTCCCCAGTTTTCGGGTGCACAGTAGTCCCCACCCATTCCATGTCACAGAATGGGCATGTCATCTGTGTCCACGAAGACAGTGGTGGTGCTGTTGCTTTGTAGTCATTGTGATCTGGAGAGGCAGAGATGTGGGTTTGAATTCCAGCTATGCCATTCCTAGCTGTGTGGCCTTGGAAAAGTTACTCACCCTCTCTGGACTTCCAGGTCCTTCTTTGGACCTGAGGGAGAATTTAGTGAGACCTACCTGGGAGCATTATTGTGAGATGCATGAGGGTGTGGTGTGCTCTCGTGCTATGCTGTTTAACAGTGTGAGTGCACGTGTGGTGCTTTCAAAGCCCACACGTCAGTTCTCGCTGTTTCTGTGGACTTGACCATCTAGGGATGCCCAGGCCGGGTCCTTCTACAAGGCCATGAGCAAGGTGTTGGCCATAAGCCTGGTGACGTCACACAGAGAGGTCCCCTCGCCCTGGCTGAAGTCCATGGTTGGAAGCAAGTCACACGCCCCCTTCCTCCAGGGGAGGGGGTCACGAAAGAGTACCCGTAAAGGACTGGGCACAGGGTCTCACCCACACACACTCAGCTGTGCACAGGACCTGACACACACGGACACACTCAGCTATGCACAGGGTTTCACACCCACACAGATGTGCACAGGGTTTCACACCCACACAGATGTGCACAGGCCTCACACACAGATGTGCACAGGCCTCACACACAGATGTGCACAGGGCCTCACACAACTTAGATGTGCACAGGGCCTCACACAGAGATATGCACAGACCTCTCACACACACACTCACATGTACACAGGGCCTCACACGTGTGGACACTCAGTGTTGGCGGCGTTGACGGCGTCGCAGGTCAATGACAGTGAAGTGGAAAGAGAAGGCAGACCCTGGGTTTTTCCACCTGCATGGCCTGTTTCCTATTCCGTGTGTCCCCGTGTCCTTCAGTGTCCCCTAGCCATGTGAGCCCAGGCGAGTTCCTCCGCCTCTCCGAGCCAGGGCCCTCCGGTGGGAGGTGTGGACGGCCAGACGCCCAGTACAGTGCGCTGGACGTTCAGTGGGGCGCCACGCGCGGTGGCCCAGCCCCGCCACGGCTCCGACCTGGGGCCGCCTGCCCCGCGCGCGCGCACACGCATCACTGCCCGCCGCGTCGGAGCCGCCTCCCCGTGCCGGCGCGCGGGGTGAGCGGAGGCCGCTGTCTTTCAGGCGCATGTTGAGGAGCAACAACAAGCCCAAGGAGGAGAAGAGCGTGCTCATCCTGCCCCCCCGGGCGGGCACCCCCAAGCTCTTCAACGCCGCCCTGGCCGCGGCGGGCAAGATGGGCAAGGCGGGGAAGGGCGGCAAGCTCGCCCACCTGCGGGCCCGCCTCAAGGAGCTGGCTGCGCTGGAGGCGGCCGCCAGGCAGCAGCAGCTGCTGGAGCAGGTGAGGAAGCCACGCCCAGCCTGGGGGGGGTCTCAGTGCGCGCGGGGGAGGGGCTGGGCGACTGAGAGTGGCACGCAGAGGGAAGATGGAATCGAAGAATACCTGGGGGTCAGATTATTGAAAACTCCAGGCCAGGCTGGGTCCAGCAGCTCAAAGGAGGCCCAAGGGACTCCTTTTCCCATTCTGTCATCTCTGCTTTCGTTGGCAATGGCTTCACGTCCAGGCAGCCCTCCAGGGTTTCTTAGAAACAGACCCATCTCCCAGTGATTCTAGCAAAAGTCCCAGGGCTGACGGTCTCTCACTGGACAGGACTGTGTCCACTCCGAAGCCACTCGATGTGGGAGGGGACTGCGGTGCTCTGGAGAGGCCTGGGGCACACGCCCGCCTGCGGCCCTGGAGTGAGAGCAGCTACGGAGCGGAGAGTGGGCAGGGACTGCCCCTCCCCGACCACGGAGCTGTTCTCACGTGTGATGCTGAGCCCGGGACAGCGCAGAACATCTGAAGGGAAACCCCCAGAAAAGTTTTCACGGGAACGGGTCTCCTGCTCCCTGGTCTCAGCTTCTCACCTGGGCAGTCTTGAGATCCGCGTTACAGGTCCATGTGTCTGTTAGTACAAGCCAGAGCAAAGGACCTCTTCATGAGAAGTCTAGGGCCATGGGTCCAAACCCCAGCCCTGTCACCTGCTGGCTCCAGGACCCCTGGGCAGCCACCCAAGCTTTCTGAGACCCCGATTACTCGCAGCTGCCCGCTGGGCTTGTCAGGACCCAGCGGGGTAACTTGGATGCCTTCTATCAAAGTATCTTGAACGTGGCAAAGCACTTCGCTAGCCTTCCTGTGCCTCTTGCGGTTCCGTCTGTAGCTTGATGCTTCAGAAAGTCCCACTATGGTCGCCATGTGAGCATCCTGCCCCAGAGGTGCATTATTAGGAGTTTAGGGTGGACAGAGACAGAAGCAAGTGAACCTGACCACGCAGAAATACCAAGACAGAAGGAGCAGCAGGTGCCCAGAGTTGCCTTGGGTTCCTGGAGCATCTTGGCTCCCCCATGCCTTGAGCAAGCCTGGGGGGGGGGGTTGGGTAGAGGGGTCTCTCTTCCCCGACCCCCCCATGCCGACTGTGCTCCCTTTACCCTCACCACCACCACCTCAAGTTGTCCCGGGCAGCGGAGGACCACCCCGGCCTTCTCCTCTGGGGGCTGCTCCCTCTCCAGCTGCCTCCGATGCAGAGAAGGGGTCGGTCAGAGCAGGAGGGGTCACAGGCATCCACATCAAGTTTGGTTTTTTACTCAGTTCCCTGCTGATACATGGGCCACGGCCGACATCTCTGGCTGGAGGTTGGAGGTCAGAGGTCCCCACCAGCTCCCCCAACAGGAGCTCAGCTCAGCGCGGGGCAGCCATTGGTATCCAGCCCCGTTCTGCCTCTGAGCTCTAACCTTGACCGCACCACTGCCAAGCTCACCACCTTTCACCTTGTTTGCCTGCAGATGTCCTCACTCGCTGCGGGACCACGCAGCCCTGGAGCGGGGGTGAGGCAGGGCAGGACGGTTCAGTCCTTGAGAGGCCTCGATGGTGCTTGCCCATGGTTGCAGCCTCCCTTGCCTCAACAGCTCTGGGACAGGGCTCTGCCCTCCAACCGGTGACTTCTCCCACCCCCAGCTTCCAGCCCTGCAACTCAACAGAGATCAAAGACATCCCCCAAGACCTTCCGTGAAATCCAAATGCAACTTCATCCTAGCCCACCCCCATCGTGCGTCAGTTTCTCCTAAGTAACCCAGTGCACTAAATTTCACCTGCAGGGGACTGGGAAAGCGAGAACCGGGAGGAGTCCCAGTCACTGTGGCCACTGCACGACTCACTAGTCTTCCTTTCCGGATTGCAGGCCAAGAGCTCACAAGATGCCGCGGGGGGAGAGGCAGGTACCGCAGCCCCGGACCAGCCCGTGGCTCCCTCGGAGGCCGCCCCGGACCTGCCCTCAGCCCCAGAGCCCCACGCACCCCAGGCGCCCCCGGAATCCCCCGAGAAGCCCGAGGGAGGTGAAGAGGAAGCGGCCCGGCCGGAGGAGCCATCAGTGCAGATCCGCACGAGCCCAGGCCCGGAGTCCGGCGAGCAGATCCTGTCCGTGGAGGGGCCAGAGGAGAAGAAGGACGAGGCAGAGTGAGGCTGCGCCAGGCACGCAGTCCGGGCAGGGGCACCTGCTGCGCTCGGGAGTCTCCCGATGCCGCACAGCAGCGCCCCCGGGTGGAGACACCGATCAGCTTATGGAGGGGCTTGTAGTCAACAAACGTCCCCAAGTGTTCGTGCCCCCAAGCGCCCACCCTCACTCGAGAGCCTGACTTCTCTCTAAAGGGTGGCACTTTTAAGAATAAAGTTATCCCCCGCCCCGGAAAGTTCATTAGGCAAGGCGTAAAACAGAGCTCGGGCCCCTTGGGAAGCTTGGTTGGAGAAGTCAAGGGCTGGTGGATGAGTGGCTTTTCCCCAGGAAGGAGGGTGGCACGTGGTTGAACTGAGCAGGATTTAGGGCTGTCCCGACCCGAGCTTGGGGCTGCTGTCCGTCACCAAGGGGCGTGGTAGCCTTTGTCTTCCCTGGTCGGCTCTTCATGATCAGATACAGTGGAAATGGACTTCTGGCAAGAGGCTCTGCTGAGCCTGCAGGGCTACCCAGAAAAGCCCCATTTCTCAGCAGCAGGGGTGGGTCTTGCTTGGTCTGGGCACCCTGGTGACAGGGATGGTGGCAGCAATGTTCCTTAATCCAAGAAAATGAAACCTCGCAACCTCGCAGCTGACAACACCATTGAGTTCCCTGAAGTGTCTTGAATGAGGTCATGTGGCTTTTAGGATAAAAAAAAAGGGGGGGGGAAGGGCTCGCCAAGTCCATGAATATTTATGGAGAGGGCTTTTCTCTGCGTAGGGAATGGCTCATGGGGGAGGTGGGGATTCTGAGCAGGATCTAGTACCAAGTCGCGCGATTCCCCCAGTGACAGTGAACATGGGCTGGAACTCAGTGGGCACTGTGCCTCCCATATACAGTGATGGGAACAGGTGAGCTGCCGAAGGGGCCTCTGGGGGTTTGCATTGCATCTGGCTGTCCATCAACTACAAATGGCGTTCATTTCCACTGTGAAAAACATTAGACAATATGGGAGTTCCTGGGCTGATCTAAACACTTCCAAATCCCAGGATGATGGGTGGATTTTTCCAGTTGATGGCAGATCACACCACTGGGAGAATGGCACATGGAATGTGACGATGAGCGACATTGTCATTATACTTTAAAAATTATGTGTTTAAAAGGCTGGGGGGGGGGGGGATCTTCCATCTGCTGGTTCATTCCCCAGATAGCCACAACAGCCAGATCTGGGCCAGGCAGGAGCCAGGAGCCTGGATCTCCGTCCTTGTCTCCCATAACCACTTGGGCCACATTCCACTGCCTTCCAGAGCGCATTAGCAGAGAGCTGGATGGGAAGTGGAGCAGCCAGGACTCAAACCGGGGGCCTTACAGGATGCAGACATCACAGCGGCTGCTGAACCTGCTGCACCACAACGCCAGCCCCCATGCGAGTTTTTTAAAGCTTCCGTTAACTGATTTTCATAGGCAGTAACATTTCCATGGGGACAAAGGGTCCCCCGGAAAAACAGTCCGGGCAGCCGACTTCCCTGGACCCCTCCCTGGAAGTGACCTTGGCGGCAGACTCCTGCGCCCTCTCAGAGACCCGTTTGTGCTTCCACAAGGAAACACACAAATCCACTCTTGTTCCTCTCCTTTTGGTTATTTTTTAAACAGAAGTAGTGGCAAATACTAGAATCACTATTATTTTCTACTTATTTTTCTGGAGCTCGTTCCCCATTAGTATGTAAAGAGTATCCTCGTGTTTTTCCTGGCTGTGCGCAAGCCCGCGTGTGGGTGTGTCATCACATTTCTGCCACTCTCCCTTTGAGGGGCATTTGCGTTGTTCCCAGTCTGATGCTATGAAAAACAGCACTGCCTTCAGGGACAGGTGTTGGGCCTGACAATTAAGATGCCTGCGTCCATCCGCAGCAGAGGGCCTGGGCTGCTCCAGCTTCCTGCTAGTGCACACCCCCAAGACCTTCCATGAAATCCAGATGCAACTTCATCCTAGCCCATCCTCATCATGCGTCATTTCTCCTAAATAACCACTAAATTTCACCCGCAGGGGATTGAGAAAGCGAGAACGGGGAGGAGTCCCAGAGGCAGCAGGTGACAGCCCAAGTGCTGGAGCCCCTGCCGCCCCTGTGGGAGGCTTGGATTGAATTCCAGGCTCCTGACTTCAGCTGTGCTCACTGTGGCTCTCTGGAAGTAGACCAGCCAATGGGGGAGTCTCTCTCTCTCTCTCTCTCTCTCTCTCTCTCTCTCTCTCTCTCTCCCTCTCTCCCTCTCTCCCTCTCTCTCCCATTTTCTGTTTCTTAAATAAATCAGTAGAGCCTATTACAAAATCATGCTGCAATCAGTCTTACGCAGCCATCATTTCACTGGGAAACACTGTAAATGGGGGAGTCTGGTGGTTTAGGGAGACCTGTTTCTGTTCCACCTCGTATTGTCATTCCCACATTTACTCCATCTGTTCTAAGAGCCAAGCTTGGAGGAGCTTCTGTCTTAGCAAGCATTTCAAGCCTCCAGATAGGCTAGCAAACATGTTCTCCTCCGTGGATGTAGAATGTTCCAACAGCGCCTCACTGCGAGGTCCTATTTCTATTTATGTTGGCACTCGTTCTTTGAGATGTCAGACCTTGGACGTCTACCACTTGTTCTACAAGACAGGACACTCTTGAGGTCCCTAAGAATTGTCCTGGATAGAAAATTGATTTGGGAATGAGATGAGCAGTATCTTTCCTTCACTGGGATATCTCGCTAAACTCAACACTTTGATAAAATGTGGCTGTGAGGTCAACTGAATTTGAGGCTGGCGTTCTTCTCCAAATGGAATTGGCCTGCCTGGTTGTGGAGCTCTGACCGGTGCAGCTTGGAGGTGCTGTAGTTCCGCAGGAAAAATGGGACTTTTGGCTGTGCGTGTCGATTCTCTTCTGCTCTGTTAAAATGTCTCAGCGTGCCCTGCATCTCGGTAGGAAATGAATAGCAAGTTAATTTTTTAACTACATAAATATTTTAAGTAAAAACCAGGGAGCTGTTTAAAAATTCATTATCAAAATGTGTTCAGCTACCTGGAATTTTTAATCCCTTTTCTTAGCCAACATGAATATTTTATGTACGCTCTGGCTTTCGTATTATAAGGCATTTTAATTAAAGTATTTAGACAAACATTCCTGGCTAGTGGATTCACTTCAAAAACCGGCCATGTGTGACAACACCTTTGTGTGAAAAACTAAGTGAATTTCCTGGCTGCAGGCTCCCTGGTGGAGCTCCCACCACGGGACGGTGCTGCTGCAGTGACGCCAGTGACGCCCTCATCAAACCCCCAAGAGCCCTCAGTCTTCCTCTCGCCCCAGGACCCTGCCTCCACATGGAACATCTCCTTTGGGTCATGGATGGTGCCTCAAACACAGTGACCCATGCGAGCCAGTCCCGTTGGCTCTGTCTGCAGGAGAGGGCAGTTTGAGAGCTGTTCCCCTCTTCCTCCTTGCTGACAGAGCCCGGGTTTAGTTGGGGGCAGCAACACACTCACTCCCGGGAGATGAAGGCTTGGTATTGGACTTTGCTTCAAGAAGGAATCCAGGAGTGAGCCAGGAAATAGTGGCAAGTGTTATATTGAAGAGCAAAGATCCGTGCCGGCGCTGCGGCTCACTAGGCTAATCCTCCGCCTTGCGGCGCCCGCACACCGGGTTCTAGTCCCGGTAGGGGCGCCGGATTCTGTCCCGGTTGCCCCTCTTCCAGGCCAGCTCTCTGCTGTGGCCAGGGAGTGCAGTGGAGGATGGCCCAAGTACTTGGGCCCTGCACCCCATGGGAGACCAGGATAAGTACCTGGCTCCTGCCATCGGATCAGCATGGTGCGCTGGCCGCAGCGCGCCAGCCACGGTGGCCATTGGAGGGTGAACCAACGGCAAAGGAAGACCTTTCTCTCTCTCTCTCTCACTGTCCACTCTGCCTGTCAAAAAAAAAAAAAAAAAAAAAAAAAAAAAAAAGGCAAAGATCCAGACTCCCTGGAGCAGAGCCTCCTGGGAGGGCATGGCCCCAGCTCTGGGCCGTGCTTGAGAGTATACGGGCCCTTTAATGAAAGGGGAGGCGTATTCATGGTTTTTCTGGGAAGTCGGTGGAGATGTCCTGGAATCCAGCGTCCACTCCGTTTTCTTCCTTATGTGGTGGAATGTCACCATCATGGTGGCTGGCAGCTGTGATATTTAGTATACTAAGGTGTGCCAAAGAGTGTATGATGAGCTGAAGGTCAATCTAGGTCAGCCTTGAGCCCTACGCTGCTCTAATCCTGGTCTAGGCAGGGAGTGTTTATCTTCAGAGCAAGGGGAAGGCCCTGAGACCACAGGAACTCTTAACTCCAGGGGGCTGCACTGTGCTTGCCCCCTCCCTGTCCCCAGGTAAGCCAGTGACCATTCTCTGCCGCCTCGCTGGCCTCCCCACACCAGGTGGCCAGTTTCAATCAGTGAGCTATAAATGGAAGGATGACGGGAGACCCCTTGATAAAAAAGAAAGTCCACCATTGCGGCGTTCCCCCTTCTTCTTTCTCTTCCTCGCCACACTGATGTGAGGATATATTTGGGGCCTCAGGCACCGTCTTACGACTGAAGAGCCAGGAATCGGAGACACGCAGGCTGTGAAATGCTTGAATCGCCAAGCCAACCCCTGACCACTCATTGCTGGACTGCTTGTTACATGAGACAGCAGCACAGCTTTATTATTATTTTAAGGAGTATTTATTGGAGAGAGAGAATTTTCCATCCACTGGAAGTGCCACCCTTCCATCCACTGGGGAGTGAGCCAGCAAACAGAAGACCTCTCTCTGTGTCTCTTCCTCTCTCTGTAACGCTGCCTCTCAAATAAGTAAATAAATCTTTAGAGTAAAAAAGAAAGAAAGAAAAAAAAAAAGAGACAGGGATAAAGAGAGAGGGAGCTGTTTCGACCAAGACCAAGTTCATTTGCGGATGGTCAGTCCAGTGTGAGAGAGCGCTTTGCCCAGCGAGGGAAACTCGGGCAGCCAGGCTCATTTCCCATCATTCCTAGCTCTCTCCCTGTCCTAAAGAGAAACTCAATAGCAAAAGCCCCAAGGCAGAACCCTGGTCCTGGGTGATCCTTGAGAAGGACCCTCTTCTCCGTCTGTATGACAGGCTGCACTTAGCGGCTTCGGAGAGCTCTCTCATCCCATCAGTCCTGTCCACCATGCTGCTGCCAGGTGGCCAGGATGGCGCGATCAGACCCCAATCATAACAGGCGATTCACCCTGACCACTGGCAGAGTCCTCGG